TTTTCTGTTTTCCTTTCTCATCTTCTCATCGCGAGATCGGTCATTTTAAATTTCAAAAAAAATCAAATTCACGCTCTCGAATATACTCACACACTTAAAGAAAGTGACCATTTAAACTCGTGCACATAGCACAGAATAGAACCGCACGCAGTGGACATAGCGTACCGACATGTCGCTCGTGGACTGACTGCGTAGTTCCAGTGTGTACCACCCGTGGACATGCGCTAGTTTGCGGGGCGGAAAAGTGATTACACATTCTCTTATAGACCTGTTCGCTCTTAGGCTTCTCTCTGGTATCATTGGGTGCGTTCAGACAACTCAACAGTTGCACAACGGTTGAGTGATAATCACTTCTGATTGGATCATACTTTTGGAACCATTGCAGATTTTGAAGAATAGTCTTATCATATGTGATGATCTCTCAACCGTTGAGTTATCTGAACGCACCCATTCTCTCTCAACTGACTCTCGGACGTCTATCTTCGTTGCTCTCGGCCACTCCGTGCCGCGGCCACCAATCAACTCACTACTAGAAAAGAAGAGAACTACTCCACGATTATTTCTGTCTCTCTTAAGGAAGCTTGAGCTCCTCTTACACGAATGTTCCCGTCTATTATTATAAGTCTATGTTTCATACTCTCGCTCAGTCATGAAAAACCGAATATCATGAGTGGCAACTACATTGAAATTTGAGGTTGGAGATTCGAGATTTCAGAGCTGAAATTTGAAATTGGAGATGAGATCTTAGATTTGAGAAAGGACTATGAAAATATTCGGACCTAAATGTTTTGCGGATGAAAAGTACGTACGTTTTAACACCTATTATTACGAAATAAAATTTATATACAGTCGAACTTCCCAAAACGTATACAAATCTACTCTCTCAAAACGTATATCTTCCTCTTTATCGCTTTTTCCACCACTAAGTATGATTACAACCGCGAAACTCTGTGCTAGCGCGAGATGAATTTATACCAAGTAAGTCTTTGCGCACACATGAGGTAAAGAGTGCGGGAATAAGAGGAGTATACGTTTTGGGAGGCTCGCCGGTCCCGACTGTATACGTTTTGGGAGGTTCGACTGTATATGTATATAAATAATTACAGTAGAAAATATGCGTGCATTTTTAATTATTATTTGTTCGCAGTAATAATACAAAAATGAAAAATAAGAAAAACAGTAACACGAAAAAAAGCACGTAAAATAGTTTACATTGTACATATTAGTAAAATGTAATTTGTCACGAGAAAAATCCAAGAAATTTGTGTTTTATCGCAAATTATAATATATATATATATATATGTATATATATATATATATATATTATCGCTATATATATATATATATATTATATATATATATATATATATATAGCGAGAATGATAAACTTATAAGTTATTTTACATATAGTTTGCGATATACAAAATGTCCAACGGATACAAAGTGAAAGTGTGAAATAAATATCATGTTGGTTAACGCATTATTCTCTTTTATTTCAAGTTTCAATGAAGCTGCATCTGTGGTATCACAACAATGCCCTTGCAAGTACAAGATGCCTCGAGAGAATCGGACCGTCCGTTGGACAAAACGATTCTTCGGTATATATACGTATGTAAAAACGCGTCGCACTTTTATTTAGAAAAAAAAAAAAAACGGATGTGAACGTGTGCCAATCATAAAAGAGAAAAGTTCCGATCGGCGATTGAGGGATTACATAAAAATTTTGGTCCTTTGCCCGTCGCTCTCATTTGTTGCTTACGCATTTGTTCTCCACGCTCATGATCGCACGAGAGGAAGACGAACGAGTCGAACACGCGCAAACGCGCGCGCAACAAACGCAGCATCGTGTGTATGTACGTAGTAATAATAATATTCACATCGCATCGCATCGAAATTTTCTAAAGGCCTCCGTTACCTTTGCAGCTGCACTCTCCGGGCATTTCCGTTTTTTTTTCTTTTTTTGAAATTAAGAGAGATTTTTATCAAAATAAATTTTTAACAAATCACATAGCAGCCCAATAAATACCTTAAAACGTCTAACAGCGTTATCGTCTACTGTTTCACGATATTATTTATAATATATATAAAAAATTCGGGAGAGAAGGAAGAAGACGGGAAAGAAGAGAGAGAAACTTTGTGTTATTATGCTTCTTACAGATCGAGCTATCTTTTCAAACAAAAATAGCCAGATGTACTAAAAAGAAGAAAAGGAAGAGGAAAGAAATAATGCATTAAAAGATACTTTGTTACACACTGTAAGTAAATAATAATTAGGTACTCATCTGTCATGGAAGAGAGATCGCGTCAAGTATAACAACAATGTCGTTAATTTATAATCAAAGTATTAAAAAGAATCTACATTAAGAGAGAGAAGATTATACATACAATTATAGGATACAATGTTACCAAAATAGTCACTTTTGCGTAACCGTTTGTTTCGTTCAAATCTTTAGAAATTTCATGAGCAAAATTTCCAGGTTCGTGCAAATTCAGAATAATTCACAAAATTGATAAGTTTTAAAATTTTGTATTCTCAAGAAGAAAACAGTTTGCAACAGCAGAACATTTGCAATATCGTGCAGTCAATTGTTTGATTCATAATTCCAAAAACCGTTTTGTCTTCTCGCAGTTGAGAAATAAAATCAACCAACAAGTGATCTTAATTTCTCTCTGCTTGTTTCGTTTTCTTCTCTCTAAAAATTTCACATTTTTATTCTATTTAGTCATTGTTATTCTTGGAAGTTTATCGATAAAAAAAAAAAAACTCAGCTTTACTCTATATACGCTCGAGTTCGCATAATATCCGCGTGCGCGCAGGCTGATGCATGTTCATATCACCCACAAAAAAGTCAGTCCGCATGTTTGTTAAAAAACACAAAAAAGCAAGTAAAATAAAAGAAATCAATCTCGTTACAAAAATGAATTATTATGATGAAGGAGGCGAGGGTTCGGAAGGACGGGAAAAGATCTGATCCGAAATATTTCAGGAGACGAAGTAGCCACGTCAACAGCAACAAAGACGTTTTTCACAAGAGAGCTTTGTTTTCTTCGTCGCAGCTACATCGCGCAACGCCTATAATGTCCATTTACACTATTACTATTCAACAATTCAAAATACTTATGATACACACAACCTTGAATAATCTCATAACAGCTGCTGTGGCATTATTAGCCCGAACTAACTTACGCATTACATCATATAGATACAAAAGTAATTTCTCGCTATTGCTAAAAATTCGCACGTGTGTTTTTTATTTCATTGTCAGTTTTTTTTTTATTTTATTTTTATAACGCTCTTGACTGATCTTTTTTTTTTTTCATCAGTTGAAATATCCTCGTGTATCTGCTCTATTGCTCTGGCAAAGACACACATTCTTTTCTCCCACGTAACTCTCGAAGTACAATGTAACTAAAATAGGCGAATTATGTTGCTCATGCCAAAGTCAATTTTGTAAAAAGAAAACAAAACCAAAAAAATCTTTTTCGTATTGGAGATTTGCTCCTCGAACAATGATAGATATTAAAACGTGAAAAAATTAACATTCAAGAAATTTCTAAACATGTCAAGATAATAATGTCCAATCAGAGCAAATCTTGCATTAAAAGTAAAACATGTCAGTGAACTCGTTCATTCACAGTGAACTCTGAGCATTTTAACAATTTCATTTCAGGAAGGAATAATATATCCTCTACAGAAACATACGTGACAAATTATGTCCTTTATAATTTTTTGAGCACAGTACAGCGCGCGAAGATAAATCTATTCCATTCATTTTTTTGTTTTTTTTGTTTTTTGGCACTCATTATCTGAGCTGCGTATTTTAGTTACATCATCAAGTTCGTTTCTGTTCAAAAATAACGCAGTACACGAGAATACCGCAATATATAAATTGCAGAGATTTTACAACAGACAGTACTTTACAATAGAGAGTATGAAGATTACTTTTTTTTTTTTTTTTTTGATCAATCGTCAAAGCTTCTTGCGAGTCGCCGACGCAACTCTGGTGCAAAATATAAATCTGCGCGGTTACTCTCGCAAATTTCATCGCCACATGTATCGTATCGTATTTATTACATTCGCAATAGAAAAATAATATTCAGTCGGATCAATAGTTCGGATTAATACTTCATTCTTTTTTTAATTGAAAGGAAGAGCTCTTTGTGGACGTGTAAATAGTCACGCAGTACACGATGGCGTCAAAGCTAAACCGAACTGGTAATGGTCAACTTAACAACATGCAATTATGCGTCATCCGCAGAAAGTTGCTCTCTGCGGACTTCTCAAGGCTCTTAGACAACCGATCTAGTCACATTGAATTATGATGTCACACACGCACACACACAGAAGCGAGATGTAGTTCAATTTCTCTCTTCGTATAATTTTACATTCAAAAAATACGCCAATCTGTTTAATCGCATCGAGAGAAGAAGAACACTCTTCTCTCGGTTTAAAAATCTGTAAGTGACTAAAATCAATTTTTTTTTCTTTCGTATTACATATCGAAAAAAATTACATCAGGCTGCGATGATAAATGCGCTCTCTCATCGCGAGATGATTGACAAAAAAAAAATCAGAACCATTTCAGCTGCCGAGTTCAGTTCAACTCCGACGTCTCAATCAAGCTCTTCCTCTTTCTGCGCATACATATTATTATGTATCTTATAAAAATTTCGTATCGTACAATGTTTCACAATAATGAAGTTTACGCTTCCGTCGAGGAACGGATTATTCGACGTTGCGTGAATTCTCCGAAGGCGGGCAAAGGCACCCAAAGCGCCGACAACGCTGTTCGCGAATCAAGGCGAAATACAGGCAGATAGATGCGAATAAAAAACGAGCATTAAAGACATACGAATGCCTAAGTCGTATCATTACGAACTAATTTCTCGAACCCTTACGTTCCCAGTGAAATTGTCGCCGCGCTTATTTTTAATTTTATTTTAATCATTTTATTTTATTTTATTTTATTTTTTTGGGAAAAACGTGATACTTTTGCGTACACGATTCCCCAGACGCCCGTGGGAAAGGAAGGGTTGTAGGCGGAAAAGCCTGCATTGCGTGTGTTATTTAAGTCACATGATATTTATAATGTGAGATAATGTAATAAATTATTAAGCCAGTCGATCGCCGAAATTCGCACGTAAAAGATGCTGTGTACGCGCGTGTGTGTGTTTTTCTTCTCCGTGTGTACGTACGTATGTATATGCATGTATATTCATGCATGTATGAATGTGAGCGTGTGTATGTAATGTATGCATGTATGCGTATATGTGAAATATAATAAATTAGCGTTTAAATAATATTCCAAGGGGGAGGCGCACAGAAGGGAAAAAAACTGTAAAAATAGACGTACAAAAAAACGAGAAGAAGGGGAGCAAGGGAGCGGGCAAGAAGGGAAGAGGAGCGAGGGAAGTGTGAAGTAAATAATAATAATTTAATAATTAAGTAATTGTATCATCTTCACCTTCTTCGTGTCGGGGTTTTAAGTATCGGTTAAACAATCACTTATCGACTAAAATCAAACCCGTAGAATACTGATACATAAAAAAAAAAAAAAAACACGTATATAAAAAGCCTCGACCTTATCATTATCGAAATAAACTGATGGCTCTTACTCGCGAAATAAACTACTATATATATATATATATATACTCGAGAGAATAAAGATCTTAAGAAAAAAAAGATATGACGAAAAACAGAAGACAAGAGTGTTGCGTCGGTTGATCGAATACACTCGAACAACGTTGCAGACGATAGTACTAATAATAATCATAATAACAATAATAATAATAATAATAATAAAAATGATGATGACAATGACGATGACAACAATGACAATGACAATGATTGTTATTATTATTATTATTATTATTATTGTTGTTAATATTGCAATAGCAGTACTCAGATCGTAATATGATTATAAAAAATATTCTCTAATTTAATAGAGAGCTCAAAGCTAAATCTATACTTTAGTGATGATATAGAGATAATTATTTTATTAATTAATTTATTAATTAGTTAATAATAATAATAATATCTAGATGTGTGTGTAAAAACGTGTATACGTGTATAAGATCAATGATTAAAAATCTACAACGTGCCAATCCTATATGAGACAAAAATATCTAAACGAAGTAAATCGGTCTCTCTTCTCGCGTGACGAATGTGTGTGAAACTTCGCCTTCTGCTTGATTTCTTTTTTTTTTATTTTTTTTTTTTTTTTATTTTTTAATATTATACAAAATAATGCAGCGTGAGTGACGAGTGTTGATCAGCTGACGAGTTTTATTTTTTTTCTTTTTTTCAATGTTTGGATTAACAGTTCGCTGATGTCGCGCGAATGTCTCTTTATACGAAAGTAAACTCAGATCTGAAGAAAAATTGGACTCTGCGCGATCGCCCTCTCGGGATACTGATGAAATAATACTATGACGTAATACTAAAATCGCGTACAACCGCTCTCTCTCTCTCTCTCTCTCTCTCTCGCTCTCTCTCGCTCTCTCTCTCTCTTTCGCTCTCGCGAAACGTTGGACGGACACACTGGTATTTGCTTCGCGGTGCACAGTGATTTCTCGATTCGATTAAAAAAAGGGAAAGAAAAGCCGAGCACGATGGCTTATATAAATACGCTTACAAGTACATTTCTCTTGTCTATCTATATGTAATGGTACACACAATGATTTGCTCGCTGATGTAATTTTTTTTTTTTTTTATCGATTGCTACGTCACTTTCGATGAAAAATATGCTGTAATTCTTCACATTAACCTAGTGTCAATATTTTGCACGCTCTTGCGAGTGGTGATTTTATGTCTCGTAGAAAAGGTAGAAAAAACGAAGGGCGATTTGATTGAGACGTGACGACACGTGTGAAAGTCACGTGTTCGATCTTGTTTTTTTTTTTTTCGACCCACTGTGCGACGTCGACGAGCCGCGTTCCGTTCGAGGGAGAAAGAATGTTGTTTGAAAATTACGTACTTATCGAAATGTTTGTTTGAAACGAGGGTGGTCGTGTTTTGATGCACACACGAGACAGAATTGTTCCGTATTGCCTGCGATTTAATTAATTGATTTGTACGCGTCGCATTTATATAAATATACACATATTTGTTATTATTTTGTGAATGTCGTTGCGACAAAAACCGATGTCAATAATGCTCTCTGCTGTGGTCACACTCGTACGGGTTCATTATTATATGTAATATAATAATATAGAATAATTTTTTCTTGTTTCTCTCGCGCGCGTACACATGTATACATATATACAATATATAATGTATATGTACTATATGCGTTTATATACATGTATATTTTATACATGCGTGTACGTTAGCAGCGAAGCTTGAAAATGACGAAATCATACATTTAACAGCGGATGTTTTCTGTACAATTGCAATCGCGTGTCAAATAAACGGGGGAATATAAGTAAAAAAAACTTGAAATTTCTCCAAATTAAATAAAATATCAATTTACTGGGCCCGAAAGAACTTATCTCTATTGTAAATTAAAATGTGCCAAAATTTCCACATAAAAAAGTTAACGTGGAGTTGGACAATGTAATAAATATCACAAATTTAAATTTTGCGACTTTCTTTGAAACTTTCGCGACAATTTTCTTTTGCATGTTAAATAATAAATACAATAAATATATAAGACAATATATTATACACATATATATAAATTACAAAACTCTATTCTATCAATACTTTAACATACTGTTTGCTTAGACTTTCTTTTTGTAAATTTAGTCGCCTGTTATGTATTAAAGAAAGCCTCATTTCAATAAGTTATTATCAGATCTTTATAATAGAATACTGTTTCGTTACTTTACACTGTGTGTGTTAACAATACAACATGTAAAAAACTATTTATGTCAAAATGTTCGTTATTTGCCACTACATTGTGCAGAAACATTCAATGTTAAAAACGATTGAAAAAAATGATCATTTCAAGCCCCACTCTTTTTCTCAACGTATATATATGTACAAAGATCCCGACATTAACGCCGTTTTTTTTTAATATTGTTAGCAATATTTTTCAACATTTAATACTCTTCAATATCTACCTACTGACATTAAGCTCATTCGTCACGTTTGTAAAGCTTTGCTTTGAATCTCATGAGTCAAAATCAAAATATATATATATATAATATTTTTACACTGCGGAAAAAATAACAACACCATCGACAAAAATATTTATGATCGTGAGAGAACGGCGTTGCTATCGGGAGGAATATTCAATTATAAGGCTCCTTCGATAACAACTAATGCTAAAAATACTCCGCGGACTGCTGCGAGCTGTTTTTGAAATCTCATGAGAACGTTCCGTAGGTCTCCGCCACAAATGAAAGAAAGAAGATTGGAGGGAATAAAAATGATTTCCTCGGAAAAACAACTTTAAACAGAAAATAGACTAAGAAAAACGGAGAGAAAGAAGAAAAGAAAAAGATTGAGAAACAAAAATTGTAAAAGGACATTGTAAAAAAAAAAAAAAAAATAAAATAAACAAAGACATGATTACAGGTGGAGATGTGAGAACTGCAAGATAAAATAAAATAAAGATAACTAGGATAAATAGAAAGAAAGAAGATAAAGAGTAGAAATATAGAGGAATGCTAAATTTTTTTGTGTACGTGCTTAACTATCCTACGTACGTAGAGACTAAATCTATTTTTGGCAATGTTGTTTAGGTATACGACACGTTATTTAAATATTACGGTACCATGAGTAGATGCACTGGCCATAGTATTATGCGCTAACACCCGTTCCTTTGACGTATTTATCTGTACAAATCTGGCAGAATGGCGGAGACCCCGGTCGCGGCTCTGCTCCTTTCGCCTACTTTACACGAAGACGTACCCGGGGATTGAAAAGGGAAAAGTTAAAACCCTACACAGTGCCCCGGCAAAGAAAGAGAACGGTTGAGATATTGTCCACACCGAGTAATTCTCAATTACTTAAAACATAGCCTCTGTATGTTGTGAAAATGTGTTTTCACATACGCCTCGCACACGCGTACCTTGACAATCATAAAACTAAATAAAATTTTTGTTAACAAAAAAATCTTTCTATTTTTTACTTCTGTAAAACGAATAATAAATTTTTGCTTATTATAAAAATACATGATTTATAAATATATATATTTATAAATATATATATATATGTCGTTTGTATAAATTAATATTTTCAAGATGTGATCGAAATTCGCGAATCAAAAAATATTGATATACATATGTAAAAGAAAAGTTCTCGAAAGCACTCTAAAAGGAGGTAGTTACATAAGAATCCCCTATTTAAAATAACAATTCATATCTCTCTCTCTCTCTCTCGTCCTGATCTTAAAACTAACTACGCAGCAGTGGTGGAGTCGTAAAATTCGTTACTTTTAACGTATCCGACGCGTATGAGTTAACGATTACCTAAGTATTTACTTTCTTAAGTTCTCACATGTATCTCGTTCATCGTCGAGATAGATACGGGATAGGGGGTGGGTGGGAGGGGGGAAGAAGAGAGAGCGTAACTGAGTATCCGCGTGATAACGGCGACGGCGGCGACGACGACAAAGACGATTATTTACGTCTCGCCGTGTTTCCTTATTGCTTTCGGAGATTATTCTTTAGCCTAGAATAATTGTGTGCGAGTACGATCTGAGATTAAGTACACGTTTTCTAACGGGGGGAAGGGGGAGAAGTAGAGAGATAAAAATTTAGAAATATTAATTCTCGCACACACACACACACAAGTTCAAGCGCGTAGTTTAATAATATCTACAAGGTCTCTAATGTAAGGCTCCGGGAGTGTCTCCTCCGAGTAACGTGGAGGAGGCACGCTCTTCTGGTGTAATAGTTGCTAGCAGTTTGCTTTTTTTTTTTTTTTATTCAGGCCCCAAAGTGTCACCTATTGCGCGCCAATCTTTCTACATCCCTTATTGTCAATCGCTCAAATTTGTCGCCACTGGACGAACTTGTTAAAATGTTGCGTACAAAATGTAGGATTTGTTTTTTTTTTTTTTTTTTTTTTTTCACGCACAGTATCATCAATCGTGTATCACATTTTTTTTCGCGTAACACAAATATTCCTACAAACATAGCTTCTCGATAATCGCCGCAGTTATCTTGTGAAGCGAGAAAACAATTATATACGGCTAAACTTGTCACGCGCTTCATTTGATTTCAAATTGATTTTGCCGAGTATAGTTTCATTGTTGAGAACCAAAAGAAGAGCATGCGATATATCTTACGTATATGTGCGCTATTGATTAAAACCGATTCGTACGGCAACACTTGTTTGTTTTGACCCGAATTGCGATAATTTCAGACGTATATTTTTTCATATCTAACGTCATAATCCAATAATAACTGTAGATAACAACTATCGAGAAATCTTAAGCAAAAATTGTAAGATAATTCAATTAGTATTTTATTGTTTCAATGATATTTCAATCGGTTTTTAATTGTCAATTATTTAAAAACTTTGTTTATTCGAGTTTGACTCAAGATGTTGAAAGAAAAAAAAAAAAAAAAACACTGAAGTGCTTTAAGTGAAACACGTTTTTTAAATCAATTCATCAAATGTATGAATCAGTCATAATTGAGACAACTGGAATCAATCATGAGATTGATTGTCAAGTTTATTCATGATTACATTAGACTAATGTTCGAAAAAAATTGTGCTTGAAATATTCATTATTTAAACAGTGCGTTGTTAAAATAAATAATCCAACATTTTTACTACGCAACGTATAAAAAGTTTTAAAGGACCTTAAAATTTGGAGCGTAATACGGTTGAATGTCGAAAGCCAAAACGACGTTGCAGGTACGCCATTGGAGGAGCCGTTGCCGTTGTCGTTCATCTTCGAAATCGTTTGTTTTGAAATCGAGAGAGCAACGACGACGGGCCACTCCGAATGGTAGATCACGGATGGATCCGCGGCACGTCTATGTACAACGGGCGAGCATACAAAATTTTGTATAAAAATATTTTCTCGTGTTTTTTTCTTTCACGTGTGCTTATCAGTGTCATTCGTGTGTGGTAATGTGTATGTACACGTGTATCTCTCTCTCTCTTTCTCTCTTTTGCGTGTATGCACGTGTAAGTGTGTGTGTGTATATATATGTACATTCTTGAATAATTAATACTGCGAAATTAATATCATCTCGTTCCATCGTGCGGGATGCGCCGCGGCGCGAGCTTTTGACAGCTCTCTTCTAAAACGGAACGTTTCGCGTCCCTCGGTTTGTGAATGACGTTTCTCGGGAAAAGTGCTGAGAGAATTCGCTTGCGGAAGAACACACGTGTGTTCTTCCGGTTGATCTATCCAGAGTGAGAACGTCACCGAACGGACCGTCTAGAAAAGCCTTCATTAAGCATACCTAGGCGCGAAGTACGGCCGGATTTTTCTCAGTGCGTTTCCTCCGAAAGAGAAGTCGCTACCAAATTCAGGGGAACGTCGGAAATGTTCTCCTCGTCGCCCTCGTCTGCCTCTTCGGCGTCCACGGACATCTGTCGCTGCACACGATCTTCGGTTTTTACATGTTGCTGCAATTTCAAACAGAAGACATCGTGTTTGACAGTTGTGATTCGAAAGAGAAATCACGGAGTCGAAAAAGTTTTGAACAATTGAGATAATTTCAAAACCGGATTTTTTTTGTTTTTGTAGTTTGATACAAACACACAAAAGAGTTTTTTATCCAGATACTCGCATGTGTCGAAAAGTGACTTTACCTGGAGCAAGTAACTAGGCAAGGATGGTATTGAGTAAGCGGCAGGTGGAGGCGGATGAGTATGCGCATTAGTTATGTGCGTGGGTCTCAAAGCTGCCATCATTAGATGAGGCTGAATTTGTCGTCGAAGAGCCGCCAGCATGTCCGCGCTGTCGGCATCCAATTCTCCTGTCGTTGACTGAGACGATAAGACCGCGTCTCCTTTTTCTGAAAACGTTATCTGATCTTCAGAACGCGAATCATTTTCACATTGTAGGAAAAAAATCAAACTTTTACTTCTTATATTTCTAAAATTATTAATCGAAATAATCTGAACAAAAAGTAGAATAAAAATTAGAACTTATTGAACCTTTCTTACTTCTGTGCCTTGTTGGCTTCTCGCCTTTGGGTCTACGTCTGCGCGTATGTATAGTGTCCCTTCTCATGGTGACGGGACGATTAATGCCGTGAAGTTTATAATACAGACCGCAGGCATTGCACACCATCTCGCCTTTGACGTTTCGTCTCCAAATTGTTGTTGTCATGGTGCCGCAATTTGAACATGTCATGTCGATCCTCTTGTTGCTGCTTTGTTGATCGAGCTGTTGCTTCTGATCGTCCATCTGAACAGAATCAATCAGTAATATTGCGCATGCAACTTAGAACATAATATTTGTTTTGTTTTTACAACATTATTTTATACAACAAATCAAAATTGCAACTACAATTGCACGAAGATTACCTTAATCTTTATTTTATTCGACCATGTCGTAAAGTCATGCGCTTGCTCGTCGTCGGTATTCTCATGATGGTAATTCGTGACAACATCCGGACTCGTTGGAGCCTTACTGGGATAACTCTGCTTTCTACGGCCTTTTGTCGTTGATGCCATTTCCTTGCGACCGATACTCGCGGGGCTAGATGGATTGCTGTCCATTGAGACATTCTGCGCAGTCAAGTACAAACGTAATATACCAAAATAAGTGTGAAGTACTTAGCGCGAAATAAAACTCTATGACGCAAAGGCCTCTTATTCACATTGTTGTTAATTGACATCATGTTAAGTATTTGTCATTCGTCAATAATATTATTTATTGTTCGTTGTTAAAAACTAAACTAAAAAAGCAATGTCTAAAAGCTTATTATGCAATACTGATATCTCTGATGACGTGTAACATTTTTGCGGGAAAAAAACTTTTCCGTATTCATAAATTTGCCTAGCTCGGAATCCGCAGGATTCTACCTGAAGTGAATATACTTTGAATAGACCTAAAGGGATTTACTGATCGACCGATGGCCCAACGATAGCCTGAGCTTCTCCCACCATCGTACCCAAGGGTCTTTTCTTTCTATTTCATTGAATGTATAGACGTCCGCATTTGGCATTTCGAAGAAATATTTTTGTCTGTTCCCGGGATACAAAACATTTCTGGTGCGCGCGTAAGAATCACAGAAATCTTCCACAAAATGACACACATTGCAGATATTTCACTCACACAGATATTTCACAGAGTTTTTCACCAAGCTCTATCAAAAGCCAGTTTTTTTTTCTTTACTCACCTTATTCTCCAACGATGGTATGTTCGTGCGATTACCATGCATAGAAAAATCGCTCAAGGTGTGCTCATTGGTCGTCCCTTGAGTGTCCCTGTAGAATCTGATTTGGGGAGATATCCTATCTGAATCGACCGTAGTAATGCCGATCTGCCTATTGTTGATGAGAGAGCGTAACAGATTGGTCGCTTCACCGGCGAATCCATTGTTCATTTTATCACCGTTCGTTCTTGTGATTTCCAGGCTACTATTACTGCTTGTTTGATAAACGAATGCACATTAAAATTACTTTTTTTATTCTTTAAGTAAGTGTAATTTTATCGCAACAATGTATAAAATTATAACGTGCGTACACAAAATTTAAAATATATGCGTAATATGTTTTCTTATTTAAAATGTAACAATTCTTTCTTTATCTCTTACAATTAAGATGTCTTATCTAATATTATATTTAATATGTCTTATCGAATCTATCCACTTATTTATCTATCAATCAATATCTTCTATTTATTTCGAAGTGTTCTGAACACTTGAAGATATATTTGTAGAGATTAAATAGCGACACATACCGATAAGAAATATCTAACAAATAAAAAACTGTGATTTAAACAGTAATATACAAATTAATTTAACAGAATTTCAATTAATTCAACAGAAACAACTTCACATCTTTATAATAGATTCACAAATTGTACATTTATGCAAAATATACAAAACAAGTAACTCACGTATTTTTCAGCTTTTATCGCCACAATCTAATTAAATTTGGCTCACTTACTTGGCTAGAGCTTGCCACAGCTTTGTCGTTTCCTGATCAATGTTGGTATCCGAACAATTACTTTCCGGAGTGTCCATTCTGTTGACTGGACTGCAATTTCCCGTGTTGGACTTGGAGCCGTCGTAACTGTTCTCTAGTTTAATTTTCTTATTGACGGTCATGTCGTAACCGTTCTCCTCGCCCTCGATCTCCTGATCGTCGCGATCCTCAATTTCCAATCGCTCAGGATCCGTACTGTTGGAACACGTATCGTCCTCCGGCTCGCACTTAATATTATCATGCTCCGTCATGTCGCTGTTTTGCATCTCTAGGTGAAGCGTTTGAGTCTGAGGTATTATATTTTGATTAATGCTGGCGGGCTCGGAGTTGAGTTCCTCATTGAACAGTATTCTGTCCAATTTGCGGATCGATTGCATGACACTATCGTCACCCGTTTTGGCAGTGGAGAAAGACTCTCTCTGAAAGAAAAACAAGTTTTTTAATATTATCTCTGAACGTTGTCGTTTTTTGTTTTACTTAAATACACAATTTAATTTCAATATAGAAGAGACTCCAAAGCGTGTGTTTCTCCTTTACAGTAAAGATTAGCTTCAAAGTTTGCAAAAACATAAATAATTTATTACTGTATTAATTTACCTCATTAGAAGACGCAAGTTGCTTGGCACGATTCAGGTACTCTTTAAGTACAGTGTCAGCGTTTTGTGACGCTTTACGAAAATTGTGCAGCTCGTCCAACTTGTGTACACACCGGTGACAGATAATTGGCGGCAAGGAATCGCCATGTTTTACCTATCAAAAAAACATATACATACATCATCACATAATGAAATGATTCTTGCAAAATAATATCTTATTGTATTTTTCAGAAAAAGTGTATTCAAACTACAAGATTAATTTCTTTCAGATTAATTTCTACATTTAGATTTTTTTCTCTTTATCACTTAAATTTAAAATATAAAAAAACAAAAGAAATTGGTTAAAATTAAATTGAAACTAAAAATAATCAAATAAACTGAAATTCTATCGATTTCTGACGCGCAAACCCTTAGCGACAATTGCGAAATGTTCTACTGCAAATGATGAGAGAACAAGTGATTAACGCGAACATAAACAACAGTCCAGAGAAAAAACAGCTCAATGGAGGACAATGACTTCCGTGCGCAGCGCACATTTTCAACCTGTGCTCTCGTGAAAAATTTTCAGATTGAAAACAAAAATCTCGTATATGATACAAAAGAGGATAAAAGTTTTGCATAAAAAACTGGCGCGGGCATGTGCAAGCGAGACAATGCAAATGCGTAGGTACAGGTGAGAGCGTTCTTTTATCGAATCGCGCGAAGCCGCGCGTCCGGGTAAAATGAAAAAAAAAAAAAAGGACGTTAAAGGCGCCGGAAACGGTACAACGCGCGCAACGTGACAACAGATTTCGCGTGTGAAACATGATAACAGGCTACCCAAATAAGGAGCCAGTAGGCCCCCCTCCCTCTCTCTTTCCCTCGTATGACTCGCGTGACCGTAAAGTTTCTTCCACCTCTCGTTGCGCGCGGTGCTTATCACTGCCATTTTAAATGTTGCTGCTGCTGCTGCTCGTCGGTTTATCTCGCGGACACATCTCTTGCCAAACTTTCTCCCGTGGCACGCGCACATATACACGTTCGCGCTGACGCGATCCGACGACGGACGTGAGCGCGAGTGCGATCGCGAAAGAGAACGAGCGAGAAAGAAACGCAAGAGAGAAAGAGAGGAGAGGGAGAGAGAGAGAGAGAGAGAGAACCCGAGAGTGCTCGCGATAGAACGCGCGAGAGCGCCTCTAAACAGAAGAGAAAGAGAAAGAAACCAGAGGGAGAGAGGAGAAGAGAGAGAGAGAGAGAGAGAGAAAAAGAGAGAGAAGGAGCGAGAAAACGAATACGTGAATGATGCAGACAGAGAGATATGCAATGCGAGTCGGAGCGAGAGAAGTGTTGCACAGATGGTCGCGTCCGATAAAACGTGAATAATCTCGCAAATCGCGTCACTCACCGTGATTGACAGGCACGCGTGTATCTTCGCGGCGAAGTTACGCTCGGTGCCCTCATCCTCGAATATGGACAACTTGCCACCATCCTGGGATAAACAAAGGCGACACAGCTCGTAGAACTTCTGCGGTACGTCGAACATAATTGCGTGCTCCGGCTTGCCTGCGGCACTCGTAAAGCGCGAGTCATCAAGAGACGTGCTCTAATCGGCGGCCGACGCGCAAAGCGATCTTTCTCCACTGCCACTGTTTTTTCGCGTTTTCACGGGGTCGTGAGGGATGGGTTTTATGCGCGGATCACTTATCACAGACACCGCCGCTCATTGTCAGCGGCACAAGTATACGCACTGCTGCCATGCATCACGCGGCACAAAGACGTCCAGCCCCCTTAGCTCGAACGAAACCGCACACATACGTCCAACACCGGGATTACGACGATTAGAGAGAAACCCCGGGATCGCGGGCAAAGTGGAATCGGATAACGTTTCGGTGCGATCGCGGCGACCTCGCGCGGACAAAACGCCGAGTTCGATGATTCGCGCAGGGTCGCAAATGGCGAAAAATTCCCTCGGTGTCGCGCGCGCGCTGTGTGGACGAGACAGAAAAATAGGGATTCTCGAGGAGAGACACTCCACTTTTCCGCGAATGTAGTCGGACTGCGCTCTATCTATAGGGAGTATACGCGCTTACGTCGATAGAGCGAGCACTCGTCGCCTCCGGTTGGATGGTGCGGATATTTCCACGCGCGTCCCATCTACGTAGACGCTCTCGTGCGTCGCGACTGCGCATAAAAAGGGAGCAAACTCAAATTTTTATCGTTTATCTATCTTCGATATTCGGCGCACTACTCTCGTTGTACTACTACTTACTTTCTTAATTTATTTGTTTGTAAATCCCATGAATGATGTAAATCCATTTTTTTACATACACCCGTTGAATATTTTAAACACGTACGTAACTCTTGTATGTTGAACAAACAGTTTTTTATTCATTCGTTGTAATTTCAAGTTTTTTTATTTTCTTGTTGCAGTTACGAGAGAAGTCGTTCGCTCTGCGTGCAGGTACGATTATCTATAAATACTTTGTCTATAATCCACACGTCTCAATCAGAATTAATTAGACTGATAGATTGGCGTTCCACATTCCAGTGAATTGTCTCTCTTCTGTTTTTTTTTTTTTGTTTTTTATTATTACCTCGCTTGTTGCACTACTACTAGCTGCGTGCGATGAGCACCTGTGCCACTAGACGAGAAGAAATGGAGTCGACTCTTCTTCTGCACACACAAATCGCCGCGATGCGTGTCCAAGCAAGCGGCGAGATGTGTATGTACGCGAGAAGCGGCGGCGGCACTTTCATTGTTCTCCGACGTTTCTCGGCGCGAAGAGGTGCGGAGCGATTCTGCGCGCGTTCACCACATCGTCGTCATCATCTCATCGGGAGTGATTCAAATATTCCGGGAAGTAAGTGCGTGTGATTTGTTTTAAGAATTACGAGAGTGATAAGCATTCTCGGCGAGAGCTCTCGCGAATGCTGCGCGCGCGGAGAATTTGCATGTCCGAGTGATAAAAAAAATGGAAGACTTCTACGCGCAAAACGCGTAGTTTTTTTATCTACATTCTTTTCCTGATTAGAAGAAAGACAAGAGATCTCGGTCTCCGTTAACGTTTCGGACGTGCAAATTGTTGAAACAGGATTTTGCGTAAACTCGCTTGCGGAGCGAAGTATATAATATTTCGACAAAAGAGAATCTGTAGACAATTGTTGATTAGTTGACTCTTTTTGAAGCTAAAAATAAAAAAAATATAAATATAAATGAATATACGGAAAATATGTAAATGCGTTACTTGAGTATGAAGAGTGCAATAATAATGTACAGCTGAGCTAAATAATATAGTCGGAAAAAAACTCACTCGAGTTTTATTAGAGATTATAGTAGTTTTTTTTATTTTACACTTATATGTACGAGAATGAAAGTCGCACGTGAGATATGCGAGCCGTCGTGTATCACTCGCTCAACGAAACACGCTTCGTATAACAATTCACCTTACCACCTGTGTGCGCGCAAGATTCTCCTCGACACGAGTCGAGTAAGAAAGAAGTCAGGAAGGAAAATTGCTCAACAATTGCCGCGCAAATATCGCAAGTATCTTTGCCGAATGCGGTCAAAAATTACCAGGGCGAAAGAGAACGAATGGATTCCTCTGCATTAGCATACGCGCAAGGACGAAACAATGCACATTTCGCCACAGCAGCGAGCATAAAAAATCTCGCGCGCAGTTTCTTGCGCGCGTTTGCAAGTTGTTGTAAAATAGTACACCGGAATAAATAAATTTCGCAAACGCGCGTGCTCGCACGCGCAGTTGCGTGCTTATAAAAAAAAAAAGTTGGGAAATAGATGCTGAATACTTCCGCGCGATGAAAAAAACGTTTGATATTTTCGAGTCGCACGTTGGATTTTTTTTTTTTTTTTTTTTTAATCTAATGTGACTCGGTTGATATAAATTTTAAAAATAGATTTTCCGTCTCGACAAAAATATATTTCCATTACACCCGAATCCTAAGTTGAAAAGAAAAATTTCTCCAAACGTTAATTGTGTGTCAGTAATGACATTAGATCCATATAGATTTGCGTCGCGATGCCGCGCAATTAGCGTTAATTAGAGCTACCGAAAAAGAGACCGCGCTTCCTAGTTTCACACAATCCAATTGTTGTTGACGATAATCAGAATGAGGAGACGCTTTCATGCTCTGTTTCGGCGACTCGAGCGACTCACCGAGTTTCTACAGGATATGCCTTGGGAGATATTTTAATGGCGGAACCTGGACGCGCGAGTGTCCGTGTGTGTGCACGTTCACATCGGCTACGTGGTTGTGCGCAACACATGTTGCGAGCATTGTATTTCGCTCGAAATATGTTGAGAAGTTTTTACTTTTTGTCGACATTACAATACTTTCTCATTTCCAATAATCGCGTAGATTAAAGAGAATCTTCATCATTTCTCGCACATTGCCGCGGCAGATTTTTAATATAATTTGGTTAATTTTATACCGCACTTGTATAATCGATGGAATCACAAAAAAAAAAAAAACTCGTCGCAGGTGATGCCGTTCAAACAGTTGCCGATTTGGTTGTTCGTCCTCTTCTCGATCGGTTACGCGTATGCCGAGATCGGCAATTGGAATGCGTGCGGTGGACGATTGGAGCGCGCTTTGGACGCGCTTCACAGAGACTCCACTCGACGAAACAAGCTGGACGAGGAGGAGGCTAAGACGATGTATCAACAGGAACTTCGTTCAGCTCCTCTCGAAATGTCCGTCACCCGTATGGCTGTGAAGGTAACATTTTCTTTGATCCCGCTGTTCTTCTAAAAGAGATGTTTTTATTTCTCTTTATCTTATTTATTTATAATTAAAAAACTTACCAAATTTCTATTTACCTACTTTTCGCGCGATCTTCAAAGTGCTGTTCGCATCGTTTGCGTCCGATGTTGTTCGCTCAATAAAAATGTTCGAGAAAATTCGTGCCGTAAGAAGTAATAAGCAGTCGAGCGAGTAACGAGCGGATGACGCGCGCAACTTGGTTTTATTTCGCAGCTTCCGGAGAACACGAAAGAGCTCGGGGGTCACTGGGCACGGGTGGAACAGTGCGTGTACGATCCGAATCGCAGCTCTCTCAAAACGCGCGTTGTGTTCAACGATCTGTCGGTGTCCGGAATAGTGTCCCTAGCGCCCCGAGATCATCACGCTCCGATTCCCGCCGAGTCCTGCAGAATGACGCTGCGGCTGCGACGCGCGGGAATAAACTTTCTCACCAGCCCGATTGTTCGCGAACGCGGCCAGATGCGTATACGCACGGAGTCCAGCTTCCAGGAGCCCAGATTCGCGTCGATCTACGCGTACGGCTGTCGTCCCACTCGCCTTGACAAACAGATCAAGCGCCAGGACAAATGGCCGCCGTATCACTCGGTCAGTGACAAGGTGAGCTTGAATCGCGCGCTGACTCATTTCTGATCGAATATTGTCGAATTTTGATATTTACAAGTGTGTTTTTTGTTTTACCTTCTTTGTTATCTTTTTTTTTTTTTGTCTTTTGTCTATTTGCTTTGTTTCAGGTGATACCGACTCTGCCGATGCCAGAGAATGATAAGTACGACGCCGTGGAACCGAGACAGCTGGCGAATATCGCGGAAGAGGTGGACGTCGTCATACCGAACGAGAGCCGACATCCGCGTTACTCGCACTCTCCCGGGACCAACTTCGGCATATGGAGAAAGAACTCTTGGATCACCAAGATACCGTCGCGTCGGAAACGTTCGACGACGACCCGGTTCGCGCGCACCACAATGGTCATCACGCCCCAGGATTTCGCGAACGCTCTGGCAAACGGACGCAAACCGACGGAGAAATCCGTGAACTTTACCAGGATTTTAAACGCGACCGATCTCTGGAACGATGAGGATGAACGGTCGGAAAACGTGACGCGAGAGGTGAGGGAACTGATGGACGACGATCTCGATAATCTGTTTCCTGTGGACCTGGACGATCCGTTCAGAAGCTGGCAGTCGAAGGAGTATATCACAAGGGAAATGGAGGACGTGTTTCTGCAGGGCGCGAGCCACGCGTTGACCAGATACATCGAGCGTCAGTTACACCCGGCAATCAAGGAGATACTAATGCTGTCTATGGGATATACTATCAGTTACGGATAGAAACGAGAAACAAAAAAGAGAGAGTTTGTACATAAACAATTATGTTTTTTTCTTCAACGACAGACAAGTGGAAATCAGACTTGAAACTACCAGCTCGTCTCTGTTTCCTCTTGTTCCAAAAAATTGTAACTTTATATATATATATATATATATCTGCCGATAGAAAGATTCTTCAGATAGTGTGTAATAGTCGTATTTATTAGTTCAAAGTTTTTCTTTGAATATTTATATATAGATTTCGATTCGCATATAATTCCGTAGTATACATGATCTTAAATCATCTTCGTACGCATTTTATTTGATTAATCTCAAAAGTGTTTCCAGCGCTTGACACTTGTAATTACGTGTAAAAATAAATTATACATGTGTACATATATATAATATATATAAATATAAATTATTTTTTATCACATTGTAGTTATTTAAGAAAAGGAGTAAGTTAATCAAATAAATTAAAAGCGAATTGTTTCTCAACCTTTTTATCTTTTCTTATTTTCTTACATTACGGATACAAAGATTTATATTGACTCTGCATTTTAAGACACAGGGCGCATGTCAAACAAATTAAATCTTTCGATGAACCTCGCTTGGTTACTCTACGCGTCCGCACGGGTGCGGACATTTTGATCTTGATTATTTAAAAAAACAAACTCAAACGAAGAGGATGAGTCTCGAAATACACGAAGACCAAAATCGTCATTCTTTGTCAGCGCGCAAGAAGTCACACATGGGACGTCGGAGCGGATCAAGAAGCTCGAATACCAACGCTTCTCACCGTAGAAATTTTCCGAGGTTACTCGCGTGAGAAAACACTTCCTCTTTTCACTTGCGTTCGCCTCGCTTCTTCTAATTCGCTTGAAACAAGATAATATTCTTAGCCTTGTTTTTATTTCGAGCGGAGAAAGTGCGTGGCGCGCAACTAATAAAACCAGAGAGGGAAAGAAAAAAAGTGTGTAATTTATCACTACAAGAAAATTCTTCATAACACTTCCTAGGAGACAAACCACGTATTGGACCAGCGGTCACGAACACTTGACCGAAACGAGAGACATCATGGCCGAGCAGTCCCCTTTTCGTTTTCCTTCCTGTTCGCAAACCGTGGCTTATCTCCAATGGTGGAAAACAAAGAAGAAACGGGAGATGAGCGAACGCGGTGGAAAATCTTACAAGGATCGGCAGAGATCGCAATCCGCCGATATTTTACAGAGATTACGCGTAAGTTTGTTTATTTACACGTGGTCGATTAAAAAAATTCGATTAAGTTTGCTGTATAGACTTACTTAAATTTTTCAAGAAACACACTGTTTGTTGTATACACAACGGGCACACACGTCACGCATTGTCTCACTGACTTCTTCGAGATGTTGTTCAGGTGTCTGTTGATATCGAAGCCGAGGAAGCGAAAAAACACAAAGATCCGAGCAAGATAATTGCCATGACGGACGTGGATCCGTCGTACTTCACAGAATTATCCGGCAGACCCGTGAGCGAGAAGTTTTCGTTGAGACAATACATAGGAGACGTGCAGGAAGTGTTAAAAACAAAACTTCTTATCGGCCAAAACAAGGACGAATGCATCCGCATTGATCAGCAGTTTCGGCAGGAATTGAATCATTTGCGAAAGATCCAGGTATATAAAATGTAACGCGAAAAAAAAAAAAATTAGACATTACTTTCCAAAAAATATTTAAATCCAATCAAACAAATTACATATTTTTGCGTTTAAAAAGCACGCGTGAAGTTTTTTACTCTGATTGCATTGATCGAGTATATGTCGTTTCGCAAAAGCACCGCACTCAACGGTACATGAGCAGTTTCGACGAGTTTCTGTCGGGAGATCATAAAAAGAGCATGGACATATTGTACGAAGCGGAACGGGAGGCGAAGGTGACGGCTGAGATCAGCGAGCGTAAGAACGAGGTCTCGAAACAAGTCGGCGAAAGAAGATTGTCCGTTTACGTCTGGGAGGAAAATTGGAGAACGGTGAAAATGTGTCAAATGTTTCTCTATCAGATATCGCCTACCGCCTGGCGGATCAAGCACGATTGGTTTTATCGCGCCGAATCGAGCAACAGCATCCAGAGCACGGTCGCCACGGATTTCACCAGATACAAAGCGCCGGCCGAAGGCGCTTCTCTGGAGGAGCTCATAGGTGACATTTTGTGACAATCGTTACACATAAGACACATAGAAATGCAAAAACTCTCCTTCATAGATTTTTAATAATCTTCAATATAAAAATGTTTTCTTTTTTTTTTTTTTTGCATCACCACTTCGCGCATTAGAACTGTTCGAGCGGGACGTCGCCGCTGACGTTGGCGAGCCCGTCGAGCTCTATTTCGAGGACCCGTTCGATCTGATTCGCGTGTTCCGCGCGATGGAAACGCAAAATTTGAACGCCCTCGTGCACCTCGAGTCGCTTGCCGCACCGATGGAGAACATAACGAAGACCATCACCGTGACCGAGGCGCAAATGAAGCAAGAGACCGACGAACTCACTTCGACGATCAGGAACCTGGAAGTATATGTCGATTCTATTTTCTTTTTTTGTTGTGTTTCCGCAAGAGAGACGTATATAACGTACACCTCTCATTAGAATTAACGATGAGTCTTACGAATCCAAGTGTCCGACAGAGCTCAATCGCTAAGGAGGAGGAACGAGCGGAAAACCTCGAGAAATACGCAAACTACCTCATCGAGACTGTCATCCGACGTCTCATTAGCTCCGAAGAAGTACTGTATCTCCACGTCTTCGTGGAGGACACTTACGAAAGTTGCGTCGGTCCGAACGACGCGAATCTCGACACGTTCACCATGATGAAATGGATCGAAAGAACGCACGAGGATCTCAATCGTCAGCTGGACAATCTGCCGCGCGATATCGTTCGCGCTTGCGAGAAGGAGGGATTCAAGCAGGAGGCGAAAATCATAAAGAATGCGCAAGAAGCCGCGAAAAAGGTGGAATCAGTTATTCGGAACTTATCATTTTTGTTACCTACAGTAACAAACAAACCTTCGTAAATTACAAAATATAAATACGATATGTGCAAAATATTTTTTTTATAATTGTTTTAGTTTCATATAGAAAAATAATACTTATAATATATATTTTTTAATATCTTGTGCGCCAGTTTGATCTGATGCATCGACTGTTGGCCGATCTGAAACGCATCATGGAACCGCCCGCGAAAAAGAAGCGACCATTGACTCGACGTTCGGCGCCGATCGTCACCTTGGCGAAACCGGAGGCAGTTTCGCCGAAACCGACGAGCGAGGAGGTCGACTATCTCACGTTCTTCACCGATTACTGCAAGCACGAAGACTTCACCGCGTATCGCTCCGAGTTCCCAGACGATTTTGATCTGACGTTCCGGAGCAAACGCGAGGACACCGAGACCGAGATAACGAACGATACAACGAAGAGCGTATCGAATCACGAGGAGCAGGAAATGTGAGAGGAGAGAGGAGAAGAGGGGTGAAAAAAAAAATAAAAGTGCGCCGTTATTGAAAACGTAACGGAATCAGCGGATTTTTTATTTGAAAATTCCTCGTGCGTATATATTCGAAAAGATCGTAAATATATCAGTCTAAACGCTCTACGCGTCGTCGATTATTTAGCTAGGCGCGCGCGCGCACTATCAGTATGTATGTATACATAAATAGGCGATTTAACGATCGATCGTAGCACGAGATAAAATATATTCAAAGATAATAAAACACAACAAGGGACGAGAGTTATAGCCATACAATAGAATTTGGAACGATAGTATCGATATAAAAACAACAACCATGCTTGACAGTGATCTCTTGGCTACAAAGCGCCGCTTCACACGCGTTCTGTTTTTTTTTTTTTTTGTTTTTTTTGTTTTGTTTTTTCATTATAAAGCTTACAAGAAGATTCGCTACATACACTTCATTTTTTTTTTTTTCGAGTATCACTTTACACGAGCAACCTTCTTTTTTTTTTTGTGCAAAGCAATGATAACAGATTTTTGAATCTCACGTGTCGCAATTATTTGCCGGAAACACCGGCCGATGAGAATTCGTCAACATCAAATAATTAATTAACACAAATAAATATATAACACAATAATTTGTCAATATCAAATACTCACGAGTAAATAATTTCGCAAGGCGGTAAAAGCTCGAAATATGAACATATACATATAAAATAGCTGCGTTTCAATGAGCAATTTCAATTCGATTATAATCGCGAAAACGCACGCGCTCAACTGCGGATTTATATAAATATAATCACGCAATAAACAAGATTGTTAAAATTATATACTGTATCGAATTGTGTCTCCAACAATAATCGTGTCTCCTTAACAATAAAAGTCTTTTAGCATCTTGTAACAAGCGTATTTTGAAAAAATGCAAAATAGGCAGCAATTGATTGCTCACGCGTGTTTGTCTATGCAAAATATATAGATATTGCCATATCTTATGTATAAAAAAATATGATAGAGCAATTGGTGTAGCAATAATAAGAGCGGTAGTGCTTTATCAATATCGCTGGATAATTTTTCTAACGATTTTATATTGCCAGACAATTTATCTCTTTCGACGTTAACAAACTTCGTTGCTCGTGTCAATGTATCTGTACATCTTGAATTTGTGCCATCAGACTGTGACGTTGCACAGCGTTTTTTTCCTAAATTTATTTACAAGGTATTTACTTACATTTACGCCACTTTCGCGCATCTCGTCTCTGTATCTCTCTTCCTTCGTCGCAACAATAAAATTTCCTTAGTCGACTAGCATCGTCACACGTTTACATTTACGATTATTACATTGTTGCATACAAAATTAACGAAAACAAGATAAACCGCATTTCGTTCTAAGTTTCAAAATTTTTTGTCTAAAATGGTACGATTTGTATTTTCCGATTTTCTTTACGAATAGATATATATATATATATGTATATACACATAAATTTAAATTAGCTACCAATTAAAAGAACGGATCTGATTCCAGACTGAAACTCGTCAATCGGTTCATCAGTCGTTCAATTGAAGATATGAAAATGTTTTTTTTTTTTTCCGTTTGGTTCTCTCAAACTCAGCCGATTACACAGATAATCACAGTTCGCATCACGTCGCAATTTTGTCCGAATTCGTTTCGAAAATATCTCGAAAGATATCTTGTATACAACAATCTAACAGGAACACAATAGTTAAAATTTCCCGTTTCTATCTCGTTTTTTTCTTTTTCTCATTATTGACGCTCTTACATCAACATATGCTTACATGTAATACGCACACACGCAAATTAATCGGCGCGGACTCCACAATCGTACGCCGCAACGGCGTTAGCCTCGCCGTAAAATCGCCGTGAGAAAAAAAAAAAAGAAGGTGGTTGCGCACCTTCGGGGAAAAGGGGGAGGGTCACCGTTCGTAACTTTCAAGCGGTTACGCTCGTCATCATCTCCTCGTCGCAATCGAAGAGGGAAGACGAGGAGGAAGAATTAGTGGAGAGCATCAGCAGAGAGGCTGTCCGCAATCGACAATATCAGAAGACGCATGTGCAGTCTTCCGAGGCCCTGGCCTACCTGGCCCGTTTCCGATTCAACTTGGCGAGCTTGCGCCGCTTCAAGATCAATTGGTAAAGTGTGTCTAGGCCCTCGTGGAGTCCTTCGCCCGTAATAGCGCACGTCGGCTGCACGCGAATGCAGGCGCTACCGGGCATTGCGGCCAGTTCCAGCACCCCAAGATGCTTCTCCAACTCGCCAACCTCTTTCGCACCTGTGTGAAGAAAAACTTTTCATCGTGTTTTTTTTCTTTTTCTTTTTTTCTACTATTTACATTACAATTTTGCAATATCGCTCATTATATACCGGGTAAGTCTTGCTTGTTGGCGAGAATCAGGATGGGCACGCCCGCGTTGTCCGGGCTTCTCGCCGTTCTCGTGAGTTCCATCTTCGCCTCTTCGAGTCTCTCGGTGTCCATCGAATCGACGACGAAGATGATACCGTCGGTACATCTCGTGTACGACTTCCACAGCGGTCGTAATTTTTCCTGCCCGCCGACGTCCCACACGAGAAAATTGACACCTGTTCAAGAGACATTATAAACTTGAACAAGCGGAAAAACAAACAAACAATAAGAAAATAGCAATTGATGAAAAAAGAAAACAATATGGAAAAGTTTTCGACTTTTTTGCCTGTTGTACATCTTATGAAATGGTAGATATAAAAAAAAACACACAAACGGGAGGAAGATAAATCTAATAAAAATAGCAAAAAACGTACCTTTGGCTTTGCCGATGCCGCCGCGAATTCTCTCGCAGTTGAAACCGATGGTCGGTACGGTGTTAAGATACTGATCGAACTTCAGTCTGTACAAGGCGGTTGTTTTGCCGGCGCTGTCGAGGCCTAGCATCGCCACATGGAGCGGATTTCCCGTGGGAAGAGACTCCAACAGACCGCCGCTCGTTCCGCTCCTGCCCATTCCGGCGCCCATCCCTCTTCTCTTTCTTTTCTTCTTTTTCTATCTTTCTCCTTCTCTCTCTCTCTCTCTCTCTCTCTCTCTTGCTTCTCCGCGTCTGTTGCAACTCTGTCTATCTTTCGCTCTCGTCTATACAGTTTTGATTTTTCTTCTTAGCATTTAAAATCCCGTTTTAAAATTCTCGCGTTCTCTCAAGATCTCTTTCTCTCCGCCGAGGTCAAAATTCGACGTCCGTAAAAGGACTCGCCACCGGTTTCGCGACGGTGTTCACTACCGCGTCATCTGAAAATATCAAAGCGTGCGTCTCGTGATTAGCGCTCTCGACGATCGGTTTCGCGCGAGTGAGGCACAGGTGCGGCGCGAAAATGTTAAAATATCCTTTACGTGTGTATACAGTAAGTGGGACTTGGATCGGGGTTAATGTCACTTTCGATATTGGCGAACCGAACATTTGCGTCGGTGAATATTGCGCCGCGTTTCCTCCTCGCGTTCTCGAGAATTCTTCTAATCCATCTTGCAAACTAGCACATGTATATAGGCAACAAAAAAAAAAAAAAACCTCATTAGAGTTAAGTTAAAAGATTAAACCTTGTAGTAGTTATTAGGATTATTAAGATTTGAGAGATAGCGGCGACAAATTGTCGCGTGCGTCGATGAGAACGCTAATTGCAAGAGGAAACGATTATTGTCCCGGAGGAGCGGAGATAATGACAGAGTAAAAAAAAAACAAAACCCCCGCCGTACGCGTGAATCGTAGAAATCTCTTCCAGGCGCGCGCCGATGCAAAACTTTCACCCCCCTTTTGTCTAAGAACTTTCCAAGTGTTCGAACGCAGATTACGAGCGGCTCGTGATTCGCTTATTAGAATATCCGCCGGGCGAGCAGCTCTCATTCTCTGTATGTGTGTGTGTGTGTGTGTGTGTGTACGCCGGTCTAAGCCGAGAAAAAAAAAACTCAACAAAATCGAATCCCAAAAGCCGATGTGTGTCACAGTCCCGAGAAGTGGGCTGCGACGATCGAGAGAAAAGAAATCGAGTCGCCGGTCCTTTTCGGGACCGGTTCGCTCGCGGCAAGCACCCCCGTCGTGGTTCAGCGAATTCGACTATACTCCTCGCTCGTCGGCTCGCTTGTTCTGTGAACCGTTTCTAGGTAACCGTTTTCTTCCGTCTTCATTCCGCGTACGCGTTGCTCGCGAGCGCGAACTTTCTCTAACTCGCTCCCTTCCCTCGTCTCTTTCGCATGCGCGCATCCTCGTAGCGGTCCAGCGATAGTAACAGTTATACGCAGTTCGCAACACACCAGAGAGATGTATTGATACAGATTCTCTCTCTCTGTGTGTTCTTTCTCCCCACTTGCAGCATGTTACCAATGTAGCTTTGTGTTGCGAAAGAAAAATCTGTAATTTCAAGACACTCCTCAATATATCTATTTTTTTTTACAGTTCGATAAAAATTAATTCTACCTGATATTTTGTTATTTTGTTACCTCGAAACTCGAAGTACTCAAACCGGTGAATCAATAAAGAGTTGCGTGCACAATATTTTCATTTTGCATACATATTCATCTCTCGACTCGCAATTACGTCTCCGTGTATATAAATTTTTTCCGCGCGGGGAAACTTCCACAACTGCATCAATTTTTACGTTTTGCAAAGTAAAAAATGAGATACTAATATTGCAAAAAAAAAAACAATACAAAAAAGGGTTAACGTTTAACTGGAGCGTAAAATCGTGCGAAAAAGGAAAAAGGAAGCGTTGTGCGAGGCGAAATTCCGCTTTGGACGATTTCATCGGGCCCGGTTGCATCGGGATAAACGATGCGAATCGGTGCTGGTGTTGGCCGCCTCTCGATGGTGCATTATCGACTCGCTAAGGCGCGCGTGCGCCACAACGCCGGTCTCTTCGTCTCTCGTCCGCTTCTCATGTACACATGTTTGTATCAATGATTTTGTTCGCTATATTTAGCTCGCGCATAAGCCACACGTAAAAAAAAAAGAGATAAAAAAAAAAAATGGACAGTGTTTCTCTTGAGCAAGACCATCGTTTCGCAATTAAAAAAACCTGCTGTGTATCGATGTACAAATTTTTCCGAGAAATCAAATTTTAAACGTGTGTGTGTGTGTTTTTTCAACGTACGCTTCGCTTATTAGGACAGTGAAACTTTTCGCTGTAAACAGATCTTTTTCTCAATAAAAAAAAACAATTGTTTCTCTGTCTTAATGAATACACTCGTTGGTATTCAACCTGATGATCCCCGTGATACGATCTTTCCCACTTGAACGCCTGGGATTATGGGAAATTAATTGCTTCCATACGAAAGGCTCTCCAAGCCTTGTTTTTCTCAACTCGGCAGAGAAAAAGAATAAGAAGAGAGTTGCATTAGAAAAAACGCGAGACTTCATAAGTCACGGAGCATGTACGCATTTGCATTTATGAAATAAGATATAACTTTGTTGAATAACTCTATAAACCGCGCGCTGTTGCAACATAGAATGCGAATATAATGTAACATATTATTTATATATTATCTAAAAAAATTATAGGAAGAGAAACTTCTCTATTTATCTACACACAGTGCAAAAGGTTTTTGTTCCGTGTACAAATAATAAAAAAAACAATAAATTTATAATCTATACATTTCCAGTAATAAACTTACGACCTTACTTAGAGAAAAAAAGTAAAGTAAAATCACAATAAAAGATACAAATTGTTGAAGTACGGACATAAATTATGTAGAGAGAAACAGAGCATGTTTGTGTTTACATGTGCGTTTTAAAAAGTTCAGAAGGCGGAATTAAAATCGCAAAACAGAAAACAACAAGCGTACAGGCATGCAAACAGTAAATAATTACCTATATATTCGTTTGTGCAAAATGTGATTCTTTTGTGTAAGAACTTACTCTCTTACACCGCTATCTTATCTAGCTCGGCATCTGTTACCTTTTTTGCTTTGTGCAAATTATCGGCGTTTATTTTTTTTTTGTAACAAACACACACCGTAACGGCAATTACGACTCGTGTGCAAAACTACGCGTCAAGTACATAATAGCGAATTTATCATGTATATGTGTATGTGTGTGTGTGTGTAACGATATTTAAATTTTTCAAAACAATGTAATCGCGGGGACGGGGATATTCTATTCCCGTCTCGGGTCCGAGGGTCGCACCGCAAAAATCCGGTTGTAAATCTCGTTCCCCGACCAGAGCACGTATCTGTCGCGTGATACGCACGGAAACACTTCCCCCTGATCGGCGTCGTGTGTAAAATTTCGGGGCGCTGGTTACATCTCGGATACCGAGATTCCCTGAGATAAATTAACAGCGTCGTCGTCGTCGTCGTCGTCGGACACTCACCGTGTCACTTCCCGGAGTCCAAGTCCACGTTCGTCGGTCATATCCTCCGCGGAATTAGGCACAGGGAGCACTAACCCACTTTTCGCGCACGCACTCGCGAGGAGGAAGAGGCTATCGGCCAAACATCCACAAAAACACACGCACACATCGACGACGTGACGTGACTATGTGTGTGACCGTGTAACCAGCCGAAGAAGTGTCCGGGACGAGACCAACTGACGTTGGGAAAGACGAATCGACAGCTCGCGCGCTAATAGACGTCGGTGCGTGCGTGTCTTCGTTGCTTCGCGACCCGCCGGCACCCTATCTCGCATCACTGTGCGGAAACCCGCGTGTACGGTGCCGCTTGACACTCGGCTGCCACCACAACCGTCCGCGGGCGCGCGTCCATTTTCCTCTTCTTGAATCTCGTAAGGTCGACAGGAAACACGCGGGGACCCCTGTCGGAACTGGGAACCAACCGCGAACGACAAATCCGTTTCCGATCGATAAGTACGGGAACGGCAAACAAAAACTTTGACAAGAGAGGAGAGAGCGAGTACTGCTGTGGTACAGAGACACACGGCTCCGCGAAAAATGGCGTCTCCTCGACCGAAATCGCCCCGAATTCCTACGAAAGAAGAGAGTTTCTGGGATAAAATCGGAACTCTCGGACGGAAGAAACGTATCAAGGAAGGTAAGAACAAAACTGTTTCGTATCTTGTGTCAAAATACGCCTACGCTTTGTTACGTCAGTTGTCAACGAGCTGATTGTATCCTTATATGGAACAAGACGCGTTTGTCTTGCGAACGACGAAAAATAAATCGGAGTTCTGTTTGGAGAGAAAAGTTTTCGTTTGTATCCCGTCGATTGGAGGAACTGATCATCGTTTATTCGAATTTTTATTTGAGTTTCTTAATTGTAAATACATATACTAATGAATCTATGATATATAAGTCGTTTAAAAAGATATAAATAACGATGATGTGTTATACTTTCACAGTGCAAGATGTGCAGGAAGAGGGCAAGTACGCAATTGACTCACCCGGATACGGTGCCAATCCTGATATGCCACCGGAAGAATACAGCCTTGATGAAAACGAGGAGCGTTCCATGATAGAACCGAAGTCTTTGGAAGATCCCAAGCTGCAGGAACTGATATTCGTGCTGATCGAATGGATCAACGACGAACTAGCCAATCAACGGATCATTGTGAAAGACATTGTGGAGGATCTTTACGACGGACAAGTGCTGCAAAAACTTTTAGGTATAAATAACAGTCTGGAGTATGCAATGTCTGTTTCTAAAATGTGTAGTCTATTCATTCTCAAATCCTTTTTTTCAGAAAAACTAACTGGAGAAAAACTGGACGTGCCCGAGGTAACTCAGTCCGAGGAGGGTCAGAAGCAGAAGCTCGCTGTCGTCTTGTCCACTGCCAATCGTGTACTGGGCCGATATCCACCTTACAAGTGGAGCGTCGAGTCTATACATACGAAAAATATCGTCGCGATTGTGCATCTACTGGTCGGCCTGGCCAGGCTCTTTCGCGCTCCCGTCAGATTACCGGAGAGAGTCGCCGTGCAAGTGGTCGTGGTGCGCAAAAAGGACGGCCAGCTAATACACAGGACAGTGAGAGAGGAATTGACAACAACGTACGACGATTTGGGTATGCGTTGCGAACGCGACGCGTTCGACACGCTCTTCGATCACGCACCTGATAAACTGGCCGTCGTGAAAAAAGTAAGTTATCATCACGAATGTTATGTTTAAGATTTTTATCTGCATTTTTTTAATAAAAAATATTTGTTATCTTTTGTTTTCAAGTCTCTGGTGACATTCGTAAACAAGCATTTGAGCAAAGTACATTTAGAAGTGACCGATTTGAATACTCAGTTCCACGACGGTGTCTTTCTGACTCTGTTGCTCGGTCTGTTGGAGGGTTTCTTCGTTCCGTTGGGTAGCTTCCACTTGACGCCAAAGACCATTGATCAGAAGGTTCACAATGTTACGTTCGCATTTGACATTATGCGCGACATCGGGCTACCAAAACCCAAAGCTCGTCCTGAAGGTAAATTTAGCGATTACTTAATTGTTATATATGTGTGAAAAAAAAAAAAAACATTCTATTTGATCCGTGAATAATATCCTTCCTCTTGCAGATATCGTGAATTTGGATCTGAAATCGACGCTTCGCGTGTTGTACAATCTGTTTACAAAATATAAGGGTATAAACTAATTAACTATTTATGTCAAGTTGCTTCATAACTATATATATATATATATAGTATATACATAAAGATACGTCACATCATTACAGATCATTAATTATTCTGTTAACTGTGACGCAACTTTATCATTGAACTGCCATTCTTTCTGAAGAAAATTACAAGATGTGTTTACTTTGTTTTTGTTTAAGCTGTTATTTATGCGCTTTTCATCTTGGATAAATGAAAGCGCAAAAAGGCACAGCTACACAAATAAAACAAACTACACACATCGCGAGCTTTACGTGCAATGTGCCTTTTGAAAATAATGTATAATATATATATATAATTTACACATACATGTGTATGATAAGTAGTATTTTACTTATACACACAATTGTTTATAATTTATATATAAATCATATAAATATATAATTATAGTTTTATACACAAATCATATAATTTAATTCTGACTATACTGACAATTTTGTATAAAAACTCTGAATGCTTTTATTAATAAATATTCCAACTACATTGTCTTCCTTATGTAGGTATAAATACTCGCTAACACACAAAGAAACGAAATAAAGCATGACCGTCTTACAAATCATATAATACATATATGAGAGGTGTCATAAATAACGCGTGACAATAAAATTCAAAAAATCAAGAGAGGGCAGAATAGAAAAACAACACATGACTAAACTAACGTCACGTTTTTGCTCTCCTCTCTGTCACGTGACTTTACTTTAGTCACGTGTCTTTAAAAACCAATTTGAAATGTCACAGTACTCGACAACACACAGAGAAACGACGACTTCGTTGCGCGTAAACTTGGCGCGAGGCACTACCGTGCCTCTGTCTCACATACACGACACATGAAGATATAAAACCATTTTTAATATTTTGTTTTTGTGTTTTTGTAGTTCGTATACGAGACAGAAGAAAATGTTCTCGACAAAGAAATATTTACCGTAGAGCAACAACAAACGAACGAAATATATTAGAAACAAAAATGGAAGGAAACACAAAACTAAAATTCATCAACTGCATAGGAATATATCGGCTGTTTACTTCTTTGGAAATTGTGTCGACACGATCGTACCTGCCGCCGTCATTCCAGGGTGATCGATCGGGACGCATAACGTGACAGCTGTCTGTTGTCTTTCTTTACATTTGACGAAAATGATCGTGTATAAAACACGATTTGATACGAGAGATTTGAATAGTTGAATAATATATCAGCTGATATATATATAAGTACACAAAATGTGGATTGCGTTATTGCGGTACGAGATCAATATCATTTTTTCTACACGAAATGAGATCTCTCGCTGTATTTGGTATAACGGTATCAGCTAGTTAACATCTTGTTTTCATAATGTTTAATCTTGTTTTAGATAATATTAAAAATTTTTAATATTGAAAATATTATATTTTAATCCAATCATATCTTGTATCTTATCTTGTTTTATATTTTTGTTTGTGTATTTTTTATATTTTTAATATCCATTATAGCGAAGGAAGAATATGAAGATATGTTTGTACATTGTTTCATACTCTTCTCTGAGAATCTTTTGCGTGTAAATCTCACGTATGTTTTAAAATGCATTATCAGTTCTTTATCTCCTTACATTTCAATTTACAGAATACTCACAATATAACTTTGATTATCCATCAGCGAGCTCTGTGTCTGAAGTATAAATGAGCAAGACAGAGATAGAGGATACTTGTTTGCATAATGTCTTCCTAGTCTGAAAGTAGCCGAGTCGTATTATCCCGATAAGAGAGTCTGAGATACAATTTCGCGGAGGAATACGCTTCCGAGACACGCGATGTCGCGCGACTTCGGTCGGTGTCTTCAGTCTTCCCTTGACTTTCCGCCTGACAATTGCGGACACAGAAAACGTGTCGCAAACGAGTTCGCTGGCGTGCAATTAAGTCGCCTGAGCACTCAGGCGTATTTGGATTTCTCTCTTACTCTTTTGATTGACATATTAATTCCGTTCTTCATACGGTGTGTTTCTTCTTTTGAAATTTCTATTCGTTGAGAGTTTTTCACACACGCACAAACTCGGATAAAAAACTATCATCTCCCCTGTGACGCGAATATATTTGAGCAAAATACTATGACGACCGACGAGCCATCGAACGTCGATCCGCCGGAATTGCGGAAAGCTTTCGGCGATATCGAAATCAACGTTGTTAACATCGACACCTGTAAAACAAACATATTCACTCTTTACGCGAAGATATTCCGACTACTTCTCACGACTCACACGCCGAGCTTTAGCCTTCTCAGCGAGGAACAGCGTAACCGGGAACTCGAGAAGCTAATACTTCCGAGCAATGAAGAATGGCGTCACCGAGCTTACCAGAGTCTCGTCGAGTTGCAAAGAGAAAAGGACGCTGAGACCGAAGATAAAAAGTAAGTCGAAAAAAACGTCACATAGAGAAACGTCACGTGTAACGCAAGAAATCAAAAGTGTAGAAAACAAATATTTCTTGTTGAGACAATTGTTATTTACACTGTTGGAAAAAATACGCATTTGTTCTCTCTCAATGTAAAAATTAATTAAATCCTCCTATTTCGTTTAATGACATCTTAAAAAATATCCAATTGGAACTTACCGATTCGCGTATTTAAATTTAATCCAGTTTGTTTTAACAAAATTTACAAACGCCAAAATCGTGAAGGACGATTTTTTTAGCGCAAAAAAATTTAGTATCGTATCTCGCTGACCCGCGATACAGTGTGTACCCGTCCGAACGCCATGCAGATCGAGAATTTTTGTTTGAGGATGGAAAATGCCGAATGTAGCGTGAGTCCCGCGAACTCGCACGAGTGGGAATGGTGTCCAAAGGAAATGAGATACGTGCCGAAGGGAAAAAAAATCGAAAGTCCGAACACGATCGCATCCCTGAACGCTATATCGGGAACTGGCGGCTCGATGACGGAGGCTTGCGTGGAGCCGGGCTGGCGCGTCAACGATATTCTCTTGGCGGCCAAGGTTCTCCAGAACGCGCGGCCCATCCCGAACTACGCGAACGAGGCCGAGATGAGACGCGTCTTCGGTTTGGTGTACGATGTTCTCAGATGTGAGCTTCCAGTCTTTGAACACACACGATACGTGGAAAGAACTTTGTCTCTTTTTCACATGAAGAGATTTTTAAATCTAAGAGTATTATACAAACTTTCCAGACAAAAACATTTTAAATCGCACCCTCGAAGACGGCGGCTTTTGGTATCAAAACGGCGACCTGAAGCAACGAGAACGAGTGGTCTGGCTGTTGCTGTACGACATGCAGGGAAGAAAGTTCGCGCGTCGGCGCGACGGAAACGCTCTCGAAACCCGGAAGAGAATATTCCAGGTTTGCGTGCAAGAAGGAATATCGCGCGAAACACATATTTCATCTTGTTCATAACAAAACCCGAATTTTTTCACGCATTTTCGACAGAATAAAGAATTTTTGGACAAATATAAAACTGTCGCGTTAATTGCGACAATTTTTTGCGCTCTTCCAGGCTTTCGGACTGACAGACATCGAAGACGCTCTTTTGAAGGCGAAGACGCACTTAGCGGCGAGCATATCGCGTCTTCGCATCGGCGGCTCGGCGCTCAGTCTCGGTTATTATCGAGTTTCGATGTTGTTGCACATAAACTACTCGCGAAGTAACGAATTTTGTTTGCGAAGCATCTGCTTTGTGTGATTTACTTTATTTGCCACCCAGACGAGCTCCTCCCGATGCATCTGCGTATCGCCGAAGGAATAAGCTGGGCCGACGAAGGCGCGATCGCTTCCGGATGGATCAACACCATGAAGATGACCAACAAAAACGAATTCGTGCGAGAAATGTTGAAGCTAAAACTCGCATTGCGCGACGACGACGTCAAGCCTGTGGAACTCGACGAGAACGACTACGTTTTCGATTCGATTTGTCCGAAGATGATAAACTTGCACGATAAGGCGCGAGAGACACTCGCCGTGTCCAATTTGGTGCGCGATCACCGATTCGTTTTTCTGGTAAATATCTTTGCGTTGTCAAAATTTCAAAGAAACTGATCTTGCGATTGCCCGCGACTCGAAAAAAAATCGCAAATGTGAAAGCGAATGTACGAGAGAATTGAGAGATAAGGATTTATTTTTTTAGGAAAGATCGCTGTGTCTCGGAGCGGCCGCGTTGGCGCAGGCGATGCGCGTCGCGCGTCTCTGCGGTCCCGTGGTCCTCACGCACTCGATCGCTCCTCGCCACACGGGCTACCTGGCCGCGCTTCTGACCGACATCGAGGACGCTGGTAGACTCCTGGCTTTCGGCGCCGGAGATCGTCACCGCGAATACGAAGCTTATCTCGAGACTCTGGGTATTACGGTGCAGCAGTGCAGAATCTTCTCGGAGAAGTAACAATCTCTCGCGCGAATCTGTCGCAATTAAAATTATCCAAAACTTATTATTTTAGATAGAAAATTATTTATTTTTTATAATTATTCTTTTCGTATTATTTTTTGTTACTTTTATCTTTTTTGTTCTTTTCATTCTGTTGTGTTATTTTTGTATTAATATTTTTCTTCATTTTGTGCCAAAGTGATTTGTTTTTCCGTTAATCGATAACAAATAATACAATAAATAAAATTTATTATACAATTATTTTTTTTTATCGTCATCACACCTGCCACGACGATGCGGATTTTAATCGTCAGATACGTGTCGCCGCCGTCGTCCGTCGAATTGGAGAGGGCGACCGTCGTACTGGCGACTCCTCCGTGCAGCTACACCGGCGTTCGGGACATTGTCGATCTCGCCGTTGCTCGCGGCGGTGACACGAATTTATTAGAATCTTTGACAAACGACGCGGCGGGCGAGATCAAACACCCACGTGCTCTTCTGGCCGAACAATTTTCCACGCTCAAACACGCGCTGACCAGACCGAACATACAGTTTTTGATATACGAGGTGCACACGATCCTGCCGTCCGAAACCACGGAGATGGTTCGACAAGTCGTCGATTACGCCAATCAAATAGCCACCGAGAAATATATCCGCGAACATTTTGTGAGTGCGACACAGATTTTGCATTACGTAAAATTTCATCTGTTTTGTGTGCGTCGGGTCTTCAATGAACAATAAGATAAAAAACCATTTCTCAAATTACATTCAGTTTTTTTTTTAAATATTTTATTAACAACAATTTATAGAATACTACAGATTTTTTTATATTTGTATTTTTATATTTGCTTTGTGCAAAAAAACTGGTATTTTCAAATCATTGTTCAGGTAAAGAAAAAAACAAAGGACAGTAGCGGAAAGATTTCCAAGATGGCCAAAGTTGGCAAGGAACAACTGCGAGGACACTCGGAAGAGCAATCGCAAACGCGCGAAGAACAATCGTCGTTTCCGAGCAAGCAGGAGGAGGATGACGAAACGACGTTGGTTACGCCCGATGTTGTTGTAAGATCATTCGCTAGTAAAGAACCATTGAAAAGAACTCGTTGTCGATCCCGAGATATTTAATTTTACATATCGACATAATAAAACAAAATGTACACGGAAAAAAAAGATTTGCTAGAATAGCAAGAAATTAGTTACTGGTATATGACCAGCAAAGAAACATTTGTTAAGTTTGTTAAAATTTTTGTTTTGCCAACAAAACATTTTGTTGATGAAATAAAAAATTTTCACTAGAGTCAATTATTTTTCTTGCTAACCATATAATAAGCAAAACTTTTTTTTTCCGTGTACAAATGATTACATGTGTTCAAGATTCCCGATAGCGATTTGTTCGAAGTGGGCAGCATCGACAAGATCTACGGCGAGAACAGCGAGCGAATGTTGGACCAGGGCTGTTTCATCGCCATAATCAAACGGAAGGAAATGATGCAGTTCGACTCGCTTTTTATGATCAAGGTGGCGGAATCGAAGGGGCTGTTCGGCGATCCCGATAAGGAACGAGCTTCGAAGCGGGAAGCCGAGGTGTCGGCGGCCGCGCAACAAACGCTACGAATGAATCACTCGAGTCTCAAGCGTGTCAAAGTACGTTACATTGAAAAACTTATATGCTTAGAGTTTTTAGTTCGTTACGAAACGATACCGATATTTCTAACTCGTTTCTCTTCGTACGCGCGTAGGTCGAAATAGATCGTCTGACAGCACCCACGCTGTCTTCGCTGTCGCGGACCGCGAACAATCGTCAGCTGTGCCCTCGTCACATCCGATACGTTGTTCGAAACGAGAAATTACTGTCGACGGAAACGCGAAAACAACAAGATGCGCGCCAATACTGGCAGGATGCGATCGACTTTCTCGTTCGTTCGAAGGGATGCGATTCCGTTCGCGAGTTCCAGGCGATACGTTCGAATTCGCAAAATCCATCGTATCCTTTTCACGTGAAGAAGATCGTGTTGTCGAAACGACGCATTCTCGTCGGCAATACCGTGACAAAAAAGGATCCACTTAGAATTTAATTCAATCTTGAAATTGTTTGCCCATTGCGTCTAGTTACGAATTTTTGCAAAAATATATAAAAACAACAAAACAATTGCACAAAAGCAATACAACAACAATTTTGACATTTTTAATAGTGCGATTACGTTAAAAAAATGTTTTCTGTTTTAGCTTAAAGTTACACACAAGAACAAAGTATCTGATTACTGTATCTCTCTCAAGGTGTGTATCAAACAGTTTTACATTAATGTTTTTAGAAGATTACATTTGTAATTATTTATTTTTAATGTAAGATTGCGTGTGGATTATTCTAGAAAATAGAACATTGTAGTTCTGCTTTTTAATCACGGAAATGGACTGCGTCCAACTGCTGTTGGTTCAATAAATAGCACAGCGCATCTTCGTGCATATTGTTTTTCTCGTCTTTCTTCTTTTGGACTTTTATCAATGGCTCTCTCCGCGTGTTCCACATCTTTAGAAATATATCAAAAAACTTTTACGAAATCGTTTTTTTTTTTTTTTTTCGCACACGTATGCAACCGCGCGATTTTAACACAATATATTTCAGCAACTTTGACAACAACTTTGATTTAAATCGCATATTTACACGAGTCTTGTGATTTAAAATCTCCGACATTATTTTGTATAAAAAAACATTGTATAATTATTATATAAAATTTGATAGTTTTTATAAATAATTGTTCACTCGCAATAAAACAATTATTTATATTAAACGATGGATTGTGTTACGATCGACTTTTTGCGATTAATTGAATCGAAATTAATGCGATCCGTCATTGTTGGAACGTCGATCGGATATCTTCGTGAGAGAAAAGAATTTTACGTAATATCATAAAAAAAAAAAAAAAACAAGCTTTTACCATCACGCTATGAACGAGTAATTCTTGTATGTAGCAACGAATTAGTAGAACAAGTAAGGGAAGTAACAACATATAATGACACATCACGAACAAGAATCGATCGGTATGTGAGATACGATGAACGTATCGATCGAGGAGCATCGAGGCAATTCTTAAATTGTGAAAATCGTGTTAAGAAAATTCTCGCTTTTGGATAACTCTCGAGAAAACACTGTTTCAATCAAATATGTCAATGTGGAGGAAATTAGGATTGCCGCTCTTTCGTCACGGCGATAGGATGCGACGCGCGTTATTCGCGAGTTATTGCAGTTCCAGCAAACAAGCTGTCGTAAAAACGGTACGGACGCAAGCATCTTCCGTCTCTTCTTTCTCACGATGTATTTTTTTCTTTAATTAAAGTTTCTTTCTCAGAAATACGATTTGTATCGACTCGACAAGGGACCGTCGGAAGAGGCGTTTGTGACCGTGGACGAGGCCAGGTACGCTCTGGAGATGATGAATTACATACGCCGGATGGAGCACAAAGCCGCGGATTTGTACAGGCAGCGTCTTATCAACGGTTTTTTGCACTTGTACGTCGGTCAGGTACGCCGAGAAAGTTTGTTTTGAATTAACATATTGAGATCTGTGCGCGGCCAACCTATGCGAAAACGAATGCACGCTACTCTCGCGCGATCCAGGAAGCCGTGGCTGTGGGCATCAAATTGGCGCTGGCCGAAAACGACACCTTGATCACATCGTACAGATGTCACGCTTTCACCGTCGTGTTCGGTGCCACAGTTCGCTCGGTTTTCGCGGAACTACTCGGCCGTAAGACGGGACCGTCTAAGGGCAAGGGCGGCTCGATGCACATGTACGGGGAGAGATTTTACGGCGGCGACGGTATCGTTGGAGGACAAGTAAGTCGATTTTTTTTTTCCGACTTTTTATTCGCTTCTTCCGGTCTGTTATAATTCGCGTTGCGGATTAGGTGCCAATCGGTACCGGTATCGCTCTTGCTCACAAGTACAACGGCACGGGCGCCGTGTCATTCACGTTGTACGGCGACGGCGCGGCGTCGCAGGGCCAGATCTTCGAGGCCTGGAACATGGCGAAGCTCTGGAACCTGCCGGTGGTTTACATCTGCGAGAATAACTTGTACAGCATGGGAACGGCCTTGCACCGGCACTCCGCCAACACCAAACTCTACACCCGCGGAGATCTTATACCGGGAATAAAGGTGCTTTTTTTTTATGGCGTTTGAAGTAATATTTACATTTATTTAGACCGATATTTATATACAGTCGAATTTTTTAATTAAGATCTTACATTCGTATTTAGATGCTATAGCCACTAAAACAACCTGTGCGGCATCTTAAGATGAATTTAAAAAACACTTTTAATTATTGGACTATGAGAATATCGGTCTTAGAAACGTACATGTTACATTTAAACAACATTTTACATCCATACATATTTATAAAATATATTGAAATGAAATATAAAAGAGCAGTATATAAATAAAATATTCTATTAAATTTCAGGTCGACGCAATGAGAGTTGCGGATGTGCGCGAAGCCGTACGTTTCAGCAGAGATCACGCGCTTAGACACGGACCGATTATAATGGAGTTCGTAACTTATCGTTACTACGGACACAGCATAAGCGATCCCGGCGTCAGTTATCGTAGCAGAGAAGAGATCAAACTCATGCAAACCGAGCAAGATCCCATCGCGCTATTCACTAAGCTCGTGGTACAGCAAGGACTTTTGACCGAGAAAGACATTGAGGTAGTTGTCAAATTTTTTTATTGTTTTTATTGTTCAAACAATCGCGATTGTCCGAGACGGCTGCGCTTTAAACAAACTATTGCAGAACATACGAAAATCGGTGTATAAGAAGGTCGACGAGGAAGCGGAACAAGCTAAGGCCGACTCGTGGCCGGAACTGTCGGAAATTTCAACTGACGTTTATGCGAAACCGCTGGAAAAAGTTCGCGGCAAAGTTCCGTGGGAATTATATTGAAGAAAGCAACGTTTTGTGTTATATCGGTCGCGTACGTAATTTTTTTTTCTGACAACCAGTTTTTAATCATTTCCCGCATACAAAGTCTCGGATGACTTTCCGTGTTTTTTTTTTTTTTACGTGTACTTTAGCGTGTACTTTTCGATAAAATGTATTGTGAAAACTGTATAAAAGTTTTGTATATTATAAAATTTTGCAAATATATAAATGCAATCTAAATAATATACACCGTAAAATCTGTTATAAAAATAATTCTTAAATATTATATAATATCACATTATTCTAGTTCGAGGTCGTTGTTGTAAAAAATGATCAGATTTTCTTGACTGCTCGTTAAACGAGCATTTGTAGATAAGATTAGGTCATGTAAGAATTTCTCTCTTTCTCTTTTTCTCTCTCTCTCTCTCTGTTTAGAATGACACTTTTATATACGAAAGGCATTGTTTTTGGAAGAAATATTAGATTGCACATAATTTAACGTGACTTATCCTACATTTTTTCTCGATCTGCTTGCGAATTTAACATCCGACGGGATCGGCAAAAAAGAAAGAAGGAAAGATTATACAGTCTCGTTATTTGTTCTGTCAACAGAAAAGTGATTAATTGAGGCTGATGATGGTGTAAAAACCCGAAAGCACGTAGCCGGCGAAATGCGGCAAGACAGTTGATGGACACGAGCTCGATGAATGAGTCAGATCGTGAAAGAGGCGTAGGAGAAGCGCGCAGCCAACGCGGAGGGCGAGACGAAGCAACATAAACGTCTCTGCGGGAGTCGCCTTGCGTCGCTCGCACGTGTCACATCGTGTGCTAATTGAATTCTAACGAGAATCGACCAAGTCGCGACGATATCCGTCGGTCGTTTTAATATACATTTTGTATGTATTAAGGTTTTTTATCATTTTTATCAATTGTGCCAACACGGTTGACAATATACTCGACACCTGCGATCGCTCGTCTCGAGCGACCGATGAAACTGACAACAGGTATTGTATCTGCTGTTTTTTTCTGCGAATTCTAGTTTTCCTTATAACACATACACACACACACACGTAATTATACAGTTCCACGTCAAGTTGTTTCGTCTGCGCGGTAGAGTTCAAACCGCGTTCGCGGTTCAACTTGAGCAAAGTTTGACGTAACTGTGAAGTAAAAAAGTTTGATGTTAAAAAATTCATCGCAACGTTCTCTGCTCTTGAACGAAATATACAAGGGCGAAGAGGGAGATGGCGCACAAAGGGCGGTGTCTGAAAGTTTGCAACACAGAAGAAGAACGAGCAATCTAAGAGGCGCATGCGGTTGGTCTCAATTGTCCTAAGTTAATAAAACGAGCGGCGACAAACCTCGGCCGCGTCATCGACCAAAGCGCGCTCGAAGAATTTCTCGCCCAAATAGATGACAATAACTCGATCGAAGTCGACGTGATGCCGTATCTTAATTATCCCGGACAATGGGATGGCGCACGGTATTAATGAAATTAAAAAAAAACACACACGCACACGTTATATCGACGTCCTGATGTAGAAAATAAAAATAAATCATTTTTTTTCTCTCCGTTCTGTTCACCGAAGCAAATACAATTTGTAAACATGCTTCTTTGCGGAGGAAAGTAAATTTTTCTGTAACAAATTTGCATAAATCACGATTATTTTTATTATAACGAGCTAAACACAAACTGTAAGAAAAAATACAATTTATCACCAAGTTGTATTTAGTAAGCGTTGCAATATTTGTGATAAAACGTTATCTGCAGTGGTTATATCTCTGCGCGCACACATCCTGTAGAAATATAAAAATATGTATCCTCGGTCATTAATATTTGCAGACAGAGACGATCGAGAAAACAATGCTGAGAATCATGACGGGCGTATTATTATCATCTATACTGTAAACATTTGCGATAGAAACTTTTGAAGTTGTCGTTCGAGTTGTCACAATTGTACAATTGCTTAGAAGCGAAGAGTTGTTGAATTCTATATAAACCCAACAATAAAAATGGAAACCGACACGAACATCAGCGACATATTGCGCGGTATGTATTTTTTATGCGTGACATCTTCTAGTGAGATTGTAAATGCGTGCTTAACAAAGTAATGTGAGTTTTCTTTTATTTCAAAACACACACCGTTTTAAATCATCCCAATAGTTCGTTTATACGCAACATCTCGTGTCAAATTTTTGTCAACAGAGACGATAGCATTTCTGGAATCCATTCGCGACATGAAGCTTCCGCTCGCGTTGGAAAATCTCAGAGTGAAGCTGTTGGCGCGTTCGAAGAACACCCTGAGCGCCGTTACGCGCGCTCAGGGCGCGTCGTCCCCGGACAAACCTTATCTCGACATGAACTCCGGCCCGAAGAGCATATTGCTGAAGTGCGAGAGCAAGTCGGAAGATTACGTGGAGAAAGAAGAGTCTCAGAAACAGACCTATCAGGATTACTACGAAACGTTCGAGAACGGAATCATCATCGTGAACCCGACGGAGAATTCGTCCGAGCGCAATGACGAAGATTGGGACGAGGACGAGACGTTGATCGGGATTTACAAACACTTGCCCGCGGTTCAGGTGAGGAGCAAGTGTCACAAATGCGGACCGCTTTACAAAAAGGAGGGGAAGAAGTTGTTTCTGTCGGAAGGAGGTCGTACCTGCTGGATCGCGCTGATCGGATCGTACTTGCTCATCTATCGAAGCGAACGACACAATCAGCCTATCTCGATTCACTCGATTCGCGGTTACATGGCGCGTCCCGCGCCCAATTTGATCCCGCGCGATCGACGGAGAAGCGAGTTGGCCTTCGAGATATACAAACCGGGAAGCGAGACGTTGCAGTTTATCGCGAGAACGCGAAAAGATATGGATCAGTGGGTGGCGAGGATCTGCGAAATAGGAAGCTGCAACGAAGAAGCGAACAATAAAACGGAAGAGCATAAGATTCAGATCGTTCAGTCCTCTCCGATGAGTCGCAAGAACAACGACACGGCAGGGCGTGTGGTTAAGGAAAAATCGGACGTTAATGACGGAACGAAGACCAAAGGCAAGACGACGGCAAGTAGCAAGAAGACCGGAGCGACGGAGCGCGCGGACAACGCGCCTCCGTTACCCGCGCGAATACCACGCAGGTTGCCTTCTCTGCCGCCCTCCGTCTCGCCGCTTGACTACAGCAATATGACCGTCGTTCAGAACAACGACGACGACGACGACGAGATCTATCACAAGATCGAGGACCTGCAAAACGAGATGCAATATCAGAATCTGTCCAAGAAGAAACGGGTCGCGAACAATCAAAGCGAAATCGCGCGCAATGAATCCGACGTAGGAAGAGACAAAGATGAGACGGCGAAGGAAAATTCCTTCGGCGCAAACGAGGAGATATACGATGACGTTACGCTTTCGCGGATCAACGCAACGACTACCGTCGGACAACAGAACAATTCTCTCAATGATCGTCCCGTCGTCAACGATGACGAAACACAGGAAGACTTGTACGACGACGTGGAAGTAAGTAAACAAATTAACGCTAATTTACATAAAAAACAATGTACGCTTTAGTCTCTGTTTTAAGTTCCGATAATTGTTTTAACGTGCGTGCACAGAATCTAATTCCGATTATAAGATTCGGGAAGGATCGCGCGAAGGAAGATCAGAAAATCGACGCGTCCCCGAGCAAGCTGCAGAAGAAGTCCTTCCTGGACAGAGTTCTCAGCAGAAGGGAATCGTCCGGAGGCAAATCGGAGAAGAGATGCAAGAGCAAAACTTCGCTCGAATCCGTTGCCCCGCTCGTCTCGGAGAAGATGCCCACTTACGACCACGTGTCCGAACCGAAGAAGGAGATTAAGGAACTCTCAGCACCAAACGTGGAAGAGGAATTACCAGAGTACAACTGTCCTCCGCCCCCCAGACCGATCACGCCCAACCGGGCGAATAATTCCGGTCGAACGGAGGAGTATTACGACGACGTGAGCGCCCGTCGAGAGGAGTGTGGTAATAAAAGTCTTCTTCAGGTAAGTGTTCTGTAATGTTTCACTCGCTAAATAATCAGCGCAGGAAAAACTCGCTCGCTATTCTCAATCGAGTTTCAATTCGAGAAATTTCTTTCTCGACAGAAAACGCAAGATTCGCACGGAGGAGCGACCGACGAAGCGACGGACGACAACGCGGAGTGCGATGATATCAAGATTTTAGCAAACGGTACTTTCGCGGAAGAGGAAATCGAGCATTATCAGTCGCCGAAAAGTGGTTTGCGCGTTCGCGACGCCCTTGAGACCGAACAGAACGAAGAGTTGTACGACGACATAGCTCTGTGGGCCGAATTTAGAGCGCGGCAGAGAGACGTTATCGAAAGGAAGAGAGATAACGAGGACAACGCGAAGTCGAACGACAAGAGATCGTGGAATCGATTTGCCGGTAACAGAAAGTCGCGCGCGAGCGATTCCAATTGCGCCAACGAAACGAACAGACGAAGCGGCAACGAGAACGACGAGACCGAGAACTCAAACGAGGGCTCAACCAGACGAAACACCTTTCAGAAGTTGATCAGCAAGATGAAAAATCAGTCTTCCTTTTCGACGAGCAAATCGAGCACAGCTAATAATAATTATAATAATAATTTTTAAAACTTTTTATTACAGAAAAAAACGTATTTCTCTCTTTTCAGACAGAAAATTGTCGACGTTTTGACGATTTTTGATCGATTCTTTGTAAAAAGCTGTTTTTTTTTTTTTTAAGAAAAACTATGTACAAATAAATAAATTTTTAACAACGTTTCGCTGTTTTTTTTTTGTCATTTAGTTTTTATTATTTATTATTTCTTTTTTATAAATTTTTACGATCTGTGCGCGCGGAAAAAAAAAATCGCGCGGGTCAATCTTTCTCACTCGTTCGCACAGAGTCACGTTTTTAAAAGTTAAAATCTCCTCGAAAAAAAAAGAAAAGGATAAGAGAAGCAGAGACGGGAGAGACGGTAGTTTCTCTCGCGTCGCACGTAGTTTCGTCCATTTACGCGGTGTGGTTTCGTCCACTAAAAAGTTACGCGCAGGTACGTACAGCGCAGCAGCTGATTCGTAAAAGATGGCCGGCACTGATACAAACGATACAAACGAATGATCGCCATCCACGGTGCCCCGCAGTATGGTTTGATATTCGCTCGGTGTACGCGTTAACCGTCGTGCGATTAAACAGAAGGGGCGAGAATCAGTCGGAATTATAGTAGTTCGAATCGGTCTCGCGTTTAGCGGAGATTGAGGTAAAGAGATGATTTATTTTTACGCGTGCGTCTCTCCGTCGCACACAGTCCCACTCTGCGAAACAGATTCTCTTCACGCTGATCAAACGATCTGTTCGATGTGAAGTGCGACCGTGTTGACAGAAAACAACAACCAATCGAGCGCATTCGTCGACACTCGTTGATAATTCGGCGTTATGCGAAATATCTTGTATTTTCGTGTCGTGGGAAAGGGCGAGATAAACACAGAGAAGCAACGTAGCAGGAGACAGTCCTGAGTGAGCGACACGCATTGTAAGATATGTTATTAATTTATTTTTATATATGCAAATGAATTCGTTGTTATTTGTTGTTTGTTCTTTTTCGCTGAACTGGCCCACACTAGTTCGGAGTTTATCATTTTCCTCCAACTTAAAGTGAAAAAAAAAAAAGATGAACTCTGAACTGGTGCAGCTAGTTCAGTGAAAAAAAAAAAAAAAAAAAAAACCAATTGCGGAGAGTCGTTTGTGCTTCGAATAATTGCCATTTTATCTCACTCATCTGTGTGTGTGTGTAACGGGAGAGTTTTTTTATTTCATTTGTTCTTCTTCCAAGGTGTTGAATGTCAGGGATTTCATAAGAGCCGCAAGAATCATCGGAAATCTGTTGTGAAACTCGCAGTATCTCCCTCGCTCGTCGACAATATAATGGCTTATGACTCACACAATGTGAAATATTCGTCGAGTACACACCCTCCTTCACACGGCAGATCAGCCGCACTCGGTTATGCCTACTCCGGTCATTCTCAACAACACTTTCAACAGACCGACGAGAACAGAAATGAGAACAACTTCTGCGGCAACAAAGAGTTAACGTCGGGACAGATCTCGCAACAGTCGTCCGGCACCCAGACCATACAGAAAGTTGACGCTGCAACCATGACGGATCCCTTGCAGATTGATTTCAGACTCACGTCCGAGTACTTCGCGCGCTGTTCCAGCACTCTGGGCCTACCGTACGTGACCAAATACGAGAGCAGCGGCAATAATTCTATTCACAGTTGTCAGGAGATAAAACCGAAACTTGAGTTTGAAATCGAGCCACAGCACATTAATGGTGAGTTAGCCTCACGAGCTTTTTGTTGTGTCAGAAGTGCTTCTTGCACACAAAATGTAGATTCTGACTACCGACGATTCTGTGTGTGTAATAATTCTCTCTCTCTCTGTTTGTAAAGGTATATTGATTTACCACTGTCCGGAGTGCGCATATAGATTTGAGGATCGGGAGGCGCTTCACGAGCATCTCGAGGATCACAAGCAGAGACCTCACACCTGCGACATTTGTGGCGCGAGCTTGAAGCGAAAAGAACACTTGGATCGCCACAAGCAGGGACACAACAAGGACCGGCCTTATCAGTGCACTATCTGTTGCAAAGCATTCAAGCGCAACGAACATCTGGCACGTCACATGATCACTCACTCGGGTAGCAAAAATCAAGTTTGTACAGAATGCGGCAAGGCTTTCTACAGAAAAGATCACTTGAAGAAACATTTGCAAAGTCACAATAGCGGTCGTAGCAAACACTTGAACATCACGCAGAACAACCCGAACGATCAACAGCCGAGAGAAGGGCTAAGTAGTTTCGCTATGATGATGAGACAGACCGGGCCGCCTCCGTTTTCAATTTTGCGAACTTAGTTACCGCACTGAATAATTTCAACATATTTTTACCTCTGTCTATGTAAGAGAGAGATCGCGTCTCACTACTCGAATAATTCGACTCGAACGTAATTTCGTACGGAGAGCTTTTGTCTAAAATTAATTTCGACGAATTCTTAGCGAAATAATTTTTCTTTCGGAAGCAACTTGTTAATAGTGTAAGACACGCGCGTCTCGTTGGAGGAGCATATCTCGTTGCTATGTAATTTTAATAACAGCAAGCAAACAAAAGATTAATGTAGAAAATGAAAAAAAAAAAAAAACCAGTCCATACCAGAGAAAGATCAACTAGAGCACAATATTATTCTAAGCACAATATTATTATTGCTACGTATAGATGAGCGACGTGAAAGAAACGTGTTATTTACGTGAATTTACTGATGCATATCTGTAGATAAAAAAAAAAAAAAAAGAATTATTGTTACTTGAGAAAGAGCAGTTTATATATCCCGTTTGAGGCAGCGTTGAAAAGTTGCACATATGTCGGAACTAACTTTGTTAAAAATGTACATGACGGGCTTGCGAATTAGCTTGTAATGGTTTAAAGCATATGAGATTGAATGAAATTAGAAGTAATCGGAGACACATCGCTCGAAACTACAAAAAAAAAGTAAAATATATCAATACTTCTAAACAAAAAGAAAAATAACGATGTGTGTGTATCGTGAGTCGGGCTTCACATATATTACTTTTGTATTTGTATGAAAATTCATGTTATTTTATTAATATTTTGTTACTATAATATATATATATATACATATATATATATATATATATACATGTATATATATATACATCGTTAGATTGTGCTCTTGTACACTCACACAGACATATGCACGAAGTAAGAGCACGATCCAAGTTCCTAAAGGAGGAAAGGATAGCATTTTTGTTATTAAACTGCAGTGAGATCTTAGTTGAATTATATATATATATATATATAATAAAATGATTATTATATAAAAATATCTACCTCGTTCGTATATTATATGATACAGTCATTGAAAAATGCAAAAAACCACCGCAACTTGTGATACTCAGCTTGGTCGACAATTTTTCTGTCGTCGTTCTTGTTGCGAAAACCGGGGAAAAAAAAAAGAGAAAACCCATGTATGTATATAAAATTAACGCGGGATAGGGACAGAGAGAGAGTCGAGTCTTCTTTTTCTTTTTATCGGTTAATGATTGATCTCGAACAATTTAAAATCATCTGCGCGAGATGCGACTTTTCTTACAATTTATATACACATGCACGCAACGAATTGTAAGAAAAGATATTATTACGTCATTCGGTTGTTGTTTCTTTTTTATGCATATATCTATGTATATATGTGTACGTGTGTATACATAATATTAATGTATATATATGTATATAGGGCATATATATATTACATACGAAGCACGTAGTATCCCAAGTCACATCTGAAAAACGCACGCAAAAGTTTTTTAAGCCTTTATTCCCGCGCGATCTAAAATTTATTCGCGTACGTACATTTTTATCTACGTTTTATATTTTGTGAATTTTTTTTTCTTTTATTACATACTTGTGCACGCGTTTCTTCTTTCTCGCACATCCTTTCGCCCGTCTAAAACTTTCTCGCAAATCTCGATAGACACTGTAAAGCATTCTATATAAAAATAAAACGTTGAGAGACACACACATACACACGCACACACACACAAGAAGGATCGCTCATATATAGTTCATATTTTTTTCTTCTTCTCTCGTACTTATCTCTCGTCCTTTCCTCTCTTCCTCTCGTATGTGTCTCACTCATCCCGCATCAAATTTTTTTTTTTTTTTTTGATTCACGCACGACGAATCAATCGGTATTTCTTTGTACCCTGGAAGACTGCGGTACAAACTGTTCTCAGCTCTAAAAAAGTGGCAGCGTGGTGATGATCGAGGAAATGTGTGTATATATAAAAGATAAGATAAATGTATAATAAACGAAAGATCTCAGGCCCCCGATGTGTAGGCAAAGTGCGGCCGCCAGTGCCATTTTATTAAATTTCTACCGGAAGTCCTCGAAGTCGGTCGGAATTATGCGCACAACACACACATATATAGACTACTCAATGCTTATAAATTATTTATAACAAATGAAACTTTTTTTTTAAGGGGTCTGCCTACGCACATGCGCACGGAAAGACCAAAAAAAGTAAAGTTCGAAATCAAATGTAAATGCAAGGAGGGCTATGTACAAGGATGGAGAAAAAAAACATTTACTTGAGATTTATATGTTCAAAAATTTTGTTTCTTGAAAATACAAACTAAATCAAGCCGTACATCGTCATTCGAATATATTGCACTATATAAAAGCTCGCCTACGTTTTTTTTTTTTTGTTGTTGTTTCAGCCGACTTACATATCGTAAAAAGTATATTATATATATATATATATTTTTTTTATCGTCAAACGAACGCGGAAAGATCGCTCTGCTAAATTTAAACGTAACGAGAAAAGAGTATTGATATTCGTACTTCGAGGCCAACCGGTGGTTTTTATATTTCACTCTAACCGACATCATCTTCACGCATCTTATCTATCTGGGAGAAACAAGAATTTGAGCGTTTGTACTATGTCGAGGAATTTGTGTGTCTTTCCGTCAATCGCCTGTTAAACGTATTGTGTTTTTTTTTGTCGAAAACTCTGGTAGTTTATTACACATTTGTATACGCAATTACGCATTTACACTCGCAGCACACACGCGACAAGGCGCCGATTGTATGTTTTTTTTTGTTTTTTCATACTCAAAAGGATCAAATGTAGCTCGTTGGAGGATTCTCTCCGTATATAAACACCGCGCGCAAAATCTTCCGTCGTATGTAATCGCTTAATACAATGCCGAACATTTATTACACAAACACATTCCGTGATGAAAAATACCGCACTGGAAAATACATGAAAGGGGAAATTATGAATTTTTTTACAGCAAGTAAAAAAAAAAAAAAAACGACCTGACGCGTGACACACTAATTGAATTCTCGTTCCGCGTAAATCAAGAAGTACCGTACAGATATAGTTACACTCGCACTTGGGATATATTCACGTCTTCCGACGGGACATCGATCAAGTCCACTTTTATTATTATTTTTTTTTTTTTGTTGCTCTATGGTTTAATACAGATTAATTGAAAATTTCGATACTGCGTTATAGAAAAATATGGATTTTCATTGCATCTCTGCTCCTGAGAGACTCACATTCGAGTATTTATATGGAAGTGGTATGTTCTCGTTTAGATCTTTCCGCTGCTCTTGTTGAGTAATATTTTTTTTTTTTGATATTCTCGATCAATAATAATTTTTTTCTCTCTTTTCAACGTGTCGTCTTTATGTATACATATATATATTATGCGCTGTGTTGTTCAACGTTGCATTTTCGATGCTCGGAACGTAAAATTAATAAAAAGCGATCGAAACCAGCGAATCAAGATAACAATGAAGGACGTTTACATCCTTCCGTAAATATATAAGTACATTTGTAGAACAAAAAAAATTGTAAAAGCAAAATCACACGTACGTACAAACATATTTTTCGTGTTTCGAGCAACGATTACAAAAATTTGTTACAGAGAAAAACAGAACTTACACGTAACGTAACATATATATAGCACATATACATGATGAAAGCATAGTAAAAATCTATACACACGTGTTGCGCGTGTGAAAGAAAAACAAAATATTACACATATTATTACGCATATCATTCATCGTCGAATACAAATACGTCGTTGCCAATCTGAGAGATAATCGCTTGCAACTCTGTTTCTGGGGTTTTGCATAAAAACTATTTAAGCGCGTCGCAAGAGAATCGAATCTTCTCCCCGTGTTGCTTCTAATCCTCTTATTATATTATCATTATTGTTTTTTTTTTTTTTTTTTAATATTATTATTACTAATATAATTATTGTTGTTGCTGTTTTTTTTTTAATATTATTATGATTATTGTTATTACTATGTGTCGATTATTACTAGTAGTACTATTACTAATTATTAGTTTATTATATCATTAGCATATCTCCTATAAAATCCGTTACTCTCTTTTAATTTGATCGCTCCTTTGAGCGATCGAGACAAAGGAGAATCAAATCTAATCGACATTTTTTCCGACTCGATCCGAAACTGAACGAGCGTGTTTTTCAAACGCACGCTTCTTTCACACAGACAAGCGATATAATAAATTTATTCTTTTGCTGTGAAATCAATTATTATTTTATACGCGTGATTAAAATCGAGATTGTATCGTGCTAGAAAAAAAAAAAAAAAAAAATTAAAACTTTCTTTCTCCTGAGAGAAAAAACTCGTCGAATGCGATGCACATATGGTAAAGGTAAGGTTTGTTTCTGTGAATTTCTTTTGCTTCTCGAGTCTCAGTCTCTTTCTCTTGAGATTCCGTGTTTAGAAATAAATTAAGGAGGGGAAATATTCCGAAAACGAACGGAACGTTTTTTTTAGAATCGTGTCTTGATTCTATAAATCATCTTTGTCATTCACAAGAACGAAATTTCAGAGATCGTAATGGTGAGCACAACAGAAGAGATCAACGAAATGACCAACGCAACAACCTCTATCGAATACAATACGTATAGGCGGACAAGTGTACACGTAGTTCCGAAAAACAGAGAGGCACAACGCGCAGCTTTGTCTTTTTTTTATTATTTTTTTTTTTTTTTTTTAGATCTTAGACTTTACAATGAAAAACTATATAAGAGCGAAAAATCCAGCGCAATACAAAGGCACCGGAAAAGTATTTCTCTTCTTTAAAACACCGCGTCTCAACTATTACATTTTTCCCCTTTTTTTTTTTTGTCTACAGGAACATCACTACAATCTATTATATGTATCGGTTAGCTCGACGAAACGGTCGATTCAACGACACGAGAATCGACGTCGTTTCGTCGAGAATGGAAATAGGGTTTCTTTTCTTTGTTTTTTTTTTTTCTCAACTACCCTTCAAAATAGACCTTCTTGAGCCACTCATTTGTTTGAACCGTCGAAGAAGACGTATGTCGAACTTTGGAAGTATTCTCTCTGCCCTCCCTCTTCCCCGTCTTTCCTTTTTATAAATCGTAAAGCTATTCTTCATTACCGTTTACCATATTATTTGCATATAATAGTCCACCTACCGCTGTAAAAAAAAACCAAATTACTTTCCTTCGAAGACTTACATTATCGACGTTCGCGTCATAATTCTCATCTCTTGTTCTCTCTCTCTCTTTCTCTCTCTCTCTCTCTCTTTCTCTCTTGTAGAGTGTATGAAAAATCTCGCTCTCTTTCACAAAAGTTACAGAGAGATCCGCGCTTTTCTCCCTAACAAAAAATCGATTTTACTCTTATATTATTATACTTTGTTTATCTTCTTTCGATCGCGTTAAATTCTTTTAAATTAAACTTCGACTGTGTGTGTGTGTTTATATTATATTATTTTGCTGAGAAAGCTCAACTTTCCGTATAAGCTGTTTGTCCGCGGTTGTCTCTACCACTCGCCCGTAAACTTATCGTAAAGGTTTCTCTCAAACGCGTTTAAAAAGAAATATATCGTGTACATTTTAAGTCTCTAATATTCGCATTAAAAAAAGTGCGCGATATCTCTGATATATACTCCGTGTATATTTCTTTGCATTTCTCATTTTCTCTTGCGCTTTTGCCTCTTATATATATATATATATATTTTTTTTTTTATGTAGTACAGTATATTTTGTATACAAACTTACTCGCTAACGTGTAATCTACGACGTACTCTTCTGCCTTGATAATTACAAGTGGCAATGACATATCTTTTATATAAATTGATCTCTTACATATATGGCTTTTTAGTATACATGTATACATATCCATGTATATATTTTATATATATATATATATATATATATATATATATATATGCATATAATAATTTTAATGTACCATTATATTTGAGGTCTGACAAAACCTGAATTTTTGTGTTATTTAAAACGTTTTATGTTAGAAATACGACGCAACAAAGCGAAACTTAAATTCTCTTCTGTAATTGCTCCAGTAAGCAAATGGTATACCGTTTGCAAAAATATTTTATATTATTATTTGTCGTCATATTGTAATTTGAAACGAACCATCCGAGAAAACACAGTAGCGAAGAATTTTCTGACAAGAGGTGCAATTACACGCGGAAATTTTTTATGCCACAACGATATGACTTCATCATATTTCTAACATTCTACGTCAGAGTATACATGTTTATATAATACATAGACATGTTTGACGTCATTTCACGATCATGTCTATACAGATACATATAGAGAGGGAACAAATAATAAATCATAAAAAAAAAACCAAAAGGCCAACAATCGAAACGATCTCTTGCAGATCTGGGCTTCTGATTTTTATGATTTAGTATTTTTTTTTGAGAAGAAAAAAACCTTCAAGAAGAGATTATCAAAATTTATAAATAATAATAATTAATATATAATAACAGTATTAAAAGAGATGAAAGATAATGATCACGCTTAGGATAATACAATCTGTGTTCGGAAAGTTTCAGGAGTGAGTTTCGCAAACGGGCCGCTGAATATTCAGTCAAGTTATTGCGAAAGTAAAATATTAAAATTAACCGCCACACTTGCGAGAGCGAGACTCTTTCGGTTAAAAAAACGCAATACCCACTCTTGTTCGTTTCGAGACGTGTAATTAAAGTGACAACGTAAACATTTTACATGGCACAACCGCGAACAGTGCAAGTTTGAACTACGTACACGCATGTTGCCGTGTGCGTAACAAGGGGAATGTCTGTTGTCTTTGTCCTACAAAACTAACTCTCACTGGACACTCTTAGTTCCGTTGCAATAAATTTAATTGCAACACTATTCGAACACACACCGTATTAATAATAAGAAATAATGAGACGCGAGATGATATGACGATAACAATGACATAAAATATTTGTCGCTGACAAGAAAAAAAAAGTAAAAAGACCGAGTTCAAAAAAGCGATGGCACAAACGTTAATACTAAAGAGTGAAGTCGAAGTAAAAAAAAAAAAGAAAAAAAAAAAAAAAAGAAAAAATACAGTCTGAGATGACATTACATCTTCTGTCGGGAAAAACAAGAAATCACAGTCTGTGAAGATTTGCGATGTGGATAAATAGAAACGTACTTTTAAAACCTACAAAGCCTTTTTTCATAGTCCGAAAACGCGCTACGTACACCTACATATATATACGAAATAAAAAAAATCTTATACATATAATCACATAGTACTCAACGAGAATGTAACGAATATAAGTCCAACGAAAAAATGTATATAAAAACAATGTAAAAAAAAAGTCATATAAAAATTATAAAGTATAATTAAGTTTCTGTGTGTCGAATATGTTCTCGGTACAATAAGTCGCGAGAAATAAAACGCATAACGATGCATTCGCATCCAAATAATTAATTAGGTAAAATATTCTCGCGCACATTGGAAAACGCGCACAAAAGATACGCACGTGCGCGCACACAAATGATAATAAGTAAAAAATTTTGGAACAATATCGTAAAATATATAAAATATTGTCAACTCTTCGTACATATATATAAAAGGAACAAAAAAAAAAAAAAGAAAAAAAAGAATTACGTTATCTGTTAAAACACGAAAAATATTGCTACTTTTTTTGCCTCTCTTTTTCATAGGGTATAGCCAAACAATTTTGTTTTTTTTTTTGTTTAATAATTTAAATATAAATTATCCTTTGGATGCACCCTAAGAAATCAAGTAAATATATAATTCGCCCTCGAGAAACGAAAAATCGTTCTTTCTTTAATAATCGGTGGGTCGACTCGTCGTATCGGGAATATTACTGTAATTCCTATTCCCGTTTTTATTTTTTTTTTTTTTTTACACTATTTGCACTTGTAATGCCATGTAACAAGAAATAATAGATATATTCACAACAGCCACTGAAATAATTAAAAAAAAATAAAAAAATTAACTCGAATGTTAACGCTACGACGTAAAAACCTAAGAAAAGAAAAAGAGATGTCGTAATTTCTTCTCTCTCTCTCATTCTTCTATCACTCTGCCACTCACCTTATCGCACTCTCTTTCTCTTACATACACACACACACACACACACACATACACACACACTCTTTCTCCCCTTCTCTTTTGCTTTCTTCTTTTCTTTCTCATCCAATCAGCTTAGTTTCTACGTTTATAATACCAAGTTTTCACAAAAATATTTTCTTTTTCTTCGCGTCGTACACGACATATGGCAAGAATCTTTGACTCACTTAGTCAAATATCTACTCTAGAATTTTTGTGGAAAACTAGTAGTTTCTTCCACATGTGTACTTTTGTTTTGTGCTACAAAGAGCATTTTATAGCTTGTATGTCTCTTTTTTTTTTTAATATTCTCTACACATTATTGTTTCGAAAAAGAAAGCTTTTAAGATACATATACATATGTATCTTAACGTCTCGCGATTTTCTCGCTATTGTACCTGACGCGCGAGACACCGCGTGCCGCGTCTCTACTTGTATAACTCCATGATGAGAACAATACTGAAAATATATGTATACGCGTGAAAATATGTGAAAATCACAAAAGTACAAGACGCGCCAAGTCGGCCGAGTCGACTTGCACAAAAAAAAGGAAAAACGTCACACGTTCGGTTACGTTGGCAAGACGAGACATAGGAAGCTTTTGAGAAGCACACGAGATAGCGAAATATACGTTCGTACAAAACTCACTAGATTCAAAATCATATAGGTCAGTCAGTAACTATACTGTTAACGACAGCAGTCGATCAAAATCTTGTCGTTACCTCTTTGACGAGGTCTTCTTCTCGTCTCAGAAATCTTTAACGTGTCCCAAAAAGCTAAGCTCATGTGACTGATAATGACCGGACGTAGCGAGCGGTGTGACGCTCGATTGATGCGCTACATTGACCGCCGTCAGATGATGATGATGCAACGAATGATGCGAAGTATGCGTATGGAGAATGTTGTTCGGGTGGGGAACCTGGAAGTTCCCTGGTGGCGGGGCTCAGGACAGGAGGGGACCCGGATGTCCACCCGGAAGAACAGACGACGCCGAAACGGTGGTCGTTTGCATACTCGAAACGTTATTTTGCTGTTGATTCTGTTGTGTTCCTAGATTGCAGAAAAAATTGGCAGTGTGATACGAAGAAAAATAAACGTGTGGCTTGATGTAATGTGACGATCTAATTGTATGCGCGTAATAATACACACGCTTGTGTGCTTTTTCTTACCAGCGTTTTGACTTAGTTCGGCTTTCACTCTTCTCGCGATGTGACTTCTGGTGTGCTTCCGCAAATGATCTTTCCGATAGAATCCTTTGCCGCATTCGGTGCAGACGTGCCGCTTCTCGCCGGAATGTATTACAAAATGTAGCGTTAGCTGTTCCTTCCTCTTGAACGCCTTCAAGCAGACTGTGCAAACGTAAGGCCTCTCGGGATTGTGGCTCTGTTTGTGACGCGTGAGATGATCCTTTCGTTTCAAGCCGGCGCCGCATATGTCGCAAACGAATCTTCTTTCCAAAGTGTGACCTAGAAGATGCTGCTCCAACAACTCTCTCTCCGGATAAGCCATGTGGCACTCGGGACAGCAGTACAACGTGGAACCGTCCAGTGCGGTTGTCAGACGTATCTCGCCGGGCTTCGGACGTGGCTTCTTCTCCTTCGGCGTCTTCTTTTTTTTCTTCTTCTTATTGTTCGGCGACATCATTATATTGGGCGTCGTTGTGGTCGCCACAGCTACCGAGGTCGTTTGCATTTCGGATTCCTTCTTGATACTTTCGGCGGAGTATTTCAAAAAATGATGTAAACTTAGAGGTAAAGTGCTGGCTGGCAAGTGACTGAGATAATCAGCCACGGTGGATCCGGGAGTGGCGAGGGATTGCCACGTAGCGGGCATGGTAGCTGGCGTTTGGGTGTGAGCGTGCTGCTGATGATGCTGATGCATCGTGTAATCCTGCTGACCACCATTTGTGGTGGTCTCTCCGTTACGTTGTTGCTCCTCCGCTTTCTTTTCTTTGTTCTTGTCCTTATCTTGAAGAAGATTGCAAACATCTTGTTGATTTATTGTTTCTGTTGATTGCTACAACGTGAGAAACGAAATAAACATTACAAATTTTTATATTCAAAATTTAATTTGCTATTTATTATCGCACATACTTTGCAACGTATTGCTAGAGTAGGTTCATTTTTTTCGACATTTTCACATAGTTAATCTCGGGCTGATTAGCTGTAACACACAAGATCTGTACGTAAAGTAACTTTACCTGATGATAGGATCGTTTCTCTTGTATTCCAGGCGAGTTGGTCGGCCGTTGTTGAACGGATTGGGCTTGAGAATAAGATACATTCGGATAATGATGAACATTACTGTTTGGGTAGCTGACTTTATTGTTCATCATCACTTGCGACTGTGCGGACTGAATGCCGTTATTCTCGGGACGGTACTTTCCCACAACCGGCACTCCGATCGGAGGCTGGTTGGGAAAATGATTGTAACGCGAGCCCGTGCCGCTGGAGCTGTCAGTCGCAAACTGATGAATGCTCGGTATAGTGCTGGGGAAGTGACCTCCGAACGGCGGGAAATTCATTGCAGCTCGTCAGTAGAATTCATACACCTGAACAAGAAAAAACAAGTGTTGCTACTGAAAAAGAGACAGAGACAAAGAGAAAGAGAGACTCGGAGTAAGGGAACTTCCAAGAGGGTATACGAATAAAAGATTACACACTCTCGAGGAGGTCCAATTAACGAAACGTGAGAAAAAAAGGGTGGGGGTGAATGATCATAAATGTGGATAACACTACGGCGTTTTCTGTTTTCGTCTCGAGTTTGAATCGAGGAAGCGGCATCGTCGGCTAAGTTCCGTTGACGAGTTCGCCGCTCTGATTTTACATTTCTTTCCCAACGTTTCTTCCGAACAGACGACACGCCGCGTTTTAACGTCGCCAGTGCGACGGCATTTCGGATTCGTTAGCATAACGCGCTCTCCGATCCCGATGACGACTACACGTTACGCGCGAGACCGCGCCGACGACACCGAGCGCCGAGTGTGACGCCGGATTAGTATTTACTCACAACCATGTCCCACTCCCCATGTTTCCACGCCGTAACACCGGATCCTTTCCTCGGAAGGGGATCCCCGTAACACACACGAGAGAGTATGCGGGGGCAGATTTTTCTCGCACGCGAGAGGACACCGGAGAGAAAGAGAGAGAAAGAGAAAGACAGCGAGAGAAAGAGGATAGGAGTCCGAGATGGAGTGAGTGAGAGAAAGAGAGACAGAGAGAGAAAGAGAAAGCGAAAGGGAGACAACAGAGGCGAGACCGAGAGGCAGAAGCGCGGCGGTAGACACGCACCACGCCACCACACTGCATCAGCCGACGTCAATGTCACACACCGAAGTACGCGCGGTCGCACGTCGAGAGAGAGAGAGAGAGAGAGAGAAAGAGAGAAAGAGAGAGAGAGAGAGACAGAGAGAGATAGAAAGAGCGATGCGTACGTACGCACGTCGGCGCCCGGTTTTGCTGATTTGTACAACACGTCGTCGATTTTTAACACCGCACCACGCCGGCTTTAAACCGCCTGACACTTTGCTCAGCCTGCTGACGAACGGATTTGCCGGCGGGCTCGCGGCCAAGGACGCGCCACGGCTAGACAGCTCGCTCACCCCTTCGTCCGTTCGTACGAAGCGAACACGATTCTGCCAGATCCGCGCGCACAAGGAACACGCCAAGCAGGAGGAAAAAAACGAAAAAAGAGAGAAAAAGACGAATAAAAAAACTGCCGACGGAGATAGTCGCGGCACACAAGGCGCGCGCGGAGGGGCGGCCGATCAAGGGGATGGGCCGGGGTACGAAGCGAGGGAGACGCAAAACACCACCCTTCCTTTCTCTTCTCTTCTCTCGCCACACCACTCCATCCACTCCACTTCACCCCACCTCACTCCACTCCACCCGATACTTAGTCGATACGTAGCGTGGGGCCGTCCGTCGCACCACCACATCGAACTCGAGAGAAAATGGCCGTGTGTAATTCGCCCGTCCCGCGCTCGTCGAAATACGAAGAGAGAGAGAGGAGGCCAGCAAAAATGTTGCTTACCCGTTCCGCAGTGATTCCGCGCGAAATCCGCCGCTCCCGCGATACGTTTCGGGTCGCGTTTCTTTCAACGTTCACGCAGCCGGCCGTCGCCGCAAAAAAAGATACCCCGCTTATTACGGTGTATCGTTGACACCTGTCCCTCAAGCCGGTATCCCCATCCCACCCATCCGCCCTCTACTGTGTCAGCCTCTTAACTATTTTTTCTCTCCTCCCGGGGTCTCCCGATTCCCAACGCGCCGCGCCGCACCGCACCGCATCATGGCGAAAATGCACGAATCGAGCAACGGAATTTTAACTTGGTACCCCTTACCGTCGACCTGCCATTAAACTGCCCCCCCCCCTCCCTCCCTCTCCTTACCGCCCCGTAATATCTCTTGAAAAGTAATTTATTTTAGTACCGCGGGGAATAAGAGTATAATTTTTTCGCGATCTCTCGCTTCTCTCCCGTGTTGCAGCACGACTCGAAGAAACATAATTCGAAAAAACCGGAGAAAAATACACAAATAACGCTTGTTATAATAATGATATGAGGAGAATTGATGTTTTTTTGTTTTTTGTTTTGTTTTTTTTTTTGTATTAAATGTATGTTTTATTTTAGCTTTCTCCTCCAATATTTATGTAAGTAACAATGAAAATGACTTATATACTATTGATCCTAACTACGATATAATGATATCTATATTATAATATTACGATAATAAAATAATAATATATTTTCTTGTACCCATTGCCTTCAATTGTGTACACTTAATTATCTTAGACTAAGTTCTTTTTTTTTTTTTTGTTATAGTATACATACATCGGAAAGCCTTTTGGGTGAATCATTGCGATCATCAATTTTTATTATCATTTTTTTTCAGCGCATTTACCTGTATTTTCGTAAAAGTCGGTCGTCACATCATCATCGTCGACATCATAATCATACGACCGATCAGGAGGGAAGTAAAAAGTACGCAAACTCGGCATTCTTGTGTGTGTCATATATACGTATAATTTTACTTACAAGATTTATAAATCCTTCGAATGAACCAAGCGGGTAGGAAAAAAAAATATTATCGGCAAGCTTCATTAAGTCGGAGAATTATTACGAAAATGCTGGTTTCTCAAGGCAACGCGAATATCGTGTGTGTTGTGTGTGTGTGTATGTGTGTAAATGCATTTCTCGGGGGATATTAATTATTTCACTGCAATGTTTTTTCTTTTATTATCATCTTAATCAAGAGTACTTGTAATATATAAACATGATACTTTCTTCCAATATGTGCCATCTCACGATTTTTTTTTAAGTGTTTCCGACGAACGTGTGCGAGCGTTCGAACGCGCGAAAAACGCTCATACGTCCTCCGCCGATGTGTGTCTTTGACAAAACAACGTAGGTTTTCTTTTTTTTTTTTTTTTTTTAATATGTATATATATGCGATGATTTTTAATTCTATGAACATATACTCGTAACTTTATCGCTCGATATTATTAACTCTCTAAAGTACAACTTTTGGACTTGATGATTCACCGTCAAACTGTCTCATGACCGCGGTGTTTGCAACCGACAAATAAATAAGAAGATTCACCTTTCGCGCTATTTATTCAAAAGACACGATTTTCCTCCCCCTTTCCTCCGCTCCCTCATCCTCTTTGCGGGGGCAAAAAGTCGCGCTACGTGTTTTATTTACATCTAAATCCTCCAACGACGTGTTTTTCTTGTTCTCTCTTTTTTTTTTTTTTTTTCTTACGTATTTCACTAGTGTAAAAGCGAATTATATTCAGCCCTCACCCTCGATTCTTTCGTACACATCTCCGATGAATCCAGTTCGCATTTTCAAAAATATATTTTTCGTATTCTCTTCATATATATTTTCCATATAAACTTCTATATATATATATAATAATAATAATATTTATTCCTAACTTGCGTCATGGAACTGGATTAGCGACAAAAGCACGTTGTCCCGAAAGTGAGCGGACATCCCCGTCGTCGCTTTCATTTTCACGTAATCATACACGTACGCTATAACGTGTACGTTAAAGAGAAACTCCGAAATATGCATGAACTTCTCTTTGTTCATCAATTAAGACAGATAGTTCACTGAGCTCTTCGCAAGATTAATTATTACAAACACCGGTGCGAAATCTTCGTGCCGCTATCGAAAGTGCGACAAACGTATGAGAAACGATTCGAACCGGGTTGCTAAAAAAAATGGAAATATAGAAGTTTCTTTCTCTAACACCAAAAGAACCGACGCGTTTCGAATCGGTGTTATTTCTCGGCGATGTGTCACGACGTTTTTCGCTGCGTATACACAAACGTAACGTCCTCGAATTCGCAGTGTTGATGTTAACACAGAAACGCAAATCTGTGTCTCCGGTCCTTAATGTTAAAAAAAAAAAAAAAAGAAAACTCAGCGTAATAAGAGACATTTTGAATCAAGACTGCGAAATATAATCATCAACGGTAATTAATCCACGAAATCTCAATAACACCATGTCACCTATAGAATTACAAAACTCAATCAGCAAGTATACTACGTCTTGCACGGCCTCTAGCTTGTTGATGATTGCAGCGAAGATACCGCCCAAGCGGGGCGGTATGCTGTTGCTAATGCTGTTGCTGAGATTGTTGCTGTTGTTGTTGTTGAGATTGTTGCGACTGTTGCTGTTGCTGCTGTTGCTGATGGAGCATAGTCATGGCTCCTGTTTCGGCAGCTGTAGGCAAAACTACGGTTGATTGCTGCTGCTCGCTAACAGAGATCTGATGAATCTGCGCTTGTGAGCCTTGCCCTACTTGTATCTGAATCTGCTGCAGTTCAGGAACCGCAGACTGCTGTTGCATCTGTTCCACTTGCTGTTGCTGTTGGTCCGCCTGCTGTTGACTTTGCGTCGTGTCGCCCGTGTTCAACGGATCTTCCTTGGCACGCTTCGAAAGATGAGATCTAGCATGTTTTCTAAGATGGTCCTTCCGATAGAACGCTTTGCCACATTCGGTGCAAACCTCGGTCTTCTGTCCAGAATGTATAACAAAATGAAGATTCAAATGTTCTTTTCGTTTAAAACCTTTCATGCACACAGAACATATAAACGGTCTGTCCGGATTGTGACCTAATTTGTGTCGCTCCAAATGCTCCTTCCGTTTAAGACCAGCGCCGCAGATGTCACATATGAATCTCCTCTCTATTTTGTGCCCGATCAAGTGCTGTTCCAAACTCTCCTTCTCTGGATACGCCATATTACACTGAGGGCAACAAAACAAAGTCGTGCCATCGAGAGCGGTAACTATGCTCACCTGACCGGGTTTCGGTTTTTTCGGCTTCGGTGGTTTCTTTTTATACTTCTTTTTCCGTTTCGGTTTTGCTCCCGTTTCCTGTTCCTCAACGACATCAGGAATGATTGCCGCTTCCGCTCCGGCAACAGTAATCTGTACCGATTGCTCAGCCGAAGTAGCGCTTCCGGAAGCGTCGAGTGCGTCCGCCCCGAGCGGACTAGATTCAATGGTAGCTTCCCTCTTTATAGTCTCTGCCGAAAACTTGAGGAAATGTTGCAAACTTATAGGCAATGTACTGGCTGGCAGTCTGGAGAGATAATCCGCGACCGTGGATCCTGGAGCAGCAAGACTTTGCCAACTGGGAGGCATAGTGGTAATGAACTCTTCGCCACTCTGATTACCTTGATTTTTGACACCACGTTTAATGAGAGCCACCGGTGTTGTGCCCTCCTTCACATCCTCCTTCGATTCCTCTATGCTCTCTCGCAAGATCAAATCTTGGGGAATTTGAGCAACTACGGTTAGACCTTCAGGCGCTCCCGGAAGTTGCACTGTCTGTTGAATAGTCTGCTGAGACGTGGTGGTCACAGCGGTAGACGTACTCTGTGTTGTTTGATCGGATCTACAAAAACAAAATTCAACAATAGTTTTTCTTGCATATGTTTCCTTGTATATATTGTTAATTTAAACATAGAAAATACAATATGTGCACAACGCATGCAACTTACGTTTGCGTAGTTGCTACAGTGTTTTGCGGTTGTACTTGAATTTGTACTCCATCCGCACCTTGTTGACTGTAGGCAACAGTGAGGACGGTAGCTGCCCCTTGCGGAAATTGGCTCAGCGATATTGGTGTCAAATGATACTTGGGTTGATCGCCGTTATTCCCGCTTTGAGATACATTGGGATTCACCACTTGTATTTGGACAGTCTGTTGTTGCTGAGTACCATCCTTTCCGGGTACCGTGATTGGCAAAGTAATGATTTGCTGTTGCTGACTGTTGCCACTCTGAGCCACAGTGAATCCATTTGGATCAACTGGTCTTAAATAGTGAACTCCACCCTCACCACCTGAAAGTACTCCAACTACCTGTCCTCCAGTGGTAAGATTTTGCGCGAATTTAGCAGTGGCAAATTGATGGACGGTGCCTGTCGGCAGTGTGCCGGTGAACCCAGGAAACGGTGTAAAATTCATTTTCTAGAGTAATGTCTGTAAACATAAGAGAAATGGAAAGTTAGTTCTTGTTATTTGAACGGATATGATATACATTACAGAATTGATTTTCAGATTAATACAATTTTGTAGCTGAACTATCTTTTCTGTTTTTACATACAATCCACAAACTATATACAACCACAAATGTAAAAATAAAAACAATATATCAATTGAAGTTTATAACTCAACACTATCAACATTAATGCAATCAAGTTTCTTTGAAAGATAGACTGTGAATAATAGAATTGTTTACTGCTTATATACATAAATAAATCTAAATAAACAGAATAAACATATCATATGTTTATTGAACATAAATTTGCGTCCAAGTCCAGTAGTCATTAATCATGTCATCGTGGCATAATTAACAGTACAATAAGAAACTAAAAAAAAAAAAAAACCAAAAACAAATGTCAATTCTTCACACACAAACATGACACAAAAGTTTGACCTTCCTCGAGCAACCTAACCTAATTCGAACCTAACCTGACTAACCTGCTCCTCTCTATCTTCCCGCCACGTGTTTTTTGCGTAGCAATAAAATCAAAATTCCGATTTGCAATCGCCGGGTGTAGACAAGTGCTCTTGACTCGGAATCTTGGTGTCTAGCGTACACGAGGGTGGGGTAAAGGCCTCCCCCACTTCACCCCCTCCCTCCACCCAAAAGGGATCCGGGAGCAGGGAGCATAGTCGTCAAAGTAGCCCAGGATCCCACCCCACTCTATAACGGCGATGGTGCCCCTACGGGTGCCGTAAGGGGTAGGAGCGCGATGAGGGTAGAGGGGAGGTCCATAGGTGGGAACCCACCGCGAAATAGAGCTCGAGACTCCGCTCCTCTTTCTCCCGCGCGTTACCTCACGACGTGGCGTTTACCGCGAGAATGGAACGAGAAAGAAGGCGAACCGACAAGGGGTAGGGGAACGTCAAGAAAGAAGGGAGTCGAACCTCGGCACACCGCGACATTCCCCGGGGAAGGGGAACGCGAAAACGTTGGGGGCGAAGGTACCCGTAGGCCAGAAGCGGCCAGACAACCGCGCGCCAGACGAATTGGGACAATGATGACAATGATGACACGCTCGGAGGCGACGGCGATCCCCGCCCTTCAAGTCCGGGGGGATCGACGAGAGGCTAAAGAGAGGTTAAGAATATCCCCTCCGTGTGTGTTTGCGTACGCGTATTTTTCTCCTGTTTCTTTTTATTATTTTTTTTTTTTTTCCCCAACGAAACAGTCGAGGGTGGTTCCGTTCCAGTCGCGCGAATTACGGAGAGCCGACGAGAGTTCTTCGACACGCGTCGCAACGTTTACTCACTCGTCGTCGAGACCGCGCGCGCGACGTGTTTTTCGCTGTACGCGGAATGGCGTACGTGACTGATCGGTCGGCTTCGCTATCGCTCGTACCAACGTTGAACGCTCTCTCGCAAGACGCGCATGTCGTAATGGCGCGTCGATTCTCCTAAGGTTAGTCCCGCGGCTAGTAAGTCTGTCCTTTTTTCCCACGACGCAATGTTCTCGCGAGATTATCTCCTTTCCTTCTTTTTTTCTCTCTGTTTCTCTCTTTTCCGCCCTTTCTGTCCCTGCGGTCCCTCCGTTCGATTGTGCCACGATGCGCTCGGTCTAATTCCGCGACGGAAGAGAACGCGTTTCTATACGTACGGATTTTTCATGAAAATTATACACGTCGCGCGTTTCGACCTCGTAAGCACGTGGGGCGCTGCACGTCGAACGGATCGGCGGGCCATTGTGCAACAACGTGCAACGTTCCGTCCTCCTCTCTTAAATGTTACTAATTAAATTCAACTTGTAATTTTCATAGAAACAACAGAGTCGCGTTCGATATTTCTGGAAAGTTTTTTATTACAACAGAACGAGAAGGAGCAAAGAAGCGCGCGGGAAGTCGCACCAGTCGTTGACTAGCAAAGATCGCCGGAAAGAATTGAAAATGCGTACTGCGCCGAAGCGTCGTGTGCTCTTCCTCTCGAACAACAAGCGTCAATTGCGCAACAAGGCGTACGCCTCTTTAACGTCCGCCATGTTGACAAAAATGATCCCGTGCAAAAAAAAAAAAAAAAAGTCACGTGAGGAATTATCACGTCTCGTAACAATATTCTCTTTCTTGTGCGTTTCCCTCTCTATACACGTTCTCTCTCTCCCGCTCTAAAGAGTTCTCTCGTCTCTCGACGCGCGGGAACCCCTTCTAACGAGAAGCGTGCTCTCTCTCCCTACTTGTCCCCCTCGTCGTCTTCCTTCTTCGTGCGTCGGCCGTGTGTGTACCCGGAGCCAAGGACGGAAGTAGGGAAAAAGATCGACGACGACGGCACGCGGCAAAAGACGCATCAGCTGACAGAGAGCAGGGCAGAGGCGAAACGACGGAGGTACACGGGCAGGGCTGTTGTTTACACCCCCACTTCGATGGGTTAGAGGCAGCGAGATGCCACGGAGGGGCCTCCGAGACCTCGACGAACACCCACCACCACGCAATTTCCAACCCCACCAGCCTCTCAACCACTGTCCGCACCTCCAACCACCCCACCAAAGCCAGCTCGAGCCAAGCCGTGAGCCACGACGAGGGCCCCGCGACGATTTTAGTGTCTTGGGGTGGGTGCTCTCTGTGGCCACCGTTTCGCGGTTTCTCGTGCATGGGTTCTGTCGTTGGAAGTGAAGCGCGACATCGGGGCGGCACCGTCGGCGCCGCCGGAGTATACGTCCGCTTTGGGAGTGCGCGATATCGTGGAGCAAATAAAGAAAAAAGAGGACAGAGGATACACACACACACACACACACATATGGTTGCACGCAGAAAAAAACCACGCATATATACATTTATATCGGAGAATATAAATGTATGTAGAGAGAGAGAGAGAGAGAGAGAAGAAAGATACGTGCCACATCTTCGCGATCCGAGGAGCACGCGACCGAGTGTGCGTGTAAAAAAAAAAAAATGGTAGTTATTTCACCGTGTGGCTCTTGTCCTACTTACCGTAAGTACCAGGCAGGTAGACAACAAGCGGGCAACAAAAAATAAGCAGGCGCGATCAAAAGCCGCGAGATTCCCGTCGTGCGTATCGGAGCGACGTACCCTCTGCTACTGTCGCCGCCTTCGGTTTACCTCCTCGCTTAGTACGTGAATCGTCCGTCTGGCTGTCTCTCGCCCGCGTTGTGTTCCCAATCCTCTCAGCGCGGCGGCAACGACTTTCTCATTTCTACGTGCACAACGTCGACCGACGTATCGTAATCGCACGGGATGTTAATGTCGGCGCACACGACGACCACGTCATATAAGCGTAACCATGTAGAATACGTATGTGGACGCGCGCGCACTTTAACGGAAGCTCGAGGAGAGCTCGAGAGTGACTCCGCGATAAATTCGCGCTCACATACACACACTATGGCTAATGTCGCTGTCTCTCTCTTTCTCTCTTGCGCGCGCGTGACGAGGTCTCTGTTGGAAAACGGAGACGCCGCACTGTTCGTTTCCGGGTTTCACAGGCGTTTGTGTGTGTGTGTGTGTGTGTGTGTACACACGATCGAAATATATCGCACGGTCCTCTTCGGTCGGTAGGCGGGACGCGCACCAAGTCGCGATGTTCCACGAGAAGAACCGGCCAAGGGGAATGAATTCGAGTTAACGGTACATAAGTCACCGACCACCACCACACAGTGGCTCGCGTTTGACTCCGCGTAGCGCCGCTCTCGCGCCTGAAAAGTCCTCCGAACAGAATTGCGCTGGCGCGTGCGGCGCACAATATGCCTCGAGGTAACGCGCTAAGCGGCAGGGCAAGTGTGCGCTTCTTTCAACAACACAACATTTTCGTCAACGTTTTCTCAGGTCAGCGTGCGGGAACGCGGCCGACGGAATTCGCCAACGCATTCTCGCGTCCTCTGTGTGTTTTTTTTTTGAGAGACGATGAGAAATTTTAATCCCGGAAACACGCCGCGAATGTCGCCATTAATATTCTATCGGTTGAAATATTAACTATGGCGGCGGGGTCTCGTATACACACAGCAGAAAGAGAGCGGCGAGATTAGATAAAACGTGGCGCCTGCGCCGTGGACTCGCCTGTGAGTGAGAATTAAGAGCTCCTCTGGCTGCGGAACGGGTTGCGTGCTGGCTCGCTTGAACGCGCGGGCAGATGTGTCACTCAAAGACGATGATCCCTGAGTCGTGATTATTACGCGCGACTCGAACACCTGTTCATCACTCGATTCTCCCTCTCAAAAACGTGTCTCGCAAATGCTCGCCACTAAAGAGACACATACATACGCGCGACTGCGGTGAAGTACGGACCAATTACGACGTACACGCACCTAGCGGACACTGGTGCGAGGTTAAGTGAGAGATTCCCCCGATTACACCGCCATCTCTCTCGATCAAAGTGCGCCGTGTCGCAGCGCGCGTTTATTTAAAAACGATCTCTTGCGACACTATTGTTTCGTTTTTGTTTCGCATCAATCGTCAAAATAATACGTTTTGTGTGTGTGTGTTTCAGCATATCGCAGTCTTGAAAAATTCGATTATACGTACTGGTCCATACACGTGTGTTCCGATTTATACTTTATTATCCCTACCCTTTTGCGTTTACATGTGTTTCAAACTTTCGTGAGTATCTTGCGTAATGTATATTTCTGGCACGTGTGTGTAAAAACGTACGTAGAACACTTTTTTGTAACAGAGAAGTGTGACGACACATAATGACGATGTGATTCGAATAGCGGAATGACATCTATCGTAACATCCATGTGTTTCTTTTTTTTTTTTTTTTTTTTTTTTATCATAGTTATAATTCGTTAATTTCTATTTGCTTATTTACACACAAATTTTTTACATGAATAAAAACTTCTTTACGATGTACAAATGGTGTTTTGAATTTTATGATGTAATATGATATTGTGCTGATTTTCTTATAAAAAATGTATTTATTTATTAGAGATATTAGCAATGATATTGTTTTCTATTGACTAACTACACAATTGTTAATACAGAATGACAGTTTAAAATCTAATTTGATTAGCGTATATAAATAACAAAAAGAAATTGAGAGCAGATGATCTGAATTTGAAGTGGATTGGCTTGCAACATATGCAACATGAGATTGTGATGAAACAACATGATGACGTTAAGATATGAATTTAAATGTTACTAGAGAGAAAGTTCGTTTTTTTTTGTATGTAGAACAAAAAAATTGAGTCATGCGAAAAGTTTATATCTTTTACATATTTAATACAGATCTGGCCTCCTTTGCATACGTTCCATGTATAATGTGAAAAGCAACTTGTTGCTTTCGTAATAAAAGGGATTCTCCGATGCATCTAAATCAGGTCTGTAATCGCCGGCAAAACTGCTCTGACTGCTGCTGTCCGTGGGCGATGAATTTTGAGAAAGATCTGAATAACTCGTCGGAGACGATATGAAATTGTTGCCACTTTCCCAGTCGGTTTCCATGCTCTCCACAGTGCTACCCACCGCATTGTCTCGTAATCCGGATAAACCGTTGATGTGAAGATTGTTGATGCGTTTGCTCAGCGGCATGAACTCGCTGGACTCTTCTTCCTTGTTGCGATGTCTCTTCCTACACGTAAATTTGCAGAATCATGAATCAACGTAAAACTGTTTGCTCGCAAAATCTTTAACATCGTAAGAATTAAAGCTGCATACATGTATTTCGCATATGTTTTTAAATGTTGCAAATTTATAAACATTGTTATTCACACATACATCCGCCCAAGCAGATTGTGTAAACAAATACGTACCTGTTTGTTCGTGGCATAATTTATGTTCGCTTATTTGACGTTTTACAAATATTTCAACACAGAAATAATTTTTTACCCGATGTCATGTTACACCACCTTTTAATCGTTAATTACATGTCGCAACGTTGCGTTCAATTGTGTTGCCGCGACTAATAACAAAAAATATACAAATCGCTGTTGTTTCACTCTAACGTGATTTTTAATAACGCCTTAAATATGGCGGAAGTTGAAAATCGAGAAACCAGAAAGAAAAACTAACCTCTATGCGATTCTCTTTACACGCAGCTGTCAAAGCGTATCACAGATATAAAAATCAACAATATTATGCAGAATCACTGCAAATCAGTTCCGATTGTGCACGATAGATGGCACACATTACGTGATGTCTTTTCAATGACCGCGTTCAGTTATCGCGCTCTGTGATTGGCCCTCTTCCTGTAAATCTATCAAGAACATGAAAATGTCGCCAATGACAAGCAATAATTTGCTATAAGCGCTTGCTAAGTGCCGAGTTCTGCTAAACGCAGCTTATTTCTATTCGTCGACGAACAGTTTTTGCGCACGCGCAATATTCTCATGCTGTTAACGAATAGAAATTTAAAGAATAAATTTGAAGAGACGCTATCAACGCGGGAGGTCCTCTACCGTGTACAAGTTGCACCGATCCGCAGCGATTCCTGGTGCGGTGATTTCGCATCATATTGTTGATTTGCATCTGTGGCGCTTTGATTACCTTCAGAAACTAATCAAAGACTGGCCAGTGCCTAAACCGTACAGGGGCACGGTGCCATATCAGCGAAGAAGAAGAAGAACCTTCAGAAACTAAACGTACTCAGATTGGCATATGGACCAACCGTTGAGATTTACTCATAATTGCGAAAACGAAGAACTTTCAGAAATTCAACAAGTCGCGCAACGGTTGAGAGACGATCAATTATGATTGGATCGTACTTTTCGAATCGTGGCAAGTTTTGAGGAACAGTCCTGTCACAAGTGATGATTTCTCAACCGTTATGCAATTGTTGAATTTTCTGAACGTATAAACTTTTGACAACTGCGTTTAAAGAAAAGCTGCGTGTATAGATATAAGATATATAAGTTAGGCTAGGTTAGATTAGGTTAGTTTTACTCTCTAATTTTTTTAAAACTCTTTGTCTCCGAAGGTTTTTTTTGACACTTTCTATCTACAAACCCAGGATCCGTTCGTGTCTGCTCGAAATTTTCTTTTGTCACCGTGACTGTTTCCGTGTCAAAGTTATACTGCAGAATGCAGATCTGAAATTTGTGACCGTTACTTTCCCCTCCTATATAACTTTTTTTTAGGGCGGGGTCAAACCCTTCTCCCTCATCTAAGTAAGTTGCAAACGTAGGTAGATTCTGCGCAGATACGGACGCCTAAACAGTTAAAGGGGCACGGAGCCATAAGTGCAAAGAAGAAGCAGATACGGACGACCCTGGTTTGCGGATTAAGAGTTAATGCTGTTTTTTATATTAGAACGTTTTCGAAAAAAAGTGCATGAAAAGTGCAATTAGATACTCCGCATATATTCAAGCAGAACATCCAAAAAAGACACCCCTGTATTGCTCGATTATTGAAACAACCGAGTAGCGCCATGTTTTTCTTTTTTTTTGCATTAAAAATAAAATACAGCCTTTAAGACCCGGCTTAAATGACCTCAAGTCTCGTGTTTGTTTCTCTTCCCTACGACACGACTACTAGCGACAAATCTTACGACAATCGAATTTTGCTCACAGGTAAAATAACGATCTTCTTTTGTGGTAAAAGATGCACGACACACTGTCGGTACGATTTATATCTACTTTAGATAAAAACGAAAATTCAATTTATCATTTGACACAATTTCTTGAATTCTTCAGTATAAATTCGCAGTTGAATGATGAGCCTCAATTACGCGAGGCTTGAGATAAATGCGAGAGGAAGTGGAATATGAAATACTACACGCTCGATCTCTCAGAGGAACCAGGTATGTGTCACACATAACGGAGGTTTCGTTACCTTAAAAATCGTCTTTTCCAAAACAAATGTAAAAAAAAAAATTACGCCAAGCGCACACACGTGTTACCATAATTATTCCAATTAATTTTTTTTCTTTGCGAAACCACAAGCGAGCGTTTCGCTCTTTTTCTTTGTTCCGTGATAATTCTTGAAATTTTTTTTTATTCGCCGTATACGAGCCAAAAAAAAACACAATCAGCCTCGTAGAAACTTGGACTGTAAAATGTTATAGATATGCGTTTGCCGAAATTTTTCACTCTCTCACATTTGCATTCAAATATGTAACAAATTCCGAAAGAGAGATTCGATAACATTTAAATAGCGATGCAACATTTGGCATAAAGATATATGTCTACTTCATTCTTCGATTTATTCTCCGTAGTTATTTTCACGGCGCACAATTTGACTTCCAAAAAAGAAATTTGCACGCACAAAAACCTTGACACATATTCGCATATGGAGAGAGATACTGCGCGTTGCCTGCATTTGGCTAGAAACAACGTCGGATAGCACCGGCTACGCAACGAAAGAAATCTAAAGAAGGCTATATGCGCAACAGTTGTTATCTTCGTATGTAAACTCTAAAAAAATCGCGCGCGCGCACACACATACAGACACACACGCACACATATATATATAAATTGTAAAACAACGATGCATATGTAACGTCCACAAGTTTCTGTGTATATATTTTACTGCTTGATATAAAAATTAGCATCGACAATTGTATCAGTGGAATCCTAAAAAGCGGTAACATCTTATTAATACCTAATTAAGATTTCAAACGAGAATTAAATTAGCACATATATACATACATCACTTTCTCACTTTCTTACTACTGTGAGCGCTATACAGATGCGCATATGATCAATGAGTATCGAGAATGCTTTTATCGAAGGACGTTTACGAAGGAAGTTCGCGGTTTGTCAATTTGTAAACCGCGAACTCCATATTTGGTGCCGGTTACGCATGTTGCGCCCAATACGTGGGCGTGAAACAGACCCCCCCCCTCGTTATAGTCGTCGGCTAAACGAGAGTCGCTCCAATTGCATCGAATTATGCGCGCAAATTTCTTGTTGATGAAGCTAATTATTATCCCGGTAACGATTATTATCCCACCAATTATACCGTACGCACATGCAGCACATAGTATATATATAATGCGAGTGTGAAGAGAATTGCAGAAAAAAATATCTGTGCATTTTCAGCGCGCTACGCTATCTCGTAGGATGCCGACATCCGGAGGATATTGCGCCTTAGCGTGGCATCCTGCCACAGGAAGGGGAAACCTCCTCCTGTCTTATCCCGGAATTCAAAACCAACGGTGATGTCGTGTTCTCTCTCAGGAATCTCTTCTTTATCGCAAGGTCACCGCTAAATAAAAACTTCAAAATGTCTCATGCAACGTTTCACACCTCGCAAGTTACTGAACAAAACATTTTCCGGAGTTTCTCTTGCGTGTCTAGGTAAGAAGAGAAGCTACAAAGAGATAAGATTTTTTTTTTCTTTGTAGCTTTATATATTCCTCTTTTCCTTTTTCCACATTATAATATATAAATATATTAATATCTTATTAGAGAGAAATTATAACTAGATCGCGAAAACCGATTAATCTCTTCAATTTGTTAGAGAATTTATTCTCGGAACGGCATGGGACAAAGTAATGAGAAATGGTTCGAGCGCTACGCTTCATACATTGAACCTTGTGAAACGTGCGTGCGAATCGGTGGCCTTGATTTCTGAAGCCGTGAAAACACATCTCGCCGTCGCCTGAGGTCAATTAAACCAAGCCACTAAAAGTCAGTGACTCTGTTCAAGCACAGCTAATTTCTCCTCGATCTGTCGCTGTCAATACCGCCGGGGAAAGAAAGTATACGCACATTTTTCTACGTCTTGCCTATTGTGCATTGTGCGACAACCGATGCTGTTAACTTGACGGGTGAAAAGAAGAAGTCATTAACAAATGACCGATGTAAATGACTTGATTTCGCCATTAATTAAACGTCCAAGTGTAAAAAGATGTGTAAGCAAACTGAAGAAAAGACAATATATCGTCATTTTATTTCTCAACAACCATAAAATGTTTCGCGCGAATCAGACCACGCTGTGAATGCACAGCGGCATTTTATCACAAAACACCGATAACTACTTCCGAATCTCGCTGTTGCGAAAATAAAAATATATCTTTTTCACATAGAAAGCCTCGCGAAAAACTAGACCGAACAAGCTCATAACAAAGTACTGTCGATGATCGAGAGATGAGACTGAATTTTGTACGTCATTTTTCACGCGCGTAACAGAGCCACAGAATCGTATATCCGCGAGTTCTCTCCATGGGATTCGCGTCGTGCTGCACCTTCTCACCCTCCCTCGCTTTGGGCGTGGTGCCCGCTCTGCAGACGTCTCTCATCGATTTCTCCGCGACCACCAAACACCATAAAGCTGAAAGACAAGACGTCGCTTGATGCGTTTTGCATAAAAAACAAAAAAAAAAAACGCATAACTGAAAATTTCCGATTTCGTAGGTCGCTGTTTATAGACACTTGTAAAGACACACGAGAGATTTATACGTTCAGATAAAACATTCAATCTCGGTTGTAATTAATTTGATTGGTCTTCGGACGCGATATTGAAAAAGTGTGTACACGCGCGCGCACACACGCGTACATGCAAAACAGTGACATTGAAACACTTGTGCGTCTCGCCTTACATCATCGTTTTGCATTCCAACTTGAGATGGTTGTACGTGTAACGGGGAGACAGGTGCTACGAGACGGGAAGCAGGTTTTCTTCTGGGTCGCGCACAGCGATCCCTTCTCTGGTATGGCCTCCTTCTCAACGCGCACACTGTCTAAAACCGTACCAATCCACTTTTTCGTGTACACACCGGAAGCCGGTGAGAGGAGATGTCCGTCATTGCACGTAGAGAATTTTATCTCCTATCGGGAGAAATGGAAGAAATGCAGTTATAACGATCGTGAACCGCATTCTGTACGCGCGGAAATCGCGCGTTCCCGCGTGGCAATGTATGGATGCAAAAAAAAAAAAAAAAAAAAAAAGGAACAAATCGAAAAGAAAAGAAAGGGAGAGGCAAAAAGCATTTGTATTTGCGATAAAAGATAAATATACGCGTGTATACGAGCGAAACTCTTATGAATTGCGTTCAATTATCCTGGGAGCGCAGAGCGGTGTGATTTTCCATATAATCGCTTCGCGATCTCGAGAGCGTGAAAGTCTAGTGGTTAATTACAAGTGCAGTGGGGTAACGACCATTTAAGTGTTATATGCTTGTTAATTTAAAACGTACGAGCGCGATGAGTGATTTTATTTCACTTTAACCGAAAATTATTCATCGATGACACATACCGCGTGTCTTTCACACTGCGTGTCGTCGTCGTTTGTACGCTCCTGCTTGCTCTGTGTGTCGTCGTCTTCTTTTTTCTCATCTCGATCCGTCTCGTCCGTCGCGTCGCCGGCATTGACGAAGTCATCGTCGAGGACGAATCTTTTTGTTTTTTTTTTTCCACACGCTCTCGATGAACATTCGTTCTTTCGACACTTTTGCTCGATTTGTTCAATTCGATAACGTAACTGTTTCTCACAAAAACGGCAATCAGTCAATTTTGTCGCGAGATCGGCTCCGCACGTCGATAGAAGAGGTTTGTAGACACGAAGAAAGAGTGAATTTAAAATAAATGGAAACTAAAAAAGGCGCGCGTCCTGAAAATAATAAGAAAGTCATCGATCTTTCCGCGTGTTTCGTTGACGCATCTGGCCTACTTAAACCACAGTCCGTATGCATCGAGGACATTGCACTTGACCCAATCTTCGGATTGGTGTGTGTTTGCGTTTTAAATAAATATATTATATTCTCTTAATACGCGCCGCGCGCGTTTCGTATCGTTGCACAAACTGCAAAAAAACATTCCGCGCGTGACCCTTGCGATTGATACCAATGACACATGTGTGATATAAAAGCGTGGCGAGACAGTTAACAGCTATTTTTGGTTGTTAAACGTTGTTACGAGCCGCTCTCATCTCTCTCGGCGGTGGGAAACCGCCGTGACCGCGTTTCGAATCCTTGACTCTTCCGCGCGCGCACGAGGCCCGTTGTTGATCGCGGCCTTTGCGAAAAAAAAAAAAAACAGATTCAAGAACGCGAACGGCCGATAACGCGTGCGCGCCGAGACAACGTCGATTGTCTACCGGTTCTCAGAGATTGAGTCTGCCTTGCATGTATTAGACAAGGTCAAAAGCCCCCCTTGGGAGAATCGGTCAACGTTACGCGTCGAAGAAATTGCTTGTGGAATTCGTCGATTTGATGCGCTATCGCGCGCACACGATACAGATACGCGCTCGGAACGCTCGTTCCGAGTAGAGCGATATCAACCAGCCGCGATAATGACTTGGAAGCAAAACCGAGCCATATATGGTCATGTCCAACAGATAGGGAGCGCCTAGCGACAGTTCAGTCTTTAGAACAGAATTCAGACTTCGTTTGCTCTAAGATGTCACAATAATAATAACAACAATTTATTGACATGCACGAAAACAATTAAATATAAATTAAAAAAAAATTAAAACGCAGACACACAATATAAATAAAAATGTAATACACAATTAAATAAAAATTATCGTAAACGACTCAATGGAATAATACGATATAACGTTTTCCTTATCGCGCATATTTGTTGCAACACGCGAGCTTGGTATGTTTGTTTGAAAGATGTTATCTCATAATCGGCGCTACAACAGATAAATCGAAAAAACTCTTAAACTTTTTTCCTCGATTATCCGTCATCGATAATCGCGATGAGGATTAATTCTTGAGAGACAGTTTTTCAACGTATTACTACTAACGTTCCACTCGCATGACGCGACGCGACGCGTCGCGTTGGGGCTGACAATGACTAATCCACGTGGATGTGTCATGTCGTGAAGAAAACGAAGGGGACGCACGTACATGTATATATCTTCCGATCAATTCGTGCCCAATTTCTTTTTCTCCGTGCACCGTGAAACGAAAACTAATTATTAGTGTTTGTTTGTATAAATTATTTATTCCGTGAATTTAAAAACTCGTGAAAAAATTTACAACTAAAAAATCGAGCCGGATGTATGTATTTATCTTAAATGTATAAATTATATGTGGAAATCTGTGAAAACGTGTTTAATTATTTATTTATTTTGCTATATATCAATTTAATATCGTTCTTATCGTTTTAATTGCAACGATTTGCCAGTCCTCAAAATTCCAATGAGGAAACAATCGTGATGACGGGCTCGAAGTACGGTCATTTGCAATAATAGCATGTGCACATTTTCTATTATTGCTCGTCAAATGTACCGAAGACAATGTGGCAATAATTGCATTGTTTCGTTCGGAATTGATGCAATTTCACGTATGTACAGAGACATTACTGGGACCGTTCAGTTTTTTTTTTTTTTTTTTTTCACAAAAAATGCATAATCACAAATGTGCGCTGTGGTCACACGGTTCGGAAGCTAGCGTTAGTGTGTCTTCAATTATCAGCACGCAAATGACGCTTCAGTCAATTTCTCGATTTTCGCGCGAGACAAGTCAGCGCTAAATATATAGCAAACGGGTATAATTTTATCGCACACGGTGAGATTCCTCACGTGTATACCGGTAGCGCGTCAACCAAGTGTACGACGGTACTGTTATGATGGACGGATATCGGATAGAATCGTTCGAGAATCACGTTAACAGGCTCGTATTGCCTTGCTTATATCGCGTTATACGATCAGCGCCGTTTTTTTTTTTTTTTTTTTTTTTTTACGAATTGCTCTCTTGTATATTTAGTAAAAACTAAAAAGATTTTTCCCCTCTCTTCGCGCCACGATGATAGGTAATTCTTACGTTTCGCGCCCACAGTTTTGTGCAAGTCTCATCTAAAAAGGACACTCGCGCGACACACGTTTGGTTTTACATCATCGCGTTTCGTATCAATTTTATGCGAAACAGCGAAGGGAACGGCAGAATCAGACGATGTGTTGTATATTCATTCACGTGTTGGCAGATATCGGATATATGTACGTACCTACAATAGTACGCCTACCACTCTGTGGATACCCCATTGAACAACCTCGCAAAGTCTCGCGAGGTTCTTCTCCTCTCTGCTCGCACATACATAGTTTTTCTTCGCGGATGTGACAAACGCGACGAATCTCGAAAACAAACGACGTGTCATTTCGACGTGTCATTGTTCCTTGAATTCGTCCTTCTCTCTGTCGCTCGCGTGAAGATTTACGCGCGTCTCGTTAATTTTTTTTTTTTTAATTCATTCAAAATGACGTGTGCGAGTCGTCACTTCGATTGACTCCGCGCAGAAACGCAAGGTGCAATCTCTCGATGCATGATGAAGGGAATTGTTGATGACTCGACTTCGTAATAACGAACGACTTCGGGGGGGGGGTCTTATACTTCTCCGACAAGAAAGACCTTGATGCCGAGACCTTATTTGGTGGACAAGGTCGGAGCATCTCCGGTCATTGGGTCTTCGGGATGCGGAACGAGTCACGCACGAGTATGCGTGCAGTATATTATTGTTTCATACGCGCGTTGAAAGGAGGACACCGAAATAAAAAAAAAAAACAATTTTAAATCTCACATCCGTCATAGATCCCAGATTCATCATATATTGATACACGATCGCGTCTCTACGTCACATTTGCGCGCGGATGAATTTTAAATGTGGGATCGCAACGTATGTATGTATACGTAATTACGTCGATCGACTTGAACACGAAAAACCGCTACACGTCGAAATGATTCACGCCAATCGAGGGTTCTCGCGCGATGATCGAAACGCGCGCGCGCGCGTTCGTTCATTATATCGGCGAGTGTGAATCATCACAGAGCACACACGCGCGCGCGCGCGCACGAGTAAGAGCATGGAAACCTAACCTAATTGCGTTTCCCGCAATTTCGTCAGCGAACCCGATTTCAGCGCGCGGCTGAATTATTTTAGCCTATTATCTCTCGTACAAATTTTCTCTCTCCAGCCGCGCGCGCGTTCTTTCTTTTTCTTTCTAATAATGTACATCTCCACGTCTCTTCGATACCGGTCACGTGTCGTTTTTCTTCGACTATACGCGCGAGACAGGCTTCGAGATGAAGTGGGTATCGATTTTGGTGCACGCACGCAGACCTTTCTCTCCTACGTTAGCCGGGTACGGGAGCGTAGCGTGCAACACTGATGGTTACAGGGTGTCTGTGTATATTTGTATTAAACCAGTATTACCGGCGGAGAGAGAGAGAGAGAGAGAGAGAGACGAGCGAGCCTAGGGTCTATACGTATGACGTGGCATAAGTGCAATGTACCCTTCGCATCCTGTGCCCCTGCCCTTGAGTCTATTTTTAAAGAACTACGCGTCGCACGCAATTTGCCAGAAAGAGAAAAGAAAAAAAATGAGATCTCGCGCTCGCAATCTCGCGAGATGACACGTTAATTGGCAATATTCTTATCTCACGACACATTGGACGCAAATATGAGATTCGACTTTGACCGCTCGTGTTGTGCGTAAGTTTTTTTTTTTTTTTTTTTTTTTTCTACATATATAAAGTTTCCCAGAACAATCGAGCAGTGTCCGTCATGATCGTCAGACCTTTAGAATGGAAAAGGCGATAAAAAGAAAAAAGAGATAACATTTTTTTCTGTCAAACGAACATGAATTATTGCTACTTGGAGTAAAAAAAAAAAAAAAAAAAAGGAAAGATGCGTTAACGCGACAAACACGCACACAATCGTTTCTTTAAAAGAATCGGAGTAATGTGTAAGCGCATTTCCGAATGCTATAACTAGTATAATATACAAACACGTAAATATGTAAATTACTATCTTATGCAGGTAGTTGTGACGACGGTTAGTCGTACGGACCTTTACGCCAGCGCGTATACTTCCAGGAGACATTACGCTCTCTCTGTATCGTGCGATTTGAAGCGGCATTTGGAGAATCTAGCCGCCAGCCGGCCGACGGACCAATCGCCGCGTCGCTTTCGTTTTATGCCCATATATGGCAAGAGCTGTGAATCCGGGTGGTGGGAGAAGCCGGCACGGACGAGTCCATGTTTCTCGTCGTGAGGGGTGGCCCTCGCGAATCGGCACGTCACATTTAACGCGACGTGCGAATTACGTACGACAGAACAAATCGATGACCGTCGTTGTTTCTCGCAAAGATTTTCGCGGTTCTGCCTGAAATCCGACAACGAAAACAGAAAATGCGTCGAAAACGACGGATCTTTCTTTTCAGGACGCGTGATTGGGGAATCGTAAAAATTCTCTAGCGCGGTTGATATGCCGACCACACCTTCGCGTGGACGAGTCCACGAGACGTGACGTGACGCGAGGCGGCGCGATACCGGCTCACGTCTCGCAGGTTCGTCCGGCAGCACAATCATCCCCGATCTCTCGCTGGCAGCGTTCGCAGTGTCCGCATCGTGCTGCTGATCATCGTTTGGACGAATATCCGCTGATCCATTTTTCGAGGATCGAAAACGCAAACTCGACGTTTAATTCAGAAGAATCAGGTAAGCAGACAAGCCCGCGTGTGTAACCGGCCGCGCGCTGGCTGTCGGCCACGCATCGGTGCCCGTTTCCCGTCGGAACGAAATCGGTTGGTCAGGTTTTCTCACGCGTTATTCTGTGTGTTAATATTAAAACGCCGCCATGGTGTAGGGCGTTGCTCTCTCGAATGTAACAAGATCGTCGCGTCATGGTTAATATACATATAAAAATGACATGTATCTTCTCTTGATTTGCGGCTTTCCGCTTTTAAAGACGCGCAGCGTGATGCGGCGCCAGGGTGGTCGACAGGTTGCCGTCGACGTCGCAAGGTGGTCGCCGGGTGTGTGTATCAGACGCGGCGAGACAGGTGGTTGCGGCGAGACGACGCGCCGGATAGTTTATTAATAGCTCAACGACACGTAGAGAAAATCCGCGTTGCTAACCTACACGCTCTCGCGACTAACTGTAATTATATACGATCCGGCGGCGGCGGCGGCGGCGACGGCTCCGACGAGAAGAGAATTTCATTCAGCCCGCTCGCGAGAAATGTGCCGCTCGCGCGAGAGAGCGGTTCTCTCTCCATTCTAAGATATTCTAGGTAGAATCTTTTTTCTTTGGTCGCGGAAACTGGTTCCGCAGATTCTCTCGATGCGTGAATAACGCGAATGACTCAAACGAAATGGAGTAGCGAGTTACAAATTAATTAACAGTGTGATAGAAAGAGAGAAAGATTCGTGAGATCCGATAATCAATTCGCGTGTAAAATCTTCCGGAGTTCGACGGTCAATTTAACGGATGCATTCATACACCGGGTGTCGTGGGACCGGCTCGTTGCGCCGCGGGGGGAAATCGCGCGGCTCCCGCGAGCGAGGGGCAGGGGGACACGGAAAACCCCTCCGTGTCAGAGTACTTCCATATATGGTAAAGAAAGCCAGGATTGGTCGAGGGTGTCCCACCCTTATTGGCTAAACGTTGGGCGGTGGGGGGGGACGTCGAGGAACAACGCATCTGTTCATATAATACTCCACGAAACGATTGCCCGGACTACACTCTGCGTTCGGTGCTAGATCGGTCGACAGTGCGGCAGTGTCGGTTCTAATTAGAACTTGTATATAACTACCTTTTTTACTCGGAAAAACGAACCGTAAGTCCAATAAATCAGCATTCTATAATCTTGCAGACCTAGATGGTAACGTATCAATCGTAGATCAGTGTGAAATTAGAGAAACGCGGGAGGAAAAGGAGAAACCAAAAAAAAAAAAAGTGCACGAAAGTTACCGGCCTTTTGTAGTGCGAAGTGATGATTGGGTGTGTTGGCGGCGTACGTTGAGGAATCGAGTGCTTCACTTGTGAGAGCTTCATTCGCTCCGTTGTTAAAACGAAGTTAGAGATATCCGTACGCGGTATTTCAACGAGAACGCGGAGAAAAATCGAGAACGATTTAAATTATCGGTAGTGTATGTACGTGTGACATCGTTTGCACGTTTGCGCACGTTTGCGAGAAAAGTGTTAAATTGCGAAATGTCGAAGATGTGTGCTCGAACGAGACAATCACAGGTTGTTCGCCGTTCGTCACGAGCTGTGATAGGGCGGGGCGCGGGGTGGGGCAGGGTGCGGTTCTGATAATTAAAGATAACTTAGCTCCTCTTTCGAAAGATATCTCTTTTGTCGCGTCTCTTTCAAATTGAATTTTATCGATGTGCTTTCAACCAAACTACTTGGGTTACAAATGTTTCTCTTTTGTACTTTCACGATTCACCTTTCGTGAGATCTAATCGCTTGAATTCTCTTGCTGACACGTTTGCCTTCCTCCGACGCCATCTTGAAAAGCGTTTCGAAAGCGAGGCCGGTCACCGGCTAATGAAGTAGTCATTAGTCTGCTAATACTCCGATTAAAACGCTTCCGTTTTTGATAGACGATATCTAGAGATTGTGTAATTGCAGTTTCTATCTTTTTAAGCAAACATCGAAATTTTTAATACCTGACGAGATTGAAAAGTGTTGTACGTAGAGACGTCAGTCCGGAGTAATCTTGATACTTTGTTGACAGCAAGATTGTTAATATTCGCGGATCACAGAATATTCCATGTGCGAATAAAAAACGTTCACAAAATTCTGGATTGACGCATTGCAAACGGAAGAATGAGACACGAAAATTCTCTAGATTCTAACGCTTGCGGTCGTTTGCAAGAATTCTCGGGTTTAAATATATGAAGCAAACAATTACCCTTTATGGATACAGTTAGCAATAACGACTGATCCGCAATGTGTTAATATATTTGTTTTTTTTTTTCTTGTATCACAAGTATAAGCTAATTGTAATTTTGTATTGCAGTTAAATCAACCAAGCAAACATGTGCGACGAGGAAGTTGCTGCGCTCGTAGTAGACAATGGATCCGGAATGTGCAAAGCTGGTTTTGCTGGAGATGATGCTCCGCGTGCCGTCTTCCCGTCAATTGTCGGTAGACCACGCCACCAGGGTGTTATGGTCGGCATGGGGCAGAAGGATTCGTACGTTGGCGACGAGGCCCAATCGAAAAGAGGTATCCTCACACTGAAGTATCCGATCGAGCACGGTATTGTAACCAATTGGGACGACATGGAAAAGATCTGGCACCACACATTCTACAACGAATTGCGAGTAGCTCCCGAGGAACATCCAGTTCTACTTACCGAGGCTCCCTTGAATCCCAAGGCCAATCGCGAAAAGATGACGCAGATCATGTTCGAAACATTCAATACTCCAGCTATGTACGTAGCGATCCAGGCTGTGCTGTCGTTGTACGCTTCCGGTCGTACCACTGGTATCGTGCTGGACTCAGGCGATGGCGTTTCTCACACCGTACCGATTTACGAGGGATACGCTCTGCCGCACGCCATTCTCCGTTTGGATCTGGCTGGTCGCGATCTTACGGACTATCTCATGAAGATCCTCACTGAGAGAGGATACTCCTTCACGACCACAGCCGAGCGTGAAATTGTTCGTGACATCAAGGAAAAGCTTTGCTACGTCGCGCTCGACTTCGAACAGGAAATGGCCACCGCTGCCTCCTCGTCCAGCCTGGAGAAGAGCTACGAGCTTCCGGACGGTCAGGTCATCACCATCGGCAACGAGCGATTCCGTTGCCCCGAGGCTCTCTTCCAGCCCTCGTTCTTGGGCATGGAAGCCTGCGGCATCCACGAGACCACATACAACTCGATCATGAAATGCGACGTCGACATCCGTAAGGACTTGTACGCCAACACCGTTCTCTCCGGTGGTACCACCATGTATCCTGGCATCGCCGACAGGATGCAGAAGGAGATCACTGCCTTAGCCCCATCTACCATGAAGATCAAGATCATTGCCCCGCCTGAGAGGAAATACTCCGTATGGATCGGCGGATCGATCCTCGCATCGCTCTCCACCTTCCAACAAATGTGGATCTCGAAGCAGGAGTACGATGAATCAGGACCATCCATTGTCCACAGGAAGTGCTTCTAAGCGCCTTTTTTTCCATTGCATATTATCATCCCCCGATATCCTTGAGACGTCGAGAGATTAAAAGAGAGAGAGAGAAAGAGAGAAAAAGGGAGAGAAAGAGAGAGGCTTCTGTCTCGTTTAGCAGGCGGACACAACATCAACTTCCGCGACGATTGCCCTTGGATTTTTTTTTTCCCCCCCAAGGGCAAAGGTAGCTTCTTTCAATTTCGGATGTACGTGTTTAAGATACGCGTGACAAAGCGTGTTTGATTAAACGAGAGGAGTGAGGAGCTTACGGTATATCGCCCTCCTCCCGCGATTGTTCCTCGGTCTCGGCGGCAACCCAAATAAACCGGCGGTTCGTTCTTGCTCGTTTATAACGCGATCATTTCTCATCATTTTTCCATTCACCGATTTCAGTATCACGTATAACAATCTTAATTAATTGAATTAATTTTTAATCGTGTTAATTATTATAATTATTCATTAATTAAAAATTAATTTAATTATTAATTGTGAACGATCTTAAACATGTGCCCCGATTCCTATAAGCGTAATGTTTTTTTTTTTTTTTTTACTTTTTATCCTGTATTGGATTATTTGTATATTATATATATTCGAACAACTTTTATCGACATAAGATTTAGCTAAACGTTTCTCGCGAGACATCCTTCTCTCAACGCGCGAGCAGAACGCTTCCTTTTTTCGTCAGGCTTGTCGTTTTCTCCATCCTCCTCCCCCCATCCGTTTCCCCTTCGTTGCTTCGCGCGCGTACGCTTTGATTGCCATTTTTCTTCGACAACACACACTCGAGCAAGAAACGTTCACGAAGATTTAAACTCCTCCGGAGTTTGCTGTTTCGCGGGAAAGATCGGTTTCCCGCGCGGTGACGTGACGGAGTTCGGACATGGCAATCAACGATGGAATGCATTCCGATCACTATGCGATATTTTTTTAAAGAAGTCGCGTCAAAGTTGAAAAACGCACGTCATTCCGCTCCGAGAGAGCTATAAGAAAGACCTCGTTTATATAATTTTTTTTCTATTGCCGTTTGCATATCGTTGAGGGAAAAGATGGCCTTTTGTCTTCTTTTTTTTCTTTCTTTTCATGGTTTTTTTTTTTTTTTTATACACGATGGGGTAAACCGCTGATCCGGAAATACGAAAATACGAACATCCGCTCAAGCAAGGTAAAGAAAAAGAAAAGACAAAAAACAAAAAAAAATAAAATAAACAACCACGGTTTTGACCCCGCAAGCGTAGCCAAAGTATTATAATTTATTCCCATTGTATTGCGCAAAGACCATTCACGTACACATCTTAAAGACTACTTTAGACTTATGGGATTATAAAATAAAAGTCTGAAAAACTCACGATTGTTAACTGTGTTTCTTGAAATCGCAACAGTCGTCCGCATCCCCTTACTCGCATTCCCACTCGTCCCTTCACGCGTATTTGTTTTTTTTTTCTCATATACAATCTCGTATACTCTCGTTTCATTCATGTTACTTTTATGTATATGTGTCTTTTTATTATAAATATGTAACTCGTGTGTATACATAAATAATGTTTCGTAGCAATTATTAAACAGATATGTATAATTATTTTAGAATTTACGTTCAAGAGAAAAATTATCTTCAGTTGAAATAAAAGTCCATTTTTAATCAACTATTCTTTTTGTTATAATCCGATTTGTAAAAACATGTGCGCAAACTCTGATGGAATTTCATATTGTGACTCGTGTAAACAACATTCGAATTCTATGTGTAAAGAGAGCTGAGGAAAATGATAAATTATGAGATATGTTTTAAATATCACTAAGAAAAAATATTGTGCGATTCAAAATATCTGTTTAAAACAAAGTCCTGATAGATTGGGAACAAATTGCGTAAGTTAAATCGAAAAGATCTAAAAGTTCGATTAGTTTCCGTCTTTTTGAAGTTCCAAATTGATTTCATTTTTAATTAAATTTGCATTAAAAAAAAAAAAAAAAACATTTCCTCTCAAAGTTAAACTCGCAAAGCCATTTTGCGTTTGAGTTCAGGTGGCAGCACGGCACGATCCCTGCTGAAAATCGGGGAAATTCAAGTTGAATTGTATCAATCAAGAAGAACGACGTTTAATTGTCAAATTATTGATCAGTCGGACGAAAATCCGAACGCGTCTCGGACGATTGGACGGGGATTTGCGTCACTTCGCCCACGATGTCTTCGCTACGTTTTTTTTGCGGCATATTCGTCGACGATTGGTCGTCCGTGTTTGCTTCGCGACGAAAAGTCGATGACAAGTCCGTGTTGAGATGGTCGGCCTGGCCATCGGGACCTCCGTGAGATACATGTAAGAGTATATTGCGCGTTCTTTTTTCTCGGACCTTATCTCAATTACGTCAACGCGTGATCGCTAAGGTATTCGATGACACAGTCTCCGCGTCGACGGAAAAACACGAAACGTTAGATCGGTGACCACCACCGGTGGTTGTTCAGTGACTGCATGTGACGACAAAACGAGAAACCGCAGCGCATCTTCCGAGAGAGGTGTAGGTCTCCGAGTTTGACGTCGGTTCAACTCGAGAGACGAGATGCCCGAACAAAATGTTAACGATCAGTATTCAACATGGGTAAGAGAGAAAAAGTCGTGTATTCCCGTTAAACGAGTCGCGCACTGTGTATTGACATATGGCGCATAACCTTGAGAGCTTCCGTAGTAAACAAAGAACACGCGCTTTAAACTGTTCGCTAAGTCCAAACCTCTGTCGTAGATTGGACTCGTTTATATCTTCAATCTCATTGTTGGAACGGGAGCTCTGACTTTGCCAGCTGTGTTCAGTCGAGCGGGATGGATACTCGGATTGAGTGTCATTTTGGTGTTGGCGTTCATCAGGTTCATACTCAAGATTTAAATCCCTGAGATGTATTTTAAATTGAAATATCCTTTTGAACGGTTTCATTGCAGTTCCTGTTTCTTTTGCAGTTTTGTTACAGTAACGTTTGTAATAGAAGCAATGGCATCGGCGAATGCTATCGTCACATGGAGACATCTTCAGCATCGGAAACGCGTAAGAGTTTTTGGATTTCTTTAGAACAAATATATTATACAAGAGAAAACAGTAAGTAATCGAAATTGTGAAATACTTCGGAACAATAAGTAAGTTTTTTTTAGAATTCTTGAAGACGGATAACGTAAAGCATCAAGCAAGGTTTAAATTGAGACACTTGTTTCAGGTCTTACAGACAATAGGTGAATCAGGTCCTTCCAATTCGGATTCGGAAGATACTCCGTTGGTGGCTCCTTTATCCACCGCCACTCCCACCACCTCCGCCACAACCACCACTAGCAGCCCGGAGCGTTCCGATATGGTTTACAGATATTATGTGATTCGTGATAAAATAGAGATGGGACAGATGGCATCTATTTTTTTCAATCGATTTGGAACCACTCTGTTTTACTTGTGTTTGGCTATTTATTTGTATGGAGATTTGAGTATTTACGGCGCAGCAGTTGCCAAGTCGGTAGCTGATGTCGTTTGCACGTATATGCCAGAAAATCTTACTTGCAACGACACCATACCAGACACCGAACCGTGCTGGGAAAATTACGAACTAAATCGTTCGGATGCGTACAGAATATTCTTGGTGAGTTAGAAGAATGTTATCTTCCAAGTTTTTTTTTTTTTTTTTTTAGCTTTTGACAAAAATAAAACGTCGAAGAAAATACTTGTGATAATTGTGTTTTTAATTTTCAGACGTTGTTTGTGTTATTATTGGGACCGTTTGTATTTTTCAATGTTCAGAAGACCAAGTATCTTCAGCTGTTGACGTCGGCAATGCGATGGCTCGCATTTAACATAATGATTCTGTACGCTGTAATAAGTCTCATACGGTACGGCCCTCGGGGCGATCCGCCTACCGCCAATTTAACCGGTAAGGGAAATTGTCGCAAACGTTTGTTTGGGACGTTGATTTCGTTAACGCGTTATATCGTGCGTTAACAATTTTACTAATAAATACAATGCGTAAAGTATTAACACACAAAATATTACATTGTTCTAGGGATTCCCGGTCTTTTCGGTGCTTGCGTCTATTCCTTCATGTGTCATCACTCGTTACCAGCTCTAGTCGCGCCAATAGCGAATAAATCCATGATAAATCGATTTCTCGCTCTCGATTACGTACTTATCGCTTTCTTTTATCTGTTACTGGCTCTCACGGGCGCTTTCGCCTTCGAACATTTGGATGATCTTTATACCTTGGACTTTGGACCACGTGGCTCGGGCAATTGTTCCAAGAGTGACAATATTTTTATGCTGTTTATAGAGTATTTCCTAGCTCTCTTCCCCGTGTTCACTCTGAGTACGAGTTTTCCCATTATAGCGATCACTCTGCGAAATAATCTGCAGTCGCTCTTTTTGAACGAAGATACGTCCTACAATGTTTTTCAAAAACTCGTCTTCCCCATTTTGGCGATATTGCCGCCGTATCTGATCGCGCTCTACACCAAGGATCTGTCAATATTAGTTGGTATCACAGGATCGTACGCGGGAGCAGGAATTCAGTATTTGATACCCACGTTTCTGGTTTACTACGCCAGACAGGAAACCAACAAGGTCATCGGCCTGGGTGTCAAGAACAAATTCGCAAGTCCTTTCTCGAACAAGTATTGGTTGGTTTTCGTCGTGGCGTGGGCTATCGCTTGTATGATCTTAGTGTCAGTCAATTTCATACAGATACATCATCGAACGATGGTCAGTTAATAGCAAAATGAAAATTTATCTTATACGTAAAACTACGTAATAATAATATCGTAGATCAAAAGCAAGAGAGACAGAAAGAAAGAGAAACTTTTATGAGAGAAAAAAATACTCTAACGATATATAAAGTGCAGATGGATATATTGATGAAAGTTACTTTGCATATCCTGAATATGTATATTTTCTTTTTAACAATATATATCACGCGCGGTATTGGGAACGCGAAACAAAAACAGTAAAAAACAATTTCACATTAGCGATGAAATCCAACGGTGGTTATTATTACGACGGGATATGTAACACGACTGATTTGCGATCTGTAAGACTTGAGATCTCCTTAGCGCAGGATAATAATATACTAATTTTTAAGACGTCATTTGTGTGTGCAGTTGCGTGCTCACACGTACTCATGGCGAACCGACAATACTTTGGCACAAGTCGGCACATATGTACAAGTCAAATACCGTGTAAGCTTAAGATGTGGATAATAATCTGTAGAAGAAAAAAAATTATCGTCTTTATATATGCGTATATATTTTAATTAGTATCGTAGAGAAAGAGAGAGAGAGAGAGAGAGAGAGTAAACTATTGTGTCATCGTGGACAGATGTGCGTAATTTTGTTCTTCTGAGACGATTCTGTAAACAGCCGTAATGTGCATTTTATATATATATATATTTTACTTGTACACACAGTAAAAATCACACAACTTTTCCTCTGTTTGCGCATTCTCGTAATGAGACAATTGACATGGGTGATAATAGCAGCGATAGTAAAGAAGAAGCGTCATGTTGTTATGTCGTTTTTTTGTTTTTTCTTCTTTTTCTTTTTTGATGTCGTATTTTTGTATACGTGTATAAAAACTGCCAAAAAAAAAAAAAATAATTCGCAGGATGTCCGTAATAACTGTGTACCTGTGCGAGCATAACGTACAATGAAGAGTATATGTTCAATTGAAGAATGTTGCGCGCGCGTATATATATGTATATGTAATTATATATATATATATACATATATCTATTATATTTTCCAAAAGCAATTGAAAAACGGATAATAATAAATAGTTGATTATACAAGTCTTCTCTGCCGATTTATTCGCCATCGGTATAATACACATATGTATACACATATATGTCTCTCTATACTTATTCCGTACGAGATCCACAGATCTTATAACACAGATAGATTTCTCTTCAAGATTTCAACACGATACAAGATAGCACGATAAAAGCATAATAATTGTTCATTTTTCGATAAAAGTTCATGTGTCCCTGATTAAATGGATTAGCGCGGAATGCGTTATACAATCGCCCCTTTTTTTTTTTTTTTTTTTGCATAGGCACGATATTTAAAATCTTGAATATAAACAGCTTTGACCTTATACGTGGTAATATATATTATATATAGAGCAGACTTTCTAAGAGTTTGCACGTTCGCTCCACGTGAAGTCACATTAAACGCTATTCGACCGCTGTGTGTGTATGTGTTTGTGTGTATGTGTCATAACGCACAGCGTTTCTAAACTTTTTTTTGTTTAATTACATTATATAATTCGCAGTTTGCGTTAGCTCTGGTATGGGGAAAAAGCAATATTTAAAATTGCGCTTTGACGAATTTCTAAGCAAACTCCAAGAACATACAAAAGGAATTTGTTACATTCGCGTAAATAACGTAATAATAAAAAAAACAAAAAAAAACAAAAATAAAGAGAACTGAGTTGAAATAAATAAAACATTCACAATAATAATCTCATTCGTCTTAAAAACTAGATTTCACAAACAACAACAAAAGTAACAGGTAGTACATACGTGTCTTGTCGAGTTGTAAGAGTAAAAAAAAACAAAGCTCGACGTTACAATGCACGGCAAGTATTAGTGGAGAACACGTTTATGTGGGGAGCGTAAGTAAATACCAAGAGGAGAAGAACATATATGTCGTTATAATTTATACTCAATGCAATATATATGAGTACGTTTGTAATAATAAATAGCCTTTTTTCTTTAAATATATTTATATACGATTTGATTTGTTTCTTTGGTTTCTTTTTTTCGCGAACAAACACTTTTCGCCACCGGAATGTACATGTATGTATATATATACATACATATATATATATACACACATATATATATATATATATATATATATATATATACTGGATGCCTAAGGAGTAAAATTACACGACAGATACATCTCTTCGCTCCAACTCAGGGCACTCGGGTGCTTGTACTAATTATATCCCATCTTTTTCACTCAGTCAGTCTTTAACGCCTACGAGAAGTATCGCAAAGATATTTTCATCTATATATTCGTGATTGTATGTGTGTGTGTATGTGTGTATATATGTATGTAAATTCTGTTAAAATCTCTCTTAATCTTACATATTTTGACGCTAAACTTTGGAGATCGGATTTCGAGATATGTATCTTTGTGCTTCGGCATTTAGATTCGGCACTAGGCTGATAATTCAATTATGTGAATTGATACGCGAGTAACATGTGTGTTTGATACGTTTCTTCCTTACTTTTTTTTTTTTATGTTGATCCAAAAAATGTCAAAGTATAATTGAAGCGACTTTTACAAGAATAAAGATTACACATCGTGTCACATTACATATCGGTTCACGTATGTGAGATTATTTAAGCTTATTCGCATGTGGTCTAATAGCCAGAGAGCGTAGATAGGCTTGATATAATTCGTTACTATTGTAGTAGTAGTTGTAGAAAACTTATATTCTACGAATTTCTTTTTTTTTTTTTTTAAGTCTGGAATATAAAGAAAGAATTCGTTAGAGAAGAAGAGCGTTCCTCGTTACAATTTAATAACTCGACGAAACGATTTATACGTTAAATAATACTGACGTTTTCTCATGTTGATTTTTTTTTTTTTTTTAAATTAGAGATTAGAAAGTCACTCGTAGTTATTTAAATAGGGACAATTCGTGTCTTCGTGACCCACGCACTCTATCACCGGATCGTGGGTGCTGTCCCACATTCCCGGACCACATTGTCGACACAGACCGGCTAACGTACAAGGCAAGCGCACAAGTTGACGAAAGTGATGAAGTAGGCCCCGCGCCTTTCTCAATATGACATTCCCGTCCATGTACATTGCCAACGAACTAAAGTGCAACAACATTTCGTCCGTCCGTAGATCCTGAGCGATCACATCGTCCGCGTAGACGCACATAATGGCAAGGCAAAGAAACAAATGAAAGTGATCCGTTAAGTAATTGACCCAACAGGCTTCCCACATGACCAGCGCTATCTCAGTAGGAAATTCTCTCTTCAGGCATCTGCAATGAAGAGGAAAATGTGAAAAGTTCGTGCGCGTATGTGCGAGATGTGTGCGCGAAGTGTGCAATTAAACTCACAGAAGTATCCATCGGTGGCAAAATAAAAGCTCCAAGGCATCCGCGTGCTTTTGAAGATGCGCATAAAAATCCGGCACCATTATTCTCACCAATTCCCGCAGGTAGCATAGATTTCTGTCCATGTCCGTGTCGGTCGGAGTGCAGACGGCCACCGATCTCTGCATCAGACCGGCGAAACACCAGAAGGCCTCTATTTCTGAGTTGAGTTCGGCTAGCAACGGAGCCAGGAGATCCGACATTCCTTGAGTGTAACCCAAGCGGCAGTTGTACACCGCATAGTTGAGTAAAATATTTCTGAAGAAAAAACAAAACAAAAAGGGAAAAACAATTAAATACCGGGCGCAAGTTCATTCCAAATTAGTTTTTTATTCAAACGCGTTTAAAAAAAACAAGCTTACTTCATCACTTCGATGTTCGGATTGCCCTCACCGGCGTAATACGGATTGGCTCTGTCCGTGCGGACAACATCCTTCTCCACTATGCACACCACGTTTCGCCAGAAACGCTCGGCCTGTTCGGGGTTCATGGTCAAGCGACGTTTCTGTATCTCCTCGTATTCTTGCCGTCTGATAGCGTCGATCTGTTCTCTGTCTTCGTAGGTGCTCTGATAAGAGTAGCAGTGCAACAAGAAGGGCCAAACGATTTTTCGCAGCGCCGGTTCCAGACCACCAAAAAATATACCCTTGCGGAGAGCGAGATCGTCCTCCACTTGGCCCCTCTCGTTCAACAAATCTTTCCAAGCTAGCGATGTGATCATCGGCACTTGGCCCTCTTCCGGATGCAACTCGTCCCGACTTACCTCCGGTCTGCACACCATGAAATGCCTGTACAAATGGACAACGCGTTAAAATTAAAAACGTCGTTGCTCCGCGCTAAAATCTCCAATTTATTCTTCATTCAAATTTAAATGTCTTACCTGTACGGCAAAGTTTCCTCCGTGTCGGAGCTCAGACGCGGATAGAGCAACTGATGCCACTGGTGCAGAGTGGTAGCCAGTCGATCCAAGCCGCCGTGATGGAAATGCAGAATCTTATATTGGCTCTCTCTGCTCGCCACCACCAGCTGACCGCAGGTGCAGGCGGGATCGGCGAAGAACAGTCTCAGAGATCGCATCTCGCTGAGATCCACCGAGAATCTGCGACACCGGTGCGCTCTGCGCACAGTTACGGGCGACGCGGTCGCGCTTTCGGGAAAGGCAAGATTGTGCTGCAAGGCTAGAAGTTCCGGCGACCTCATCCACGACGGCACTTCCTCAGCTGTAACAAACAACCGTCATCGTGTTATTGCGTCATATCGCGTTGATCGTTCGTTAAATATATCTTTACGTACCGTCGGTGGACACCGAGATTGACAAACTGCAGGTCGAGGTCAGCGACAGACTGCGACTTTTGATGCTCACGTCGTCGCGGAAGAGGAATCGCGCTTCCTCGTCGATGCTTCTCGCGTCGCTGTCGCGATTACAACTTCGGTCCTTCGAATCTCCGTTCTTCTCGTTCCTTGACTCAATCGAATACGATTGATTCTCGGTACTCTCGGTACTATTCTCGCCGTCGTTGATCACGCTCGAGTCCCGCGGGCGCGAAAAGTCGCAACCGGAACCGGAGCAGACGCGCTCGCAATCCCCGCACGTGACGGGCTCCTTCGCCTCCAGGCACACGTCCAGCTTACCGTTCCCGTTGTCGTTATCGTTCTCGTTCTCATTCTCGACCCTCGCGTCCAGAACATTGAGCGGATCGCATCTATCCGGTAGCCGGGACCGGGGTGAGTCCGCGGAATCCCGATGCGTCGTCGCCGCGGTGTTTCTTGGACTCTGGTTCTCCAACGTCGTGGGATGTTTGCGCAGCGTGCTGTTCGGTATCCAGCTCAGATGCAAGGTCGGCAGATTCGAGTTCTTGTTCAGTTTGCAAGTTATCGTCATATATCCGGGATGATGCACCACGTCCGCGTGCTGTCTCATCAACGTCGGCGGGTGCACGCAGACGTTGTTCTTGCAGAACAGAGCCTCGCCGTCCTGATAAATGACGCGCCGATTGTCCTGGCCGCAGTCGCCGAGGATGTAACTGCTCGCCTTTCTCAGAATGTTTGGCAGAGGCATTGTCGTGATGAAGATCACTGAACGTTACGTCGTTTTCTCCCAATGAAACATGACGCACGTAAACTCGACGAGCGTAAACACAAGCGCGCGATCCAACTCCTCTCAGAACATTTTATACAACAATTCTAACGTTTACGCCAAAAAACTCGGGATACTAGGTGACACGGCAATCCATCTGTTTACCGTCCACGGGACGCACCGTGATGTTATCCGGCTCGCCTCATCCGCGAGACGCTGGAACGATCCGTTGCGAGGACATTGCGAAGCGAACCGATCGGCGAAAAATAATGCGGGACGGAGAACACGCATAATCGGACATGAGCGAAAGCACTTTGGGGATTTAAGGATGGATTCGACTGCCGGTGGTTGAGACACACTTCCGCGTGGGACACGCGATATATCGCAGTGATACCGTTATCGCCTCAATTAGCCTCGTTGCATGAGAACTTCTCGCGATACGAGGCGTTATCTGTGTCACGGTGCTGTGCACATCGAGGGGGTTGTCGAGTACGCGCTGGAACCCCCAACGACGATTAGGCGCTTGCAGCTTCGGAGAATGATCCGGAAAGATCTTCGCGCTTGTTACTCGCTCGAAAAGAGGGATGAATGACGTGTCTCTTTCGGGGAGAGAGAGACACTCTCGATCTCTCTTCTCACGGGTGAGGATTGCGCGAGACACGTGCGCTTGCTCGTGACGAGAGCTTCGAAAGAAACTCTTTTACGCGACACCGCCGATGACCCGATGACGATGGTGAACAAAATCGAAAATCATGTTAATGAAATACGACCTTGTTTCGTTGACGCTCACGCGTCACTGCTCGATGCGCGGGCGCCGACGCCGCCACCGACGTAGCGATTGGTGTCGCGCAAGTGCATACATCGATCTCGATGATATCTCCGTTGAATAATCTTGCGGCGTACGCAAAGCGCGGTAACGTACACGTAAGTTCGCGCGGACTTTATCCTCTAAACGCGAGACACGTCCGGTCCGGCGCGCACAATTGCAACACAAATTTGTCATCATCGTCGACGCGCGCGAGGCGTCACACAAAGAGATACGCGCGTTCGTCTCTTATCTTAAATCAATATCCGTCCATCGGATCAGAGAGGAGGACTTTGCTACCTTTTTTCTCTACTACCCGACCCGCTGACATTCCATTCTATTCGCACGCAGTTTCTTCTTATCGATCATTGTCCCACTTGTTTTTCTCAATCGTCGAGTCCGGGCACGAATGGTTTCGCTTTCTTTTCACGTACGTTTGTTCATTCGTTCGTTCGTTCGATCGGTGAACTTGCAACGTACGTCATCTCGTTTCGTATCCATCCGAGATTGACCTACAAACGACGATTACGTGAATTGTATGAAAAAAAAAACAAATCGCTCTGTGATTATTTCGCTATTGATTCGGAAATTTTTCTAACGATACTCGGCGTACGAGCCAATTACGCATATCGCTTTTTTATTGTACCGTCGGTTTATTAGCTCTGTGTGTGTGTGTTGCGATAACTGTTACCGTATGATTATACGCTCGCTACGTTGCAGTAATTAAAAGTAATTTTCTCTGAAATTATAAAAATCAACGTAATTTTTTCTAACGCCAGCATTTTTATTGATATTGTGAATAGGATTCATAAAAATATTGTAATAAATACTTGTAATAAATAAATATACGTATGTTTATAATATGTATATTATAACCATCTCACTTATTTTTATAAATTACTCTTAAAACATGCAGTCACTCTCTCTCTCTCTATATCGAGCGCACATTAATGACTAATTATACATTCGTTAAGTCAATTCGTAGTTAAAAAATATTTTGTGATCATTGCCGAGAGCTAGTCCCGACTTAGGTCCACGTTTGAGATACGATATCGTAGTGTACGATGAGAAGTGAAAGTCTTCTTGCAAGTAACCGTTAATCAGCAAATGTCCCACAATAGCTTCCGCGGTTTCTCTCGCGAACTTCGGCACAGGCACACCGGACACTCGCAACGACGTGGCGCCTTTGTGATACCAGGCGTCGACGAGCTTAAGCGCGGTCAATCGGGTCTCACTTTGCACAGCCTTGGTCATGATATCGTACAGATGTCTGCAGTATCGCGTTATGTCGATCTCCTTTTTAACACTCGGTTTTTTGCAATGATCGCACATTTGCGCGCAATCGCTCTTGTCCCACGTCTCCTCGAAGTGAGTCGCAATCAAACTTCGTCTACACGACGTCTGATCCAAGCAATAAGCCAACATCTTGTACAAATTCTGCAATCCTACTTTATCCTGAAACACCATTGTGCTCAGTTTGAACGTGTCGGCCAATCTGTAGAGCACGATGCACGTTGATTTCTTGCCGTCTCTGCCGGCGCGACCGCTCTCTTGATAAAAGTTCTCCATAGATTTGGAAATGCAATGATGAATGACGAATCGCACGTCCGGCTTGTCGATACCCAGACCGAAGGCGATGGTCGCGATCACCGCCTGATACTTGCCCGTTATCCACTTGGAGTAAACTTGCGATCTGTATTCGGGTTCGAGCATCGCGTGGTAACACCCGACTTTCAAACCCTTGCTTCTCAGATCCGAGGTCAGCTGTTCCGCGTCTTTGATCGTAGTCGTGTAAATTATACCCGACTGATCGTTAAATCGATTTTTCAACAGGTTCTCTATCATCGCGAGACAAGTGTCCTTGTCCGCCGGTTTACGGCGAACCTCGTAATACAAATTCGGTCTGTTGAACGAGGCTCGCAGAACCAGACACCCGCTGATGTCCAGCATCTTCTGCACGTCCACGATAATTTTAGCCGGGGCGGTGGCGGTGAGGCCTAGAATCGGTATTCCCGGGAACATGGACTTCAGCACGCCTAGGAACTTGTAATCCGGTCTGAAATCGTGACCCCACTGGCTGCAACAGTGAACCTCGTCTATGGCGAAACGGTCCAGATTTCCTATCTCGTATGCCTTCTGCAGTTTGCTCATAAAACGATTGGACTTCGCCATGTATTCCGGTGTCACGTAAATCAATTTGAGCGCCGAGTTTTTGGTTACAAGAGCGTTCATAGTCGACTTGACAATTTCCTTGTCGGCCTTCGCGCACAACATGGTGGCTTTTATATCGAGTCTGTGCAACCCGTGCAACTGATCCTCCATTAGAGCCACCAGAGGCGAAACCACTATTGTTATACCCTTGCTGATCACAGCCGGCAGCTGATAACACAGACTCTTACCACCGCCAGTAGGCATGATTAATATAACATCTTCCTTGCACATGATCGCGTTCATGGTTGGCAATTGCAATTCTCTCAACTTGTCTATTTTGAAAACATCTTTCAACGTTTTTCTCAATTTTGCGGACCACTCAAAATTCTCTGTGTTCCAGTTCTTTTTCGACAGAGAAAAGCTCTTCTTCAAAAGAGCGTCGTCACGCAATTTTTCCTTACGTTGGGTCAGGATTTGCTTGCGGTCCTGCAGTTTTAGCAGTTCAGTCTCTATTTGTTGTAACTCGTAATCGATGGCGGCTATCTCGTCGTTTTCTGTGACTGTGGAAGAAAGAAAATTTGAGAAATACGCAAATACTGTGAAAAAATACTGTGTGATTACATTGACATCTTCTTATAACAAAAAGTGTGTTGAAAAAATGAGTGTCAAATCTTATAGAATAAAGTTGTGCGTTATGCATGCGCATTTATTTAAATAAAATGTATAAAATACATTTGTTATTTCATTAATGCAGTAAAACCAACCTTGATACTCATCACTGTCTATAGTAATCCCGTCTGTATTTTTAACAGACATTTTGTCCCTATTATTTTAAATATTAAAATATCACAAGAAATACATTTGGATAAAAGTATACATATACATTAAAAAAAAAAGTACGCCACATGAGAAAGAATCCTTATTTACATAGATAATGATATAAGAATGCTTGCACACTCTCCGGATCTTCGACCACAACAATACACAAACGCACCGAGACGCACCTTGCCGGTGCAATAATCAAACAGCAAATATTGCTATTCTCCGCAACTGCACCATACTGCACTTTCTGGATTGAAAGGTTATATTTCGACGGAAAAAGCGCTAAATAATCTCGTGTCATGTGCAAAAATGAGTTGTATACTTAAGTCAATACAAAACTTGCACATTTATACTGTACATGTTTTCAATAAGATGTAAATAAAATATCGCACAGATGCGCAAAACCACACAAAGCGCGCGACACATGTCTCGCGAAAACGCATGCGTTACACTCGTAAAATAGCTGCTTGTGCGAATAACGTGGTGAGCGTATGTGTGTATATATTTACCGAATACATTGAACGATCAGCTGTGTGCTTGATTTGGTCTTGTCTTCCTTTCGTGTTATCTTGCTAGTGCATTATCAGGCAAGTAACGAAGAAATAATGTAAATCCTGTGCGCACATCAAAGTTGTGATACTTTATTCGCAAGTCCAATTATCATCATGTTTTGTCGAGCTGCGCTTCGTGTATGTCCGACTTGGCTTGAAAACACATTCACGTCTTTATATTTCAGGGGTATCTTTTATATATTTGTTATATTTGTCATTTATATATATATATATACATATATGTGTACACTTTATCACACAGAACAACGTTCAACATGATATTGCACGTCAATAACATTTTCAACGTACAAAGAAACCGCTTTTCCCAGAATACTTTAGATGTGATAACGTATTTGCGATAACATAATATTGTGACGCAACGAGAGCGCAATATAACTTCTTCGCAACATTTTTTTAAATTTATATTATTACTTTTAGTTCTATACTCACACAGCGATAGTTTACACGTATCTTTGACTTTTGATTAAAAAAAAATGTGTTCGCAGAAATGATAGTATTTATATTTAACATTTTTAGCAAGGAGCATTTCTTCTAACGGATTTCGTGGAAGTCACAGCCAGAGCTCGACGGTACTTCAGTCCAACATGAAAGTTCAAATATTGCCAGCACTTGAAGATAATTATATGTATTTGGTATGTGTGTGTTGTTTATTATAATATTTATACAACAATTTCTAAAATCTCTAAAAACAATGTTTAGCATTTTTCAAATATTTTTTTTTTAGATCATTGATGAAGCTACAAAGGAAGCTGCCATCGTAGATCCTGTTAGTCCAGAATATGTGGTTAGGGTTGTTCAAGAAAATGACGTTAAACTAACACACGTTCTAACTACTCATCATCACTGGGATCACGCTGGTGGAAATGCCAAGTTGTTGGCAAGTTTCCCCGATCTTCCCGTCTATGGTGGAGACGATAGAGTGCAAGCCATCTCTCGCAAAATTACGCACAATGATACCTTTAATATCGGCAACTTGTCGGTTAAGTGTCTTGCGACACCTTGTCACACAAAGGGACATATTTGTTATTATGTTACCGGAGGAGAAGACACTCCAGCTGTGTTTACAGGTAAAGTATCAAAAGAGATCAATATGATTCGAAATCATTAGTTGCAATCAACAAAGAAACGTGATTCGCAGGAGACACGCTTTTCGCCGGTGGCTGCGGAAGATTTTTTGAAGGTACCGCACAGCAAATGTACAAGGCGCTTATCGAGGTTCTAGGTTCTTTACCAGAGGACACGGTAAGTTGTAATTCGATATTTATCATTGATTCTTTGCGATTTTTTTGTTGCGAACCACTTGTGCCACTTTACAGAAAGTATATTGCGGACATGAGTACACAGTCAACAATCTCAAGTTTGGTTTACACGTGGAACCCGAGAATGAGGCAATTAAAAACAAATTGAGTTGGGCGGACGGTCAACTCATCAGTAATCTTCCAACTATACCTAGCACCATTAAAGACGAAAAGCTGACAAATCCGTTTATGAGAGTGCACGAGCCATCCGTTATGAAACACGCACAGCAAACTGATCCTATTCAGACAATGTCGTATCTGAGACGCGAAAAAGACAACTTCAATCCTTCGCGCTCGAAATAATCATCTAGCGTTTTATTAATATTCTCCACATTTCTATTTAGCAGTAGAACGAGACGTACAGCGGTTATCACGAACGAACGCGCGTGTAAGTTGCCGATATCGCAGAAAAATTGAACAGCTGAATCTTTTGACAATATTTTGTTCTTTCCACTCAAGCATTTATATTCAATCACTAATATAAGGTTCAATGGGAATAAAAAAAAAAAAAAGGATATAAGATACGTAAAGTGTGTAGACACACACACAATTTTGTATAACAATAAAATAATTAAACTGTAGATATAAAAGATGTGAGGTGACCAGATAATTATTGTAATTTTGTTATACGCAAATACAATAATATTGTTGTGTTAAAATAAATAATTTGAATTTATATTATTTTCAGCGTATTTTGTCTAATGTTTTACGAACTCTTATTTGTAATTGTAGTTTGTACTGGGTATCAAACATTAAAACTAATGAGTATATGTGTGTGTATATATATATATGTGTATATATATATACAAAAAATCTGACGTAGTATCCTAAAACTCCACGCATGTATACACATACAACTGTCGCTATAATATATACAAACATGACGATCAATCATTTATTTTACTATAAAATAAGATATCTAATTTGTAGTGTATTACGTTATATTTAATGACAGTTGACACGGTGTATCTTCTGTCTTTTTATTGTATATTTCCATTTCAGCGACGTACTTTTCTTTAGATCTCTCGTACATATCGTAATAAACCTGAAATAAAAACATTTGAGGTGTGAACTTGAACTACTCGAGATATTCTCACAAGACAATTTAAAAAAAAAAAAACCCAATGTATTTGAGGGCATCGAAGAATTTTACCTTCTTGTCTTCGTCGCTGAGGGACTTCCAGGTGGTGGCAAGTTGCCTGGTGAGCTCTTGCTTGCTAGGTTCCGGCTCTCCGGCCAGGCGCTCCATCACACGGGGCCTTTGCTCTTGACAAAATTGGAAGAAAGGATTGGCCGGTCTCTTTGGCGCGTTCGGATCCGCTTTCGCGCCTTTTCTCTTCGTTCCTTTCTTGGGTTTCTCCTCTTTGGCATTCTGAGAAGCGCCCTTCGCTCCCTTCTCTGATTTCGGTGTCGCTTGAAACACACTATTCTCCTCAAGCACACCCATCGGCGCCTCCCGCCAACAATCGCCATGCTGATCCAACCGATCAATCAAAAATCTATGACAATTCAACATCAGACGGTGATAAAAAAAAATTTCATTTTTAGAACAGTGACGACAAACCTATGTGAGAGACTAACTTTTTTTCTTTCCGCGTACGTCGTAGGAGCTTTCTGACTTTCTGGATTCTATACACCAATCTCTCATTTTCCTACATTCAAAGAAAACAACCATGTCAATCATTTCTGTTGAATATACAATAACACGTCGGTATCTGATTGCGTGTGTGCGGCTTTTTGCAAGATTTTGAGACACTTAACCTGCTGCAAGATTTCGCATCTCTCTAACAGCAATTGATACTTTCTCTTGTAAATATCGAACTCCTCCACCTCGTACTCGGACTCGTCGGACATCGCGAGAGAGTCTTTTTTTTTCGAAAGAAGCGACACACAAGTCGTCTAACTAACTAGTTAAGCCGCGTACGACTATTTGCAATCTTTTTTTACGTCGCTTCGGACTGTTTTGCACAAATATTTACAACAGGAGGGCACACGGTAAACTTCCATGTTGTATTTTGTATCAAAGCGCCCTCTTACACGCAGAACTGAAAATCGAAAATCAGCGCATCTGTGACCGCTCATTTTAAAAATTGTGACGACCACAATCTTTGTAAGTGAATATTATATCGTCAATGTCAATTGATATTGACGAGCGATACCGATACAGTATTAATTGATAAGATTTTGCGCAACTTTTCGTGAAACTTGTAAGTTTATCGTCGACGACGAGATTTTACATGTCTTTTTTTTTTAAAAAAGAAAAAAGATATTTGACTTTAATTACAACTTTAGGTTATTTTTTTTTTTATAGATACTTCGCAATTAAAACACATTTCCAAATTGATCGCGTTTGATTGAATGAACAGTAACTCGTTTTAAGTTTTACAGCTCCCGTATTTCGTTTTAGTTTTCACGATATACGTGTTTGTTCATATCGTTTTACTGAATGAACCCTTGTTTACACTCTCGTTGGCGCCGTTCCAAGACTTTTCGAGCGGACTATGATTGACATTCATATATATTCTTGGCACGTTCCGAAGAAATCACACAGCCTCCGCGGCGTAAACCCCACCGTTGGCGAAGACGCGAGCAAGAGATGAGGGTGTCGCGAGAGAAAAAAGCTTTCGGAGTTTTTATCGCGACGACGTAAGAAACTGGAGTACGAGGAGAAGAGAGTCGCGAAGGTGGTTCGTGCGAAAATTTAGATTATCCTCAAGGTGATTTCGAGTATACGAAAATAAAAACAAAGCACGCGCGCGCGCGCGCGCGCGCGAAGAGCGAGGGGGGTGACGGTGAGAGGGTGGCGCAGCGTGAGGAGCAGCGGCGCGGTGTGTGTGCGCGCGCAATCAGTCGGTCAAAACTCACCCTCGGCTCGGTCGCGTTGCTCGCGATACCGACACAGTCCCGAGAGAAGAGAGTTGCTAGTTTCCTGGTGCGCGTCGTTCGCGCTTCTTTGCTTCATCTTCTCTTTCGTCTTTCCGATCGCGTTCTTTCGCGTGAAACGCACCGTTGTTTCGATCGCTCCTCTCATTTTTGTTGTATTTCCCATCCTATCGTCGTCGTCTTCACGCTCCCGTCTCGTCCACGCTCGCTCGCTCGCAAAAAGCTTCGTCTACTTCTTCATCGGCCGCGATCGTCGACAACAAAATAGTATTTCCCGCGCGTACGATGCAGCTCGTCGCGGTTTTTTAGCATTGGTCCGGGACGTGGAACGAGCATCGGTAAGTAATTTTTTTTTGGATGTCGCGAGAGAACGTGTGTGTGCTCGTAGAGAGAGAATGTAATAATTTTTCTCCCTCCCCCGAGAGTGTCCTCCCGATTCCGAAGTATCGTGGGACACTAAAAGTTAGGCGGCGGGATGCGGACGTGTTCGTCGAGAATGATGCACGATGTGCCGCAACACACCGCGAGCCAAGCGTACCACGAACGTGTTATACACGGAGAACCTGTCCGCGCTGCGGATCAATAACAGCCGTTGCGGTTATGGTAACGCGCGACCAGCTGATCGACCGATATTAAATGTTATTTACATGCGAGAATCTTCGACGAGCATTCCCCGGACTGCGTCCGCTTTCCTCGAACGCGTCTGGTGTTTGCGGTAGCACGAGTTGTTGTTCGTAGACGGCGTTGACTCGAAACAGGATAGACACAAGTGTATAAAATATATATTCAAATGAAAATTACATGGCAAATAACAATCACGCGCCGACGTGATAATTGCGCGCGTTATTAATCAAGCGTAAATTGCTAGCATTGTTCTTGTAATATTCGAAAATTTATAAACGCGAGAGTCAAACACTGTTTGTTTTTTATTTTACAGTAGTCTCGATTGTGCTTTTCGATTTTTTCGATCAAATCGTCGAATTTATTCGAGAATTGATTAATTATATTTTTGCTGACTTCTCGCCGATCGGCAACTTTCATCGCCGCAAACTCACACGCCGATCGTCCACCTTGTTGCGATCTCGCGCGTAGATGTGTGCGTAGATGTGTGTGTGTTTGTATTTTTACCGCCCGCCGTTCTATGTGTTTACTCGCGATTGAATTAATGAGCACGTCGAACGGAATGAAGTCTTTTATCACAACCGGGCAATTGACATTTATATAATCACGTGCAGAAATGTGAGCGGCGACAGAATTGCCGAGACAATTAATTTATGCATTTATGTCGCACGATGAAGAAAATTGATTAAAACTAGATATTTTTCTCATTAATTTTCTGAATAATTAATTATCGCATCTATCTGATATGTATGCGGAACACGCGCCGCGCTTCATTCCACCAGGTTTTCCACGTGCGCGCGTTTTTTTTTCTTGAATATTTTTCCAAGTAAAATCCTTCGTCGCAGTATTACAATTGTGTTTAGATTTCAAACTCGATAGTTTCTCGAAGATTGCGCGTTCGCAAGAAAGCGCGTAGTGTACGCGCCCTACATTTTCCATTTCCGGGGCGTTATTTCTGCAAAGATACATACGCGCGTCCGTCTATATATAGCTTTACGCATTGCGTTAAGAATTAATCCTAATTCTGAACCCGTTCGTCACTCTAAATGCGAATGCGTGGATTTGCCGTGCGAGTTTTTACTTTGTGTGTGACTTCGAGATGTCAGAAAAATTTTACAAATAATTCTCTGGAATCTTTAAAATGTCTTCTAACATGTTATTTGTTTAACACAAAAACAATTTTATATGATTCACGTATACAATTTTAATTTATACAATTTTATACGAGTTTTTTTATACATTTTAAATGATTTATTTTTAATAATTTTTTTAAAGAGAGTTTCGAAAGGTGCTGAACAAACAAGACCAACAGGTTCAACATTTAAGATTAAATCGCATGTTGCAAAATTGTTTTCTCGTCTCGACAAACGTAACATTCTCTCGCATCGGAAACACAACACAATACTATTTCGATGATATTGGATCGCACGCGCGTTGCGCGTATCTCGTGACCGTTGCGATGTGAGCACAGACCGCAAAAGGAATGTTATGGCGATATAAAACGCGCGTTTAAGCGGCGCAATCAAGATAATTTTAGGAATAATGCACGCGTGAGAAGATTCGTCGCACGCATTAGTCACCGAACGCACGTATGTGTGTGTATACACGCGTGCAACATCTTTGTTCTTTTTTTATGATCTAAGTACACGTTATCTTCTTTTTTTTGTGGGATGCTGGGATCGAGTCTTTAGCTCTCAGAGAAAAACAATTCCGTGATTTATCGACGGGAAACAACACACGCACACCTGCGATCCGGCTCGCTCGTGCGCGTACAAGTGAATTTACTTGTTTATCGAATAGCGTTTATCTGTAAAATTGTGTTAGGGAAAAAAAAGAAAAAAAAAAAAAAGAAATTACTAGTTGGAAAATATGACGGTCGCGATTTATTGATAGAAAATTACGCGAATCCGATCCTGGTGTTGAGTAAAAATTAATTAGATGGCTTGCGATCGCGGCGGTGATTCCCCCGAGAAGAGGAAAATGAGCCTCTCTCTCTCTCTTCCTCTCGCACACATCGGTCCTAATTGTTTTGTTTATCCGTCTTGCCTTGCAAAATGTTGCTTTTCGTGGAAATGCGCGTTTCTTTGGAAATTTACCAGCACCTTGCGCGCGAAACATTTTTCGCGATCACACGATTTCCCCCCGAGCTTCGGGACGAGGATATTGTTTATTAGCGACCGCTAATATATTCGGCTCGTCTTTTTTTTCTTTTTTTTTTTTTTAATTCTCTTTCTAATTACATAGGATTTTCCTGAATCGATACGTGACGAAGCGCTGACATATCGATAAGCGTCGTCTCTTTTGCCGGTTATTACATATCGGCGAGTGACGCGGTTTTATCACATCGCGTACAAGTTATTTAACAATTACGTAACATCAGCCCGGGGTGTCACTATTAAACATCGTTAAAAAAAAGATACCAATTAAGTCAAATTCCACACAAACAACAGAAGACAGCTCGCCAACGGACATGCACACACACTGTCTATGATCGCGTGTTACACGTTACACGTTCTACTTAAATAATGTGTGAAAAGATAAGATATAGAGTTATTAAACTTATCTCCGCACTATTCTCGTATTAACTTTTTTATTTCTGAGCTTCCTCATAGAGAATTTTTTTTTTTTTTTTTTTTGCGCTACTTTTGCTTTTTTCCAATGCAACTATTTTCTCATTTCGCGTGTTATCGTGTAAAAGTTTATATCTGTGTTATCGCGCGCGTCCAATAACCAGCGGCGAGAAGAAAATAACCGAAAGACGATTTTGCGTTCAAATGTGCGTCGTCGATCGCGCGGCGAAATTAATCTACACAATATGTTCTTACACAACAGGATGAGGACGTGAGTTCTCTCGCGAGAGTTCTGACGGTTAACAGGTTCCGGAAAGAACTTCACTTTTACAAATAAAAGGGCGCGGGCACTCGTATAGAGTGGCATACGAGTGCCGTATAAAACGCGAGAATAAGCGATGCACACACCAAGCGAGAGAGGAAAACTGTCTCTCTTATCTGTATTACAATTCTGCAACTCGTGATAAGAAGCGATTGCATGTATGTATGAAAGCCTATGCAGTTTATAAGTCACGTTGTCGGACTGGAGAGAGCTTTCTGGGGAAATTGAACATCTCTGTTTTCTGTGTGTGTGCGTTTCTTGACTTGTGCGAGAGATTTCTCATTGCATTTTCGCAATGTACGTGCAACGAATGCGAATAACAATTGCACAGTCAATTTGTGCAACACAATATTTTTAAAAGAGATTTATATATCAGAGAATTCTTTTTGTAAATTAAATAATAATTACCTCTTGTTATATTATAATATATAATATATATATATATAATGTACATAATATATATTTTACATATTATTAT